GATGATGACAAAAAAAATTGGTGGGAAAATTTTATAGATGAAAAAATAATGGTTGATCATCATCATCATCATCATGAAATGAAATGAAATGAAATGATATGGCGGAAAAAAAACTAAAGAATTGAAAAATAAGAATTTCAGTAGCAAATGATGTAATTTTGATTTTGATTTTTTCCATTTCGGTCTTCCACAAACACACACACACACACACACACACAGTTGGCTGGCCAATTGCTGTTGATCATTTTTGGTTTAATCGGGATATTTTTTTTCACATCAAAAATTTTTTTTCTGGTTGTCCATTATATTCAAAGATGAAATATATTGTTGTTCTGTCTCCCACAAATGCCAATAATGATGGTCTCTCTCTCTCTCTCTCTCTCCGTGGTTCTAAAATTTGATGAATTCATAGGTGATGATGTGATTCGTTCCAATCGTTCATTGCCTTTTTTTCGATGGACTTTAAATTCAAATTCAACAAAAAAAAAAAACCATTTGGTCACCATTTTCCATTGCCGGTTATTATTTTTCATTTCATTCTAAATTCGTGTGTGTGTGTGTGTCATCATTTTTTTTCAAGTTTGTTGTCGCCATGATAATTGGCGTAAATTGATTCTAATTAGTTTTTTACTCGTACTAATAGAAATGTTTTTATCGAATAATGAAAAAAACGAAACGAAAACAGAAAAAAAAGTTATCATTTTCACACGAATGTTTTTTTTCATGTCATTTTATAGAATGATGATGATTATCATCACCAAAAAAAAAAAATTCTGGAAGATAAATGCGTGGTGGTGGTGGTGGTGGTTTATCTCGAAACAGAAAAAAATATGGCCAAAAACCATTTACCATATATTAATTGCCCAATCTATCTATCTATCTATCCATCTATTAAACTATATTCAACCTATGCCGTATGACCTCTCTCCTCTCTGTTGTTGTTGTTGCTGTTGTTTTATCTTAATTTATTGGATGAGTTTGACCTATGACCAGTGAGTGAGTGTGTGTGTGTGAGGGGCATTATTATTATTACTACTTATTCCGTTCACTATACCAATCAACCAACAAACCAGAAAACAACTGACATGATCAAATATTTGCCTTATTTTTTTTTTTTTTTGTTTTCGTCCCCTACGTCTATTTCCTATCTAATTTATATATCAAATAAAAAATTTTCCACACACACACAGGTAAAAATGTTCTCATAAATATGAAAATTAGAGAAAGAGAGAGAATTTAGCATAATTTCATCATCATCATCATCATCATTTTGATACTCATCATAATAATAATCATGATTGTCATAATAGATGAACACTGGGGGATGTACACGAATAATATGTTGGTAAAGTTGAAAGGTCAAAGTTTATGAATATAATAAACAAACGTCATTTTTTTTCTCTAAATAGATAACCAGAAGCAAATGTTAAATACACAAACATATTGTTGTTGTTGTTGTTGTTGTTGATGATATAATTAGTGAAATAGTCAGATATAAAAATAACGACAACCCGAAATCACATGGATAACTATTTAGGATGGAAATGCATTTTTGTTTTTGATGATTTTTGACAACTGTTTTCATTCGTGGTAGTTTTATATTACGTTCAGTTTGGTTTGGTTTGGTTTTTATTGTTTTTTTTTGGTTTCTAGCTAATAATGATAACTAACCATAGAAATTTTTTTTTTGGTAAAAATGATTTTGATCATCCGTTTTTGTAGTTGCAAAAAACTTTATGACAACCACTGATACGATGATACGATGATTGGTATCATCATTGAAAATTATTGACCATTTTATGAGCCATTTCATGATGATGATGATGATGATTATGGGAAACGGAACATTTGATTGTCATTATTTAATTTAGTTTAGTTTCAAGTTTTGAATTTCAAATTTTTTCGTTCAAATTATTACCCAATTTACCTGTACATATATGTGTGTATATATGGTAGCAACAGCAGCAGTGTGTGTGTGTGACCTACGTATTTTGTTTCTACCTGAATATTTCTACCTGAACATGTCAATAATAATAATTGACATATCCATAGATAGATAGATTAGTGATAATGATAATAATGTGAAACTACTACTACTACTACTGAATATAATGATTGATAAAACGAAACGAAATGGACATTAAGATCGAATGAATTTTTTTTTTTTTTGCTTTTTGTTTGGTTTTTTGGTGGATGACAAAAAAAAAGAAAAGAAGATAATTGACACGCCAACACGTTTTGCAGCTGTTGTTGTTGTTGTTGTTGTTGTGTGTTTGTAGATGGACAACAATGGACAACAATAATAAACAAATTTACAAGTTTTTCTTTAGTCACAAAATGTCGTGATATTCCCAACAACAACAACAACAACAACATGACCTGAACAAGAAAACAAGAAAAAAAACTAGATCAAAAATCATTTGTCTGAATACGGATTTCTTTTTGTTAATTTGGAAACGAAAAATCTGAGAATCTACCACCATTCAGGTGACAAACAAAAGATTTGATATAATACACACACACACACACAGAGAGATGTGACAAATAAATTTGATAATGTCACGAAATCAAATCATCATTATCAAATCAAATGATGATGATAATAATAATAATAATTTTGTTTTGACCATCTCCATCTCCATATTTATGGAAGTCATAGAGTTTTCTTCCAGTGGTGGTTGGTTTTTTTTTATCCCCATATTATAATTAGCTTTTTGAACTGAATGACAACAAAAAAAAAAAAAATGGAAACTAAAGTGTTAAATCAAATCACACGCACTAACTCACACACCATAATGGTGTATATGATGCGGTGACCAATGGATGATTCTCACAATTGTTTTGTTTTCTTCGGAGGGGAGAAGGGGGAAACGAGAGAATAAAATGATGATGCTTTTTTTCTCTGTTCTTTCTATTTCCATTTTTTTTCAAGGGAATATATGTCTGTTCGGAAGTGTCATACAACACTAACACACTACATCATCATTTTTATCATCATCATATAATTAAATTCGTTATATGCAAAAAAAAAATTTCAAAATTTCAAAATTTGGCCAATCAAAAAATGAAAAAAATTGAAAAATGAAACACACACACACACACACACACATATTGCATAATTTCTATACATAAACTTAACCTTTAATCAGATGTTTTAAATTTATATGGAAATTATTTCCATTCTATATGATATCCAATCCAATCCAATTCAATAATTCTGATGATTCTCATTTGTGCAAAAAAAAAAAAAAAAATTCACAAAATGTGTCATAATGATGATGATGATGATGGAGAAGGATTTTTGGCAATTTGTGTCCAAATTATATATATAATATAATAAAATTAATGATGATGATGATGATGATGATAATTTGCATACAGAGCAAAATTTTTTTTCCATTGATATTTTTGAATGTAATGAGAAAATTTTTTTTTTTTTGAATTTAGTGAAAAAAGTGAGAGAAAATAAAAAACCAATCACGATATATATTATATATACATTACGAATCAAAGTAAAGCCAACCAGTTAGGCGTCAATACAAATGGAGTGCTATTAGTGGATAGATAGATTTATATATATATATATAGGATGCTTGAAAATGGCAATTTTGGACACAGACTATGTGTTTGCGAGTTGCGCCAATAACAAGAACAATTGAAAGGTTGAATGATGCTTGTGTGGTGTGAAATGTTAGAGAGAGAGAGAGAGAGAGATGAATAACACTGTGTAGGAAAACTGAGAGAAAACGAAACGTTTTGTAAATGTTGTTGTTGTTGTTGTTGTTGTGCATAATGGCTAATAATCCATAAACATTTTACCTATATATTGGCCAACCAGTGTGACCGGGTTTAGATTTTTTGAATTTTTTTTTTTATTTTTAATTCATTTTCCTGTTTGCATTGCACAAATTTTGAAAAAATAGCTGCAGCAGCAAACCCTTTGATGGTTGACTAATATATTTCGAAAATTATAACCTTTTCACACATCAATCATATATATATTTTGATGATTTGATTGAATGGTGAATACTTTAAAAGGTTTTTTTCTTCACTCCACTCATAGAACAAATGCTATTGATCAATGATTCAGTCACACAGTTGTTCAAAACATCAAAACATTTTTTTTTTTTTTTTTGCTCGGCCACACGATGATGATGAATTTGTCAATAGTATAGATTTATATTAATTTGAATATCGAAAAAAAACGCAAGATAAATGTGTCGATCAAAATTGTATACTGTGTGCAACATTCACTTCAATCAGATCATTCATTGAATAATTGAAAAAATTGAATTGTGAAAGGAAATTGAAAATCAAAGTTTGAATAAAACGAGAGAGAGAGAGAGAAAAACGAAATTCATAAATTGCATTTTCACACTTGAAATGATTTCTGATTTTTCTGATCTTTAAATCTGTTGCCATCGTCGTCGTCGTCGTCGTTGTTGTTGTTGAATATGAAATTGTTATTTGATCGATATATTCATTTATGTGGTATAATTAACTTTTTGGCTTGAACATCGATCAAATTTTAATTCAATTATATATATATATACTAGATAGATAATATATATTGAGATGACAAAGTTTAATCGTCTGATGATGATGGTTTTTTGTTGTTGTTGTTGTTTCTTTTAAAAATTAATTTTTTTTTTCTTCTGAACATCATGATTGATTATTTATTGATTAATATATATAGTCAATAGTCAATAGTCAATATTTATAATAAAAAAAATGAATGAAATAAAATATAAAGTTATAATCAAAATTTCTTTCGAGAAAAACGAATAATTTGTTGAATCCTACACACACACACACACACACACACATTATCATTATATCAATCATCATTGTACACATTCATTCGTTAACTTTTTCGTATACGTTTCTCTACACATGAATGAATTTGATGATGATTATTTTCATTCGTTTTTTCCATATTGTCACAGCCATCATCATCATCATCATCGTCATCATGATCGTTTTTAAATTGTTCTTTATTATTGTCACAGCCATTATCATCATGATCGTCATTTAATGATCGTTTATTTTCACCTAAATTAATATTTTAAACTTATTTGAATTTTTGTTTTTTTTTTTTTTCTATTAAGATCAATGTTCAAACTTACCTTTAATATCTGCTATTGTGGTTGTTATTGTAGCCGAAATTGGTTCATATCCACAAAGTCTAAGTAAATGTGAACGATCATTTTTAGCAACATAAGCACGAAGTAAACTTTTACCACGCCAAACACACATAGGCAATATAAATCTAGATGATGATGAATCTTCATTTTGCCAATCTTGACGTAGCCGTACATACATTATAAAACAACCTGAAGGTATCGATGATAATAATTTTTGTATACGTTCATCTAATTGTTCAATTTTTATATCCTGTTGTTTTAATAATTCAATGAAAAAATTTAATTCAACTTCAACAATAGTGAATGATTTTTCATCATTATTTGGTGAATAGCTATCAAGATTTGCTATAAAATAAGGAAATATTGATGATATTCCTTCCTGTGTAATACGGTATGGACAAACACGATTCACATCGGTACGATTAAACACACGTACACCGCCACTAATGATCTGAATGAGCATGAAAATCAATAAATTAGTTTTCATTTGTTTGTTTGTTAATATTAACGAAATCCTTACTTTCATATCTTTATTCATACGAATAAAATCGGCAGCCTTTTCCGTCATATAATAAATATTACGACGTTTTCCTTGTACACATCGATGTGCCAATTGATTGGCCATGAATTTCATAGGAAATTTAAAATACGATCTGTAAATGCAACAAAAAAAATTTTTTATGGACGAGATACTTTATAACAAATGGTACAACTAATACTCACTTTAATGCTATCCAATCTTCATCATTTTCATCAATAAAATAGAATGGTTCTTCACGAAAACCGGTGTATTTTTGCTTTTTATCTTGATCATTTTTCTTATTATCACCCTCATTCTTGTTATTATTACCATCTTCATTTGTTTGTTGTTCTCCTTTTTCTTCTTCTGTTTTTTTCTTTTTTTCATTATCATCCGATTCTTTCTCCCAACATAAAGTGTCGGTTTTCTTTCGGATTAATGCAATGAAAAAACCACCAGTATTTTGATAATGTGGCATAATACGCATACAATATTTTAAATTCAATTCTTTTGCATTTTCGGGTGGAAAATGTGTATTACGAATTTGTGGTAGATATTTTTCCGGCACTTCTTTAGGACTGGCAACAATACGATTATCTTTATCCATCACAATCCAGGAATCGATACCAGGATGACATTTAAGTTCAGGTAGAATGGCGGATCCATCCATTAATTCTAAATCTCCTTGAGCCATGTTCAATAATGCAGCAATAATAGCTTCATTTTCCACTGGATTCAAACTACACGTTGAATAAGCCATAATACCATCTTTGGCTAAAAGCTCTAGACCACGTTTGGCAATTTTTATCTGTATATTGTGTAAATTGTTTGCATTTCCTGCACTCCATTTAGTCCAAACATCATAATTTTTTCGAAATGTTCCATCACCTGAACAAAGTACATCGGCTAAAACTCTGTCAAATTTTAGGACAGTTTTTCCTTTTTCCTGTGACAAAAAAAAAACAAACAAATCAGCTGACATGTGAATAAATCAGTTACTATAGTATACTAACAGGATCATTTTTATAAAAATCCGGTAGATTAGCTGCATCATGATTCATGATGACTACACATGAACTTGATAATCGTTTAGATTGATGAGCCAACATATAACAACGTCGATTATCCACATCATTAGCGACGACTAATCCATCCAAATATTTGACATCATTTGTCGTTTTACAATCACCCGAAATGAATGTAGATCCAGATTCTTGATGTAACATTTCGATTATTTGTGCAGTTTTTGATCCAGGAGCGGCACACATGTCCAAAACAGTCTGACCAGGTTTGATATCCAACAATAACGGTGGAATCATTGATACAGCTTCTTGTCGACTAATATCGCCCTAGAAATAAAATGATCATTCAATTTCTATTGGATTTTTTGAATCATAAAATTCCAAACATACAGTTTCAGTTTCACAAATCAAAAATTTATGAAGCAAATTAATTGTACGAGATTTTCGTATCTCTGTTTTCGTAAGATTTATGGTCCATGCAAGTTTATTCGGATACCATGGAATGGGTGAAATGTCCAATTTTTTACCACCAATTAATTCGACATTATTTTCCAATTGACAATCTTTAATATAATCACTTTGTATTATATCACGCATTCGTTGTGCTTGTCCCTGACAAAATGATGATATACGAAATGTTGTTGGTAATGGTTCGGCTAAAACACGTAAAAATTCAGCAAATTCTATATCGGATTCAAGAAGTTTTTGTTTTCGATAATAATCTTCGAAATTTTCATTCTTTTTAATAATTTCAGCATAACTATTTTTACGTGGAATAGTATCACGATCATCCGTACGATTTGCACGTTCTAAACGTTTTTGCTGCAAAAAAAAAAATTTAAATCAATCGTAAAAACAATGAATTAATTTTGAACAACAAACCCTTTTGGTTTTAAATTTTCTTAGTTTATGTTTTTTATTAACATTTGCTTTGGTATCCATTTTTTTTGCAAGAAAATCTAATTCAAACTTTGAAATTTAAAAACTTTTGGAACGCATGGAATAAATTTTTTTTCAGATCTCTTGAATCCAACACGTGAGTTTTGTGCACCATTCAAATATGACAGGATCTATTGGATTCTCTTTTTTTCAAAATTAGTTTCCATGGTGATGATAATTTCGTTGCTTTCATTGCAGAATTAGCCGAATATTTCAAACAAACAAAAATCCGTAATACCATTTAAAATAACATGGAATCATTGCTGTATCGGTTAACAAATGTTGCTTATGGAATTGAATCGAGGATTTTATTATGTCGAAAAAATCGAATCAAAACGAACAACAAACAACCAGAATGTCATTATTATTCACTCGTCGTGAAGAAGAGCTGCAAAAATTATTGGCCGAAGAACGAAAAAGAGGTGAACAACGACGAAATAATTATAATAATCTAAAAAGTGAACATCTTAAATTACAAGATGAATATCTAAATCTTCAAGCCGAAATGAAACAAATATTGGAAGAAACTGTTTATTTTAAAGAGAAGAAAAATGAAGAACTTGAAGAATTGTTGAAGATAAATGAAACAAAATCAAAACAAATCGGAAAACTGGAAAAAAATATCCGTGAAAATGATCCAGAAATTTTGAGGTTTGTGGCTGAAATTGAATGATTCTGATTATTCAAATTTTTTTTTCTATTGTTTTAGGATAAAATTAATCGATGAATTGGATGAACCATTACGAAAAGCTGAAAAAGAAAAAGAAAGACTGAATAAAGATAGAGAACGTTTATGTAATGAATTGAAATTGTGTAAACAACAAATTGAACATATGGAAAAAGAACATTTAGATGCTATAGAAAAAATTAAATTATCCTATGAAGTTGAATTGAATTTGATCAAACGTGAAAAAGAAGAGATACGAATTCGTTTGGTTGAAGCAAGCCAAGTGCCGGATGTGAAAAAATTGATCGATTTAAGTGAAGAAAATTCTCGATTAAATCGCCGTTTACAATCTGCACAGGATATTATTGAACAAGCTGAACAAAAATATAAACAAATACAGCAACAAATACAAGATTTATTATTGGATAGTGAACAAAAAGAAAGAATTCATCAATCAAAATCTACTCATCTACATGAACAAATGAATGAATATAAACAAGAGATAAAAAATCTTAAAATTGATTTAAGCAATCGAAATTTCAGAAATTGAAGAACATTTAAAAGAAAATGGTCATCTGAAAAGAATGTTGGAAAAATTCAAATTCGATATTGAACAACAACGTATATCATTCGATGGTGAAAAAGAAACGATTGTTTCGAAAATGAATAATGAAATTAAACTATTGAATCAGGCTAAAGATTCATTCAAAGATGATATTAAAAGTATGTGAGGTAAATAGTTTCAAGTTTTTTTATGCAATGCTTAAATAACTTTTGTCATCCTTTTTTTTTTATTAGAACTGAAAGAACTTTTAGCAACCAAAGATGAATCAATAACCGAATTGGAAAAAATTATCGAATCAAAGGAAAAAGAATGTAATGAAAAGATAAACTCAATCATTAATGAAGAGTTGGAAAAACTGACAAGATTAGAACATGAAAAGTAATTCATTGATCTTAATATGTGTTTTGTAGTGATAATTTCTTTTTTTTCAACAGAAAATCATTGGAATTATCATTGGAAGATTTTCAAAATGAAAAACGAACCTATTCATTGGAAATGGAAAAATTACGTCGTCAGATTGAACAATTGAATGAGAAAAAAAATGTACAAGAAAGAGAAACAATGTTATTACGAGCCAAATTAGATACACAAGCATCAGCAATAGAAGAATTGGAAAAAATACGAAAACAACATCTAGCATTACATGAAGAGGTTAATCGATTGAAACTAGATTCCTATGATTATGTTGTAAATAATAAAGAATTAACACGTATGAATCAGAATATGAAAGAAGAGATAATTCGTCTGAAAGAACAATTGGACGAAGAACGACGTCATCTTGAAGAGGTGAATATTTCGAATGAAAAACAGATGATGAAAATTTCGAACCGATTTGATGATGAGCGAAATGAATATCGTGAAAGAATTAATCGATTGGAAAAGGAAAATTATCGATTGAAAACAACGATTCCTACAACTACAACAACAACAACAACAACAACAGCAACAAGATGTCTATAAAATAAAAGCCAGCGATTATTCACGTTTAAAAGCACGACAATATGCTAAAATTGCTGATCGTCTTAATACATTGTTGGATCATCTACAAGTGAGCAATGATGATCAAAAAGAAAATGGTGTGGCAATAAAATCATCTACTCAAAACAATGAAAATATCTTATGTCAGGATCGGTTGAAAAACGGTCATCAGCAACAATTAGTAGCTTCATCATCAAATTCTAAAAGCCAAAATCATAAAAATTCAATCCACTGCCCAGGTTTTTTTCAGCGCTTAATAATTTAAATATTTTGTTACGTACTTTATTGTTTGGACCGATTTTTTTAAACACGCTTGTTTTTTTTTTCTGTTGTCAACAACAAGAATTTTGTCGATATTTTTTGATTGATTAAAAATAATTTAATTTGAACAAAAAGAAAAAAATGGCCGATTCTCTGATTCTGGGAAATTTGAATATTGGACCAATAAAATCTAAAAGTCCAGTATTGCCAAGAATAAATAATAAACTGGCTAAATCGTTCGATAAATCAAGTAAGTTGGAATTTCAATCTAAATTTTTTCATTTTTTAAATCTCAATTTTTTCACAGATTCTGTGGCAAATAAACCATCACATCATTCTCAAGTTGATAATCAAAAACATGGACAAGCAAAAAATTCATTTCCCAGTTTTAAAAGTTCAAAATTATTTGATGATTCAACCACAAATATACCTGAATTGTCAATGTAAGTTTTCATTTATTAAGTTTTTCTCAAATCATTCCTAAAAATTACCCGTTTCTAGGATTTCAAAAACTGTTAAATATGAAGAAGTATTTTCAAAATCAAATTTTTCCGATTTTAATATCGACAAAATGCTCATTGCCTGTCTACATCAACGATTCAATTTAACCATAGCGACAAAAGTGCAATCATTATCGATACCACCGTTATTGAATGGTGATGATGCACTTATCAAATCAGTTACAGGATCTGGTAAGACACTTGCCTATTCAATACCATTAGTTCATTCATTGCAATCGATTCAGCCAAAGATAACAAGATCGGATGGTCTTTTCGCCTTGATCATATTACCTACACGTGAATTAGCCATACAAACCTATGATTGTATTGATCGTTTATTGAATCCATATCGACGAATAGTTGTGGGCATATTGATTGGTGGTGAGAAAAAGAAATCGGAAAAAGCACGTATTCGAAAAGGTCTGAACATTTTGGTTACCACTCCTGGCCGTTTATTAGATCATATAAATCGTACGAAAAATTTGAATATTGAAAAATTGAAATGGCTCATTATTGATGAAGCTGATCGACTTTATGAACAAGGATTTTCAGCCATTATTACACAGATTCTTGAATGTATTCGAAATTCTTGTACGAATCAAATACAAACCGTACTATTATCGGCAACTTTATCCGAAGGTGTTAAAGAATTGGCTGGCCTTAGTTTGAAAAATTCACAATTAATTGATGTCGGTGATGATGAACATCATTTGAAAGAAATTACATTACCAAGTTCATTAACAAATAGTTTTATGGTGGTTCCAACGAAATTACGTTTGGTAACTTTAGCTTGTATTATAATGGATTCGTTGAGAAAAAATGGTGATAAATCGAAAATAATAATCTTTACATCATGTCAAGATGTTGTCGATTTTTATTCAACATTATTAACGGAAATATTCAATCAATATTTAGAACAAAATGTTCGAATATTTAAACTTCACGGTAATATGGATCAGAATAGCCGTACAGAGGTGTTCAAACAATTTCATTCGACCACTCGTGGTATCTTATTCTGTACTGATGTTGCATCTCGTGGTCTTGACCTGCCAAACGTTGATCTTATTATTCAGATGAGTTCACCTGCATTGGTTGAAGATTTTGTTCATCGTGTTGGCCGAACAGCTCGTTTAGGTAAACCAGGACATTCGATTCTATTGTTACTGCCAAGTGAAATTAAATTCATCGAATATATTCAGGAACAACTTTCAATCAATTTTGAATCGTTAAAAATGGAAAACTATTTCAAATCGATTGATTTTCTGAAATTAGAGAATCCAAATGAAAATCTTCATACCGAACAAGAACGACTAGCCAATCTTCAGGTAAAAATTTTTTTCTGCTTATTGGTGATCAGATTTTAATTATTTCTATATTTATACTTACTCATAGCATTTATTCGAAAAATTGGTCTGGAAAGAAACCAAAGTCAATCAATTGGCTTGTAAAGCTTATCTTTCCTATATTCGAGCATACGCATCATATCCACGACAATTATCATCATATCTACCATTCAGACAAATTACATTTTGGACATTTAGCTAAAAGTTTTGCTCTACTTGAACCACCAAGCGAATTGGCATCAAAATTACGAATGAATAGAACAATGAAAAAAACTATTGTCGATATTGGTTCAATGAAACGTAAAGCAATACCATTAGAGGAAAGAATATCTGAATTTAGTGGTGGATTCGAAACAATGGAAACGTTTGGAAAAAAGAAACGTAAAGTGAAAGACAAAAATCGAATGTAATATAATATTCATATTCGTTTTATTTTATTTATTTTTTTTTCTTGTTATTCATCGATTTAATTTTATAAATATTGATGATGATGATGATTGATGATTGAGCTATATTAAATAACGGCCTGAGTTTTTTTTTTTGTTTATAAAAAAATAAAATGTTGACGTTTTTTTTCTTCTTTGGTTTCTCCATTTATTTATGTATAATATTTCCAAATAGTCATTGATTGTTTATTCAGTACACCAGTGATACAATCTTCTTTGCCACCAAATACATACATACAGAATATTGGATGTTGACGACGATCTATGGATAAATCAACGACGATTGTCGATTTTGCCGTTTCTCGATTTAATAATAATGATGATGATCTGTGTTCATTTCGTTCATGATGATCTAAAATTTTTAAATTAGGATTATCATCATTATGATCATGATCTTCGTCATCATCATCATCATTATCATCATCATGATGATCCAGTAAAAAGGCTGGATCCGAATTCAATACCAATGGTGAACCGGGAATGTTGATAATTTCTTCAATTACTTCTTTTATGTTTGGTTCCCAATTAGATAAACGATTCATATGATGATGATTTGATCGTATTTTACCATTGCTTTCTGATATTTTCATCATACCATTATCTTCTTTGGTTGTTGTTGATGATTTTTCCATTTGTTTCAATTCATTGGATTCAATTTTAAATTGTTTTTTACGATGAAACGAATCATTAAGTTTAGTGACTAATTTCTGAACGGTTAAATGATCAAAATCTTTTTCATTAACTTTCTTTCCGTTTTGTTGTTGTTGTTGTTGTTCACCAAATGATGATGAATTCGAAATGGATGGATTAGAATTGATATCAAAACTATTCGCATTTGAATCGGCAGAAATTAATGATTGATAACCGGATGAAGAATTTGAAACCGATGTTACGGATGATTGATGTTGAATTTTTCCATTATTCGAATTGTCATTATTCGGACTTTTTCCACTGTTATTGTTATTATTATAATTCTTTCGTCGAATAGCTGGTGTTTTTTGGATTGTCTTGATATTCAATGAAGGACTTATCTCTTCACCGCTCGTTGATTCAGTAACTATTTCTAACATTTCTTCTGGTTCTAAATAATCCTCTAACATATCTAGATGTGTCATTTCCATACATTCATATTCCGAATGTTCAGTGGATGATGATGATGATGACGATGATATACTAATCGGTTCATTTGAAGGCGATGAATTTGAATTGAATTTTAATTCTTTTTCAAAATCTGGTGATATGTCTAACGTTAAGGAATATGCTGTACTATAGGCCAAATCTTTAGGTGGATTATTACGTATCTCTAATGAAGATATATCTAAAAGTTCGAGATCATTTTTTCGTAGACGACGTTTTGATACAAAATTTTCTCTTCTTTTTATTGTAACCGGATTATTAGCATTAGCATTTGAATCTAATTCATCGGATTTTTTCGAATCAAACTTATCCATCAAAGATTCTGATGCTGTAACATTGTGAATCATTCGATTATCATTTGTTGGAATTGAATTGGCTGCTGCTGCTGCTATGCTTAATGCAAATGAAGGCGATGGTTTTTGTCTTAGATGTGATGGAGGCGTTGAAAAACATAAACTATAATAAGACATTGATTCTTGGACGGAACGGCGTTTAAATTCACTCAATTCATTAAGCTCATTAAAATCGAAATCATCTTTTTGTGATGAAATTGCCGTACCATAAAAATCAGAATAAGGCCTTTGTTTCTGTAGTAGTGGTCGTCGTGGACGCATTTTAACCATGGCAGTTTTTCTTTCCATAAACAATGAATTCATTTCATCATTATGTTTGATTATATGGTTATTGTTCAATATGTTTGGATTGTTTTCTTGATTGGAAATTTCCTGATTTTGTTGTTGATTAGTTGAATATAAAAGTTGTCGTTTTTCCAACATCAAATTATCATCATCATCATCATTAGAAATGTTGACTTGATTTTTATCGTCGTCAATAAATGAAAAAATTGATGGAGATTTTTCCGTTGAATTGAAACACATTGATATTGATTTTACTTGATTATCGGATGATGATTCTGTTGATTCAACAAAAGTGGTTTCAACGATGGCGGCAGTTGTTTGTGGTCTATGCTTTTGCTGTTGTTGTTGTTGTTGTTGTTGTTGTTGTTGTTGCTGCTGCTGCTGTTTCAAATGACAATTTCGAAGTCTTTTTGTTTTATTTTCCATTTTGTTATTATTAACGTTATTATTGACAATAGTGTTTTGTTTTTTACAACCAATCCAATGCTGTTGTTGCCATTGATGATGATGATGAACATTATTATTATGTTCCAATTCTTTCAAAAAAGGATTCGCTATAGCTACATGTCTTGTACGACAACTTGGTGCTATTCCTTTGATTTCTATATGTTCCCAAGTTTGATTAGCTAAAACAGTAAATGTTTATCCACATTCATATAGAAATCAAATTATAAAAAAACAGTCAATCAATAAATCAAACAACAGACACACACACACACAAAGAGAAAGAGAAACATACCGAATCGATATCTCCATAATTCATTTGTATGATTTCCATTTGAACGTTCACCACCATAGATGAACATTGAATCTAATACAACGATTGCGCTATGAAATGATCGTACACCAGGATTCGTTCGATTTGTTTTCATTCGATTCCATTCTTTTGTTTCTGCCGAAAAAAAGAGTCAATATAATTATTGAAAAATGAAAAAAAATCAGGTAGTTATGTAGGTAAACTTACTGAAATTCCAGCTCCAAAAATCATTACGAACATTCAGATTATTCATACCACCATAAACATACATATATTCTTTATAAACAACAGCAGAATGTCCATGTCTTGGTAGTGGTGAGGAATCTTTTTTAAAATTAGTTCCCTCTAGATACCATTCTTCCGTATCTAAAAACAAAATATTGACAAGTATTATATTGATTAATGGATTTATAATACTACTATACTATATTACGTAGTACGTACCTAGATTAAAAGTCCATATCTCTGAAGTGGATCCTTTAATGTCTTGATAACCACCATAGATGCACATAATATTTTGATATACAACAGCTGAATGTCCTCTTCGTCCTAATGGTCTTGCTATAGCTTGATGATGATGATGATGATGATGATGATGACTAGAATTGATAGAAAATTTTTTCCAAACATATGTCTCTAAATCAAAAATCCACAATGGTGTTTCATCACAAGAATATCCAATTTCACCACCAAAAACATATAGTTTGTCCTATAGAAACATAAAATATTTGTGTGTTGCAAAAAGAAAATAAAATTAACGTGGCTAGAAAACGAAAAAAAAACTTACTTGATAATTTAGAATAGTATGTTCTTGAAGAGGCGGTGGAGAATCGTTGATAGCATCCCAACAAGATGATTGATGATGATTTTCATTAGGCCATTGGCCAGTAGATCGACACGATTGACATATTTGATTCGTAGTAGATATGGTGGTGGCTACTTCTGTAGCCAATGATGATGATGATGTACAACCATTAATCGATTTACACATTTCATTATTACGTATCATCATCATTATATTATTATTATTTAGTTGTTTCCATTGATTTGTATTTGGATCAAAACGCCACAAGTCACGTAATGTTTGATTTAATAATGATTTACCACCATAAAGATAGATACAACCATCGTTTGCTGAACACATTGCATGTTTACTACGTACCAATGGACATCCTTGTCCATTGATGGCTGATGTGGCTTGAACCTGACACCACATTATTTTTTTCAATTTCAATCTTATTGTGATTCTTCTCAACAGGAAAAAAAACGAAACAGCTAAAATCTAATTTAATTGAGAAAAAAAAACGTAATTAGATGCATGTTTAGTGATGTGAATGTGATGAGAAAAAAAAACTGTGTAGTCAAGATAAATGAACGTGGCTAAAATCAATCAAACGAAAACACATAAAACACATGAAAATGTACGGTAATATTTGGTTTCTGAACAAACACATTACTTTGAAAAAATCGAAACAAAACTCAAGGGAAACTTTGTGAAAAAAAAGATGTTAATGTCGGATGTGTTCAAAAAAAAAAAAAAAAAATCGTACACATCCCATAATTCACAGCTGTCGAAAATCATCTTAATTTTTTTTTTTTTTTTGTTCCTAGCTTTGTAAGTGATGAAAAAAAACGATACTTTTTTTTCTTAATTCTGTATTCTGTGTGTTGTTTTTTTTCTCACAACCCAAAACTGATATCATTATTAACAGCAGATAGTTTAGAAAACACTGCAAATGACGTTACATTACATTTACAAGACAATCAATTTCATCAGCCAACACAAACAAACAGCAAAACATTATTATCGTTTATCTTGTCAGTTTTTTTTTCAAATATTTTTTTTTTTTTTATAGCTTGTATAATTTCATTTGAGATATATTAATTAATAGAAAATAGAATGATCCAGAAAGAAACAAAAACCTGACTACTATATGAAGGCTGTTTGTTTACTTTTACCGGGTTTTTTTTTCATCGAAATCGCACGCACATACCCATTGAAAAAACTGTCTTTGAACTTGATTCTTTTTTTGCAGGAAACAAAAAAGAAAATCTGACACAAAAAAACAAATACATGAAAAGCTCTCATTGCTTACTACATTCTTAGAATGTTTTTTTTCCAGTGATTTTCAATGTTTCAACAAAAATTACAAGAATTTCAAATTCCATAAAGTTTTCTCTTTTTCATTATAGTCCAACAGCGAGAGAGAGAGAGAAAAAAATCTCATTTGTAGCCCGGATTCTTTTTTTTACGGTGATAATAATAATAATGATGATGATGTCTTTATACTTTGTACTTTAGTACAGAGAAGATTTATTTTTCATTTAATAAAGTTTCTTCTTCTTCCTTCTTGAAAATGGAATTAATCAGGTAGACACAACATACCTACAACATTGGCTACAACTTGTATTCTTTTTTTCCTGTTTGATGCAAAAAAAAAAAATGAACATCATAACTTTTCATTACAAACCAACCAGTTAAAACTTATTCTTTATTTATATATATCATCTATGATGTATAGATATAAAAATTAATTTCCAATGATGATGTTGTAAATTTGGAAAAAAAAATTTTCCATCATCATGTGTGATGTTGTAGCGCTACATAACATGAAATATTTATAAAATTGATGATGATGCTCATATAATAATAAAATAAATAAATAAAATTTTTTTTTCACTTGTCCCAAGTACACAAGGTCCAAGTTACACTGCTGAACAGTCAAATTCATTCGCTGAATGTTTGGTTTGTTCTGGTCTGGGTTTAGTTTAGTCATCATCATCATCATCATCATCATCATCATCATTTGTCAATGACAAGAAATAAATAAAATGGAAAAAAAAGTCGACGGTTTTTTTTGTCTAATCTTTTTCTATACATCAAAAAAAAAAAAATTTTTTTTTCACTTTTTTCTTCTCTCTCTCGACATAATAGACTATATATACACATACAAACAAAGTATATATGCCCCAAACCTAAATCGATCATTTTTGTTTTCGTCATAGTTTGACTTTTACTTTATTTTCTCTGGCGATGACGATATGGTGACAATTATTTTTTATTATCGCCATTATTATTATCATTGGAAGCTATTTTTTTTTTTTTTTGCTTTCAGTAGTTTCCTATAAACTGGAAAAGAAAACAACAAATAATAAGTCAAGCACAAACACACATGCACAGAGAAAGATAGATAGAAGCATACAAGAAACCATAAGATATTTTTTGCTTTGAATTTTTATGTGTTTTTTTTTCTTCATTTAGATTTTCAACCTTTACCATTTTTTTTATCGCCTTGAAACATAAATATTTTGTGTGTGATGAAAAAAAAAATTAAATTTTGAATGAAAATAAAATTTTCATGACCAGAAAAATAAAAAAAAGCCATATATAAACGGAATCATTGTCATCATGTCCAGAAGCAATGAATTTCCCATCTTGAACATGAAAATCTAATGAACCGTGTACACGATATTGGAAATAAAAAAAAATCGTTTTTTTAAAATTTCCATCTTCATCGATAATGATGATTATAATAATAACGACCGGATAACAACGACGACAAAAAAAAGCTTAACAAGCTTTTATGACAACAACCAACCAACCAACCAACCAATCGACCAGATTCTTAAGCCCGAAAAAAAACATAAATGTAACCAAAACAACCAGAAACAACAAAAGATGAATAAAAAGAATCGGTGGAACAAAACAAAAAATCCATTCACATCTAAAATGTAAAAATGAAATACAATATTCTTGCGTTGTTGTTGTTGTTGTTGTTATTGTTAGCTATTTGTTATATAAATCGATGGGCCAAATCAATACATTATACTGTAATATAAATATAATATATTGTCTCTGCTTAGGCGCGTATCTATGTGAAGAATATTCTAGCTACTTTTTTATTCAACAAATAACCTGAATGAAAAGAATAAATTTAAACCAATGGTTACACATACTATTATAATTCACAGTGAACCCCCCCCCAAAAAAAAAGTTGAAAGAGAAAAGATGTCGAAAAACGAGATAATATGGTTATATATAAAACAACAATAGAAAAAAAGTGAATCTCAAATCTTTGATAATAATAATACACATTAGGTATATATTGAAAATGTTAAATCAAACAAAAAAAAAGTCAAACGACGATAACAACAAAATATTGCTGCCTCCCTTCTAATGATCATCATTATCATCGAATTGGAATAATAACAACAACAACAACAATAGAATGCTTAATCACTTTTAATATATACTTTTTGTTATTGTTATACATTTGTAAGTATGTGAAAAGTATAATAAGAATCTCATAATGAATGGAATTTCAGTTGCATAATAAGAAATGAAGTATGCTTTGTCTATTCTATAGAATAATAAAAAAAAATCTGAAAATCGAATCGATATATACATTTTCCCGTGGCCATTTCTGTCAAATCGTGAAACAGAGATTTGGAAAAAAAATATTCATTTTTGACCAAAAATTGTTTATTCTATTAGTAAAATGCCATCAGAGAAAAAAAAATTCACCATCCATTCATTCATTATGGTGACCATCACACACACACATGCACAAATTAAGGATACATGTCCAGATAAAATGACGATACAACTATAATGAAATTAGTACCAACAAAATACAAACACACACACAAAAAACATACAGCAAACGAGAGTAGAACATTCACTACATACAGTAATTTTTATTTTTCTTGTACCGAATTTTTTTTTTCTTTCTCGATTCTGTTTAGTACATATAGAATATGTATCGACACAAGAAAGAAATAAAAAATAAAAATAAATGAAATGGACGAACCAAACGGGACCGAATTATTATGACCAAAAAAACGACAAATATTACGAGATTCGACATTCATTCATTTTTTTTTTGATGACGATGACGATATGTAATAAAAATGGTCGGTCAACCAAATAAAGAGAGGTTTTATTTTATAATAATCAAAATAATTATAATATATATATGGTAGGTGGTTTTAATTTCTTCATTCACCGACGCTAACACGAGAATAATGTATTTTGGCAAAGAGAAAAAAAAATAAAACATACACAAAATGGGTACCATAAAAAAAATCGATCCAGAATTTGGATCCATTTTTTTTTTGTTTTGTTTTGTTTTGGGTGGTGATTTTTTTTTGTCTACCCACAAAAAATTAGTTTCGTTTTCTTTCGTTCGTTATTTTTTTTTTTAAATTCAAATTCGTGATCAAATCAAAATTATTGATTGCTCGTTCATTAGGGCCTAAATTATAGGCAAATATCAAAATTAGACATTACAGTGGGCATGTGTCAATCAAATGAAGACAACGAGAACCAAAAATAATAAAAAGAGTTAATCTTTCATTGCACTCTGTATGTGTGTGTGTGTGCGTGAATGCAGAATATTCGATAATGAACAAATCTAGGAAAAACAAAACAAAACAAAAAAATGCCGTTTTCGATTGTTAAATCGACCATAAGAATTTTTTTTAATTCCATTATATTATATCATGTATTCGCCCGATTGATCTGACTTCTTAAAGAACAAGGAATAGGAAAAAAAAACTAGCCAAACCAAATTCGTGTTTGTAAACTAAACCCAAACCATAATAATAATAACAATAATAATATGTGTATCTGTTTTTCGTTTGATAACACACACACACACACACACATACCAAATGTAATTGACAGGATTTTTTTTTTCGCTCTTCTTCACTTTCGCTCAATTTATGTATATGAAATAGGAAATGAAAATGAATGAAAATAAGAAAAGATTAACATTTCATAAATTCCATTCAAATAAATTGAAATTTTGATGATGATGATGATGATGAAAAAAACCGTAGAATAAAGTGTAAATTATATGAAAAGCTATTTTGTTGTTGTTGAATTGTTTTGTTTTGGTAAATTATTCATCTGTATAGGAAATGAAATGAATATATTTAACCAAAGTTAAAGTTTGTTGAGCACGTTATTTTTTTGTGAATGCCAAAAGATATATAAACTATTCATATTCATCTGCATAGAATTTTATTTATTTATTTATAACAATACAATCATACATTGTGTTGAATATTCAAAATGGCAGCAAAAAAGAAAAAAAAGAATCAACGAAAAGTCACTACTTACACTTTTTTTTTTTTTTTTTTTGGTTTTTGTTTTATTCGGTTTTCATGAAACTATAGTAAAGTCAGCGGTTTTTTTTAATCAATCGAATGTGACAGGATTTTGAGATTAAACAGAGAATGGGAGAGAGAGAGATGATTTTTATTTGAAATATCGATGATGATGAATTTCAAAAACAATGTTAAAAAAAATAGCGAATGAAATACGATAAGCCGATTGTTTAATAATAAAAAAAATGGATGCCTGGCTAGTTAGTTGTTGTTGGTTGGCCTGTCGTTTTTGATTTTCAATTTAATCATTTATATAATCATTTGAAAGGAAGTCAACAGAAAACAAAAGTCAGCAAGCAACATACACACACAAACACACACACAATGAATAAATGAATTCGTGCGTATATACATTTCATGTGGTATTTTTAGGTCGAAATAGAAATCGAACAATTCGGAGATGTTGATTGTTCATGATGATTTTAGCTTTTTCCGGAACAACGACAACCACAACAACAACAACAACAACAACAACGATGAAGAAAAAGTTGTGGATTTTTCTTGTGGATCGACCGAACCGGCTATGTATACACAATCATTATTTGTTGTTGTTGTTGTTGTTGTCGATTCTCATAACACAATAAATATTGAATCACAATTATAATACCAGAAGTGTATTATTATGACGATGATGATGATGATGACATGATTAAATTATTGATAAGTTTCAATAAACTGTTGTTATTCTGATGATTGTGGAGATGTGTTTCACATATATGATACACGCAAACACACAAACAATAATTGTAGATTTTGATTGAATTCTGAAAAAAAGAGAACAAAAAAAATTGATGATAATTCAAATGAAAAAGAATGAAAAAAAGTTTTCTTCAAATTGCCATATCATTGTATTGTTGTTGTTGTTGGTGTTGTTGCTGCTGGCAGTGTAGTTTTCATTGGATCATTTATAATTTTTTCATTTTTTTCTTTTGTTTTCGTTGTCAAATGTTTCATGAATGAATTTTTTTTCCTGAAAATTAAAAAAAAAATGCCATATACAAACACAGCGTGTGTGTGTGTGTGTGTGTGTGTGTTTTGGTTCCAATACAACAACAACAACAATGATCCAACAAAACAGAATAGGTGAAACCCGTATTGCACACGCTGAACTTGGACCAAACTGATTGTCATTGGATCGCTGGGACCATTTGATTGTATGATTGTGTGTGTGTGACTCACATTTTTTTTCAAATGACTAAAATGGAATAGTTCCACCAGCAGAAGCAGCAGAATTATAAACAACACACACATATGAACATACAACAGACAGCGTATTATATAAAGCGACAATGACGTCGATGTTGTTGTTGATGATGATGATGATGATGATGATGATGGAAACAAAACAAAAAAAAACATTAGAATCGCGCGTGAATTTAACTTGATATCTGAGTTTCGAGTGTATGTGTATTTTGTTTTGTTTGGTTTGGGTTACCTACTACTGTGTGATGAAGATTTTTTTTTTTTTTTTGGAACATTGGAACATTTTGCGCAAATGCATGGGTAGAATTGGCAGTGTGGAAAATATTTACCAATTTTTGTTCCAACAAAACAAAAAGTAATGTGTGCGCGTTGGTGGTGATTATAAGTGGAGCTTCTCATTTGATTCGTTTTTCTTATTTTTCTGGTCGAAATATATAAGGTCGTCGTCGTCGTCGTCGTTGTCAGGAGAATGAGTCATACTTTTTGGTTTCCTGATGGCAGTGGGTATATTTTTTTTAACGAGATTGGTGAATTCTTAACACAATGATGATGACGATGACTAGATGATGGATCACATTTGTGCGCTTGAATTGATTGACAAGTTTTTTTTTTGTCATTACATTTCATTTATAAAATCAGATAGACAGACAGACAGACAGAAAAAGAAATTCTGAAGAAATGTCGCTGACAGCGATATTATTGTTGTCATCATTTCAAATATAATGATGTTGATGATGATGATGATTATCCAAGCGGAAATAAAAGAGAAGATGAATTCATTGTTTTCATTTTATTGTTACAAGTTTTTTTCCGGTTATTCAGTTATTGTTGTTTGACCCAAACGGGATATATATAGATTATTATTATTATTTATTAGTCACACCGATAATTATCATCATCATTTATCATTATTGTTTATTGCATCATCATCATTGATCCACGTCCTTTGTCCCATTTATATTGTGAAAGATCATAATTGAAAATATGAATCAAAATCGATATGAATATTATACGTAACGTTGAAATGATATAAATAATGAGACCAGGCCATATGAAAATGTTGCCTAGAATTAAAAGAATGAAAAATTTTTTTTTTGGGGGGTTTTCGAATCACATGAAACTTACTTGGAACAATTTTAATTTTCAATGAAAATTCAATGAAAAATAAATAGCTTAAAAATAGAAAATCAACAATGCATAGTATAGATAAAAATGTACCAATATCAGTATAAAGAGCGATCAATTCATTTTCAAAAAATAAATGATACAATGACCATATTGTTAATGTTAAATAAATGAATGAACAATAAAAATGAAGCCAATAAAATTGACGATTTTCAATAAACAATTCATTTGATGATTGTAATGATGTCAATAAACTGATGGCCATTGAAATGATATTCAATATTGTTACTGTTAATAGAATGAAAATTTGCCAATAGATGATGAACATTTAGATGGTGAACATGCACAAACACACACACATATGAATTGATAATGATGATGATGATGAAAAATTCACTGACATCTATTCAAAATGAATAGAAATTTTTACCATCGATTTATGGATAAATAATTGAAATTTCTTTAAATATCAATTGATTTTTTTTTGTTTTGAATTTCGAATATTGCAAAAAATGAAAAAAATTTTATTTTTAAAAATTCGAATTTTTACAAGAAATGGAATGAGATTTTTTTTCCCATTATTCTGGAACATGAATATTTGTCAAATGGTCCAACAGATGCCGCTACATTTATTCGCTAAAATTGTTTTTGTTTTTGTTTTTCATCAAAAATTCTTTGATGATAATCAAAAAAAAAAAAAAGAAAAGAAAAAAGTGAAGGCGTTATTTTTGTTCATACGTTAAGAGTTTTTTTTTTTTATTTGCTTATCCTATTTAGTGATTTGATAATTTTTTGTTTTCTCTCTTTCATCCAATCGAATCATTCATTCATCATGGACAAAAGTAATATATTCTTTTCTATTTAGATTCTGTGATTTAATGTCTTTTTTTCCCCTGTTAACTTTATAGGATTAATAATGGCTTTATAGTTTTTATTTTTCCAATTTTAAATGATGGATAAAAGCAATAATGAAACCAATAATTTACCGGTGGAAAATGATGATTTACAAATGAAAAATAAACGAACCACAACGATGACGACCATCACCACCACCGGTTTAATTGAAAGTGTACGACGTAAATTTAAAAGCAAAGATATTGGTCGTCAATTTTGGATGCCCGATTCAACATCGATAAATTGTTTTGATTGTGCAACCAGATTTACAACGATTAGACGTCGTCATCATTGTCGAATATGTGGACAAATTTTCTGTAGTAATTGTTGTAATGAAATGATTGATTCTCGATTGATTGATTCACGAGATTCTACCAGCAATAACAATACCAATAGTGGCCTTTTACGTGTATGTAAATATTGTTCCAATCGTTTGCAGAATTTATTTACAGAAAAATCTAAAAACAATTCGAATGCATCAAATACCGATTTACGTGATCAAATTCATCATCGTCGAAAACAATCAAGTTCCAGTGAAAATCGAAAATTTTCCACATCTTCTATTGGTGATATTGTTCGATTTGCTAAAGCAAATTTCGATAATAGTGATTCAGTAATGATTGATTTGAAAAAAGATCATCATCATCATCATCATCATCATCATCATCGTCATTCATATCAATCATCAACACCGAAAAATTATCGTCCATCTTCAGCTGCTGCTGCTGTGACATCGGCAAGTTTTGATAGTCGATTCATTCTCAATGATGAATTGTCCATATCCAATGATAATAATTCATTATTATCTTGTTCATTTGATAATGTTCAAATATTGTTGGATGAAATCGATGAAACCATTGATAAACGAGAACCAATTTGGGTGAAAGAAATTGATGAAGAAGCTCGATTGAAAAAACAGGCGAATAAATTTTCATTTATAAGCGAAGATAAACAAAATAATAATTCTATTGTTAATGATCAAATTTCACATGATAATGATGATGATGATGATGATGATGTTGATGAAATTCGTTCATCAATTAATTATCGATCCAATGATGATGATAATAATGATAAAAATGTTAATGATAATCATAAAATTATTGTAACAGATCAATATGATAATCATCATACAAATGATCAATTGGATGGTAATGATGATAAACCACCACAATCATCGAATCAATCATTATTCAATGATACATTAATCTATTTGGATAGATTTTTTGATAAAAATCCATTTTTCACTACAACAAATCAAGAATCAAAATTGGAAAATGATCAACGGAATGTATCTATTGAAAAAATTGATAAAACAGAATTACCTATACTTACCATGAATTATATTTATAATAATCATTCGGAACGAATTTTAAATCAAATTTTAAAAGATGAAAAAATGTCCATCGATTGGCATCCGATATTGAATACGATGGCAAAACAAATTGCCGATACGATAAAATTACCACAATTTTTATATCTACATTCCATCGATAGTTATTATCAACTAAACACTGATTCATCAATTATATCACCATCATCGAATGAAATTTGTCCATATCCAATGGATATAAGAAAACGTGTAAAAATCAAAAGCATTCTGAATGGTTCGAAAAATGATTGCACAATCATACAAGGATTGGTATTTACGAAAAATGTTGCACATAGAAAAATGCGTACAAATATTGATCAACCACGAATATTATTGTTTGCTTGTTCTATTGGTTATGATGAACGTCGACGATCACAACCATCATCATCATCGACATCACAATTTAAATTAACATTATTTGATTCAATGCGTCTACAGGAAACTGATTACATTGCTAATCTTGTGGCCAAAATTGAATTATTACGACCAGATATTATTTTTGTTCAAGGTACTGTTTCACAAACGGCATTAGAATTACTGCGACAGAAACAAATAACCGTTATATTGAATGTCAAATGTTCATTATTGGAACGGATTTCATTTTTCACCAAAGCTGAATTGATTCATTCACCAGAAATGATTCTCAATACAACCATTGTTGGTGGTTGTCAGAAATTTTTTTTAAAAGATTATCAAATGTCACCAGATACGCAACAACAACAACAACAACAACAGACGAGAAGAAGAAAAATTTATTTTACAAATACAAAAACATTAATGTTTCTTGAAGGTTGTATTGAAAATATTGGCTATTCAGTTATATTACGTGGTAGTACAAGATTTCAAGATTTTAAAAAATTGAAAAAAATTCTACGCTATATGATGTTTGTACATTATAATAATCGTTTGGAGAAAGCCTATCATCAAAGTTTTAATTGTATGCCTATCGATGAAAGAATGATCAATAATAATAATAATGATGATGATGATGATGGCGATGGCTGTGTATCATTAGGTCAATATTATCAAATGATGATTCGTTCCAATAATCAAACAATTAGAAAAATAATAATAATAATAATAATAGTGGTCACTGTAATGAAAATTTTAAAAATTAATGTCAAATCATCATCAACGCTGACAACAAAAATGGAAAAAGTATCTCAACTGACCATTATTGAAGATTTTTCCGATCCACTTAGATCAACAGTAGCAGCCACAGTAACGGAATTGGATCCACAAGAAAATCAATATAATAATAATAGTGGTCATAATAAAATGACCAATGAACCATTAATTCAGATGCAATTATTATCGAAAAAATTGGCAAAATTTTTAGATACAATTCCATTATCTAGTTCACCATTAATACGTTTTAATTTACCATTTTTAATGTATGAAAATATTCATCACATTTCAAGTTTACGTTTCTATTATCCATTCAGGCTACTACCATCTAAACGTCTATTTGAACATGATGATAAAAGTGGCGATGTTTTCATTGATGATGATGATTTTGCCAATTATTCATATCTATTCGATGGAAAACAATCATCATCAAATGATGATGATGACTATGGTAGTAAAAATGAATCATCAAAATTGTTATTTTTAAATTCACTTACTAGCCGTTATATGATTGTTAAACCGCATCCATTTTTGATTAATGATGATTATGATTTCAATCAAAAAAGTCAACAATACATATCGGATTTTCGTGCATGTGGTCCTTATTTACGTTATGCACCGGATTTTTTCACACGTAACAACGTACGTGGACAACCACCACCACCACAACAACAACAACAACAACATTCGAATTCGAATTCGAATAATAATCATACAATGATGATGATTGATGAATGTCTAAGTAATCTGGAACATCAAAATATTTCCATATTATTTTCAGTGTTTTCATTACAAACGGAAACTGTATTTAATTATTGTTTGAAACCGAAAATATTATCAATCAATTATTATGGTAATAATGATATGTCATTGGGTTCATTTTTATTTCTACATTTTTTCCATCGTCAATCATGTTTCAATCAATCATCAATGATTAATGGCCAAACAATGGTAGTGACAAATAATTTTAATCATGCACAAGAAATGTTTGAAAATACTGTACTTTTCAATAATAATAATAATAATAATATGGCTACAAATGTGGGTAGAAAAATATTTTGCCCTAATGATAATTGTCATATATCAATGTTTAAACATTTGATGCGTTTCACTCATCATAATGGAACAATTACTGTGTATCTAAATAAATTGAATGAATCACGTAATGTTGAGATGCCGCATAAAATTCTTACATGGACCTATTGCACGCAATGTCAATCAATATCGGAATATACGGAAATGTCTGCCGATTCTTTAGCAATTTCATTTGGAAAATTTTTGGAACTAAAATTTTTTGGCAATCAACATTTTAATTATCAAAAGTTTTTTGATGATGAAGATAATGATGCTGATGTTGATGCTGAATTGGATGGTAATCGAAAAAAGAAAAATCTATGCCGTCATTCATTACATAAAGAAAGTTATCAATTTTTTTCATATGATCAACTTGTCGTTATTTTTAAATATGAACCAATAGTAATATATGAGATTGTTACACCAGCACCTGTCATACCGGTAACAAGAAATCATTTTTCAAAAACAAAAATGATCGATGATCTTAAACAATTGACTGAACAATGTCATGAAGTTTTTGCTAAGATTAAAAATGAATTGGAAAAAATTCAATTAATGATTCAAAATGGAATGACAACATGTTCGACAGCGACTACTACTAATACTACTACTACATCGACATCGAATACATTATCAAATAATGTTGAAACAATGAATAATTTGGCCAAATTAGAAGAATTTCAACTAATGCAACAAAAAGAAGAATTGGATTTTAATCGAAAAATTAAAGAAATGCATTTTCAACTTTCTATACCGGAATTAAATCAGGCAAATGTATTGGACCTATTCAATTTAGAAAATAATGTTGCATTTATTAAGAAATTGATTGCCGAAATTGTTCGATCATGGAATGATCGATTCCGTGAATTGTTTCAAGAAGATTCATTTGGTGGCCAATCAAAAAAACGTAATAATATTGATAATAAATTTATAACATCATTTGTGAATCGTTTTCTATCGAATGATTTGGAATCCAAATCTAATAATGACAAGAATCATGTTGAAAATGAGAATAATAATGTGGACGTAAGTGGTAAAGATGATAATTTATCATCATATTTTAGTGATCTAAATGAAATTTATGATACAAATTCCATTGAATCATCCAATGTGGATAATAATCAAGAAAAATCACCAAATAAATTGAGTTTATTGAAAAATAAAATGCTTTCAAAAGTGGCACCAAAATCATCATCATCATCATTATTAACAACAACAACAACAACAACACAGGACAATCCAGATTCATCATTATCATCATCATCATTTACATCAAAAATTTTTAATCGAAATATTGATGATATGAATGTTATTATTGAAATGCCATTCGATAATAACAACAGCAGCAGCAATAATAAAAATGTAAACAAATCAAATCAAATGTTTGAACATTATCAGTTACCTACATATAAAGATGTATCGATAATTGTACGTGATCGTGATCTTGGTTCAATAATTTCCTATTCATTAACAACACCAGAATATGAACAAAAATTGTCGGCAATTAAATCTGAAATGGAAGCAAAATCAAATGTAATAAATGAATCGATTAAAGTGACAGCGGAAACAAACGAAAAAAACAAAATGAATGATTCACAAATGACAAATAATGCTTCAATGGCAATGGCAACTGCAACGACAAACAACAAGGTATTTATCATCAATTTTTTGTTGTTTTTTTTTCTGTTTTCAATTTTTTTTTATTCCTTTACAGAATGAACAAACAGAATTGAATAGCACAAGCTGTAGCAACAACAATAAAACAGTAGCAAAAAATGCATCGTTAGATCAACAACATAAACAAAATCAACCGCAAGAGAAAATAAATCAACATATTGATATTCAATTTAATGATGTGAATGCAAAATTTTATTGTTGTATATATTTTGCTGAATTATTTCGAAAATTTCGATCATTAATCATGATTGATGGTGGAAATTCAGCTCGTTATACTATACGTGATAATAATCATCAACAACACAATCATTCATCTTGTTCATTTTCTGAAGATCTTTATATTTATTCATTAGCAAATTGTTTACCATGGAATGCTATTGGTGGAAAATCTGGATCAACATTCTTGAAAACACGTGATGAACGTTTCATATTGAAAGAAGTATTAAAAGGAGAAGTGAAACATTTTCTTACATTCGTTAGTGATTATATTGATTATTGTGAACGTACATTATTGGAAAAATTACCATCCACATTGGTCAAAGTTGTTGGTGTCTATCAGATTAGCTACAAGAATACATTGAACAATAAAGGTTCAATACATTATATATTGGTGATGGAAAATTTATTCTATGAATGTAATCATGTATCATATATTTATGATTTAAAAGGTTCAATGCGTAATCGTAAAATTGATGTGGCTTCCACATATCAATCGAATAATAGTAACAAAAATCAAGATGAAGATATGAATACTAATAAAATGATTGATACAGATTCATCATTGAATAGTACAGCATCGAATAGTGATCAAATTCGTTCTATGGATAATAGTCAAACAGCAATTACAAAAACAACAACTACCACGAACATGACAACAACATCAACGGTATTATTGGATGAAAATCTTCGACAAATTAGTATTGCATATCCATTATATGTACATGTTCATTCGAAAATATTCCTTATGGAAGCTATTGATCGTGATTCAGAATTTTTGAAAAATCATTGTGTTATGGATTATTCATTATTGGTTGGTTTCGATGAAGAACATAATGAATTTGTTGTCGGTATTATTGATTATGTAAGGCTATTTGATTGGGGAAAAATACTTGAAAGTCGTGTGAAAAAAATTGCCAATGCTATTGATCCAACTGTTGTTCATCCTTCGGCATATCAAAAACGTTTTGTAGATGCAATTAATGATTATTTTACACAAGTTCCAGATAAATGGTATCCATTTATGAAACTGACACCTTTAACGGGCAAACCATTTTTACCTGATGATTGTAAACAACAACAACAGAAATCAAATTGTGATATAAATGCTGATAATGTTTATAATCAATCGATTATGAAATTGAAAATATCATCAACCTAATGATGAAACTGTGTAAATACAATTTCTGTCTGTGATGCTTAAAATAATCGATGATCGAATTTGTCAATCCAAATCCATCATCATCATCATCATCGTGGTGGTTTGCGTGCAAAGAATTTGTTTTATTTTACTTCTATCTCTTTTTCTTTTACACATGCACACAAAAAACATTATGTAAACAAAACAAAACAAAAAAAAATTCTTTTTTGATCAAATATTCAGACCATGAAAAAAAAATTCAAATAATTTTGTTAAAAACAAATGAAAATTCAAAATCATCACGCATTTCATGTTCTGAAACACAAAATGACAATAATGATGATGAATCCATATTTCTCTCTGTTTGTGTATTTGAAGGTCGTGAAATAAAAATGAAGAGAAAAAAAAACAAATTCCGAACACCAGAACAAAAACTAAACTAAACTAAAAGCCAAACCACATACAAGTATGGCCAAAAAAAATTTCTGTGTCATGATCATCAGTCGTGTGATGATGATGATGATGTATTACACCATATCCAGTATCTATATCATTTTTTGTCCATAAAATGGATCTATATATAGATTTTTTTTTATTATTCGCTGGTACACATTTCATTCAATTTCGCTAAATATATACCGTATATTTATATATATATAAATAGATTCTTTGATTCATGGACACACATTGTTAGCGGTTGGAACAACTAGAATCACAAAATTTTTTTTTTTCATTCAACATCCAGATCATCATTCGTTTTCATTTTCTTTTTTGATAAACTAAAAATAAAAAAACGTCGAGTTCGTGTTATCGTCATCAGTTGGTGGTTGGTAGTTGGATGGGTGGGTGGATGAGAATGAGAATGAAAATGAGAGAACAGGGAAAAAAATGAAACTGAATGGATCGAAATAGCTGAGAGATGTTAAAAGGTTTAATATATACCCCTTTTTTTCTATAGAGAAAAAAAAACGACTGAACATAATCATCATTATCATATATGAAACAAAACAAAAAACAACAAAAAAAACACCCATATAAAAATGCATTATAATCTGAGAAAAAAAAAAAAGTTTTCCATGTCTATGAATATTTCACATGTACATTGTGTATGAATGGATGTTCCCAAAAAAAAAAAAAAAAAAAATGAATCGAACGAATATATTCGAAACTAGAATAAAAATAAAGACAGTGAAGCCCACATTCAAACACACACACAGAATAATATGCACATTTATGACATTGTGTTATATACGGAAATCGAAAAAAAAAACTCGAAACAAAAAAAAAATTTCCCTTCACGACAACGAATAAAACATTCGAAACAACAAGCTAGCCATTGCCGGAGACAAGGCAAGTGAAAAGAGAGAGAGAGAGAGAGAGAAACGATTGAAAGCAAATTAACTTAAGAAATATAATGTTTTTTGTGTGTCTGTTTTTGTTGTTGTTGTTGTTGTAGACGCATAAATGTCAATGAATTACAACAATAAACAACAACAACAACAACAACAACAACTGCCATCAAGAATGTGTGAAGAAACAGCAAGAATATATTTAAAAGAAACAAAACAACAACGACAACAGAAATATAACAACAACAACAACAAAAAACAGCTAACGGAATCAAAAGGTTAGAAACACACACAGACACAAAGATAAATAGTAGCAAGTTTTTATATAAAACAACAACAATAAAAATAATAAACATCGTTCTTTCTTTCTTTCTTTTTTTTTATAGCCACGAAAAAAAAAATTTCTAAACTTTCTAGTTCTTTTCTAGACCAACAACAACAACAACAACGAATGGAACGACGAACAAACATGTATGAAACATTATTATCATGCTAGCATCCGGATTCTGTGTGAAACATACCGATACACAAAACGCACATAGAGAGAATACTGTGTGTGTGTGTGTGTGTGTGATTTTTCTATTTTTTTTTCTGGTCCTAGAATTTGAAATGAACATCATCATACATGTTTCATCATTATTATCAAGGAACTATAAAAGATTCTTGCGCGCCAAATCTATTGATGGATTTCTATTTCTATGATTCAAGAATTTTTTTTCACTTTTGACCATATTTATGCGCATGTTTTATACATCTAGTTCCAAATATGAAGATGATGATGACGTCGACAAACGAATCTGGAGCATAGAATCAAAAAAAAACGGACATTTTTTGGAACATACATTCAATGAACAAAAAAACGGGACCCGATCAAAAAAAATCCATAATGAATGTTACGGGACAAACCGAGTCACAATGAGCGAGATTTGAAAGTAAATGTCTATGTGAGTGGTGTGTGTGTGTGTGTGTACGAATTGTGGTCGAATGTTGAATGGGCAAAAAAAAAAAGAACGAAAAATGAAAAAGAACGTTTGATTTTAGTTGATTGTCTATGGTTTGGAGTTTTGTTTTGTTTTGTTTTTTTTTACTTTACTTTACTTTTGTCGTTTCGTTTTTTTGTGATTATAAAAATTGACGATGACGATGACGACGACCAACAAATAACACAACAACAACAACAATAACAAAAATCGAATGTTTTTTTTTTGCATGCAAAAATCTCATTTATTTTACCTGAATTTTTTTTTTTCATTTTACTTTCTTTATTTGGTTTTTTTTCGTCGTTGTTGTTGTTGTTCCACCCTACCAACAGCGACAACAACAACAAAAATGTGTATTCAATGTGTTTTATATTCATGTTCATCCTCATTCAAATGTCAAAGTTGATCTTCATCATCAACAAAAATTTGCTCAAAAAAAAAAATTATTCACTCCTTTTTTTCGATGATTAATTGCTCGTGTGTATGTGTGCAATAAATGTATTGATATCGATATAATTAATAATCAATCAATCATCGATATGTTTTAAATAGAAAGGACATTGTTTTGTTTTATAATTATAAAATAACATTTGATTTGATTTGATTTGATGATCAGCGATTGTATTGATTGAATGAATGACTAAGAAATTGTGGGAAAAAAGTGAATGAAATGGCTAGTCATCGACAACAAAATATACAACAGCATAGTGTTACTGTACATCATAGTGATGATGATCATCATCATCATCATCATGATTCAAAATCGTTACCCACTTATAAATTAAAGCCAAATAATAATAATTCTCAACAACAACAACAACAACAACAATATGTTGCACAACAACAATTTCAACAACAACATCATCAAAGATCAACACAAACAAAAAGTTTTGATGATAATACATTATTATATCATCATACAACAAAAGATCCACAATTATCATCATATATACAACAACATCAATATCCACAAACAGAACCTAAACAATATAGTAATACCAGTGGTCATCATCATCATCATCATCATCAAAAACATCGAAGACATTCATCTACTTCAAGAATTAAAAATGATCGTGGATTATCAACAACAACAGCAACGGTGTTGGTGGCAGTAATAATGTGAAGAATAATAGTAATTTTATTACAAGTATAACGAATAATTTTATGAGTTTCGGTGCACCATTCCTATTTGATTGGAGATTATTCTGTGAAAGAGGTTAATAATTTGATGATTATTTTTGATGAATAAATTTAAATCGAAATGATCTTTTTTCCAGGACAACCACGTTATGTTCATAAACATGAAGGTGATGGACTACGAGTGGATGAATGTGAAGCACGATTTCTCAACAAGGTAACATTCATTGACCAGAATGAAATTGAATGATTTTCATTTTCATTTTTATTTTTATTTTTTTCAGATTGCTCAAGAAGAAAGAGCATCATTGAATGCCATTTCAGATGAAGATGATCAATCAACATCATTACGACATCAACATCAACAACAACAACGAAAAAATAAATCCAGTTCAGCTGCAGCAATGAATGTTGAATGTTTAGGTTCGGTACGAAAATCTGGTTTTCTTTCCGTTAAAAAATGGTTAATAAGAAAAAAGAATTCATTAGAATTGGCCAGAAAACGTGGCTGGAAAGGGTAAGTGGATGAAAAAAAACCAATATTTTGATCGTTACAAAATTAATTTGTCTATTTTCGAAAAAAAATTTCACAGCTATTGGGTTTGTCTCAAAGGAACAACATTATTATTTTATCGTTGTGATTGCGATGATAATAAATCTGGTGGCCATGTGATAGAAGCTCGGCCACGACATTTAATATTTGTTGATGCTTGTCTTGTGCAAGCAATACCTGAACATCCAAAACGTGATTTTGTTTTCTGTTTATCAACAGCATTTGGTGATGCATATTTACTTGATGCTCCTTGTTTGGTTGAACGTGATTTTTGGATTGCAGCAATTCATTGTGCCTGTGCCGCTCAACTAGCCAGAAGTTCTGGTCGTGCAACTGTTTCACATGTTCTTCATAAAGAAATCAAACGATTAGAAGAAACAATTGAATTTGATACACGTGCCAAAACTGAAGCTGAACAAATCATTTCTACAGCATTGGCTACTGGTTCATTAACGGCCACTGAAGCTAAATCAAAACAACAACAATTAATGAATCAGATACATAATCTTGAAGAAAAGATTGAAAAGAATCGTATTGAAATATTTCGTTTTCGTGCTTATTTAGCAGCGTAAGTTGATCTGGTTTATTTTATTTGATGTATCAATTTTAATTTTTTGGAATTTAATCTCTTCGAATAGAATTACCAACGAAGAAGATCCTAATCCAAAAACCTTATTATCACAGACAACTAAACGTTCAAAAATTCAGCTCAATCGATTAGGTGTTTTTTCTGTGTCTTCATTACATGGTAAGCAATTGATTTTAGCTCAATTTTTTTGTTTATATAACGTTTCTTCAAATTCTTTCTACTTTTCCACACACACATCATCATCATCATCGTCATTTTCAAGCTTTCAATTGTGCCAAAAATCCGACAATCATTGGAAATCTAACTAGATCTAGTTCTGAAGATAATCTTTGTGCACAAAATTCAATATCTACTTATGAACATTATGCACAAGATGAAATCCAATCTTTCCAACGCCATACATAAAGAAATTCGTGTGACCGTTTTTGTTAAAATGCTCAATGGTGAATTGAATAAATTGGAATTTAATGCAGCACTTTCAGCTGATCAAGTTTTAGGTAAATTATTACCATCATCAATTGCACGTGATTATTATCTACGTCATATGGATGATTCAAGTATTATTTTTAAACGTCATGAAACCATATTGAATCATTCAAATATAACATTGGAAATTGTGCCAAAAGTATGTCAAAATTTGATTTTTTATGAATTTTAATTTTTTTTTTTTTTCACAAATCACCATAAAGATCATGTTCACATGTGAAATGACTCGTGAATCGAATGACACACTTTTTGGATTTTCAGTAGAATCAGAATTATGTCAAGATGATTTGCGTGTTTATGTATCACGTGTTGAGCCAGGTTCATTGGCTGCTCTACAATCATTACGACGAGGCGATGAAATTGTCGTCATAAATGGTGCATTCGTACAGGATCTTGATATGATGTATGTGGAATCAATTCTTCAGGAAGAGTTGGCTCTCTGTCTTACTATCAGGTAATATTTGAATACTTTTTTCCAATGATGATTTGATTTATTTTTTTTTGATATCAAAAAAAAGGGCTGCAAGAGATGAAATGAATATAAATAGTCGACCAAGTAGTAGCCAATGTAATTTTGGCCATACAACAAATTCTTGGAATCAAAATATTAATGTGAATCCGGCCACAAGTCTCAGTGCTATAGATTTAACACAAATACCTGTTGTTCAACAACAATCACAACAACAACAACAACAACCGCAACAGCAGCAGCCAAATACTGATGATTTAATTGAATCATTAGTCTGTCCACCACCGCCACCAATTGATGTTTCACAAATGATTCTTTCAGAAAAACAACTTAGTAAATATATAGTGCCCAAAGTGGATAATTATCTTTTGTCACCACCACCACCACCACCATCCAATGATGATAAATTTATGCACTGCCAACATAAAAAGAGCTTCATCGATAGTCGCCACCATTCTCATCATCATCATAGATCATCGAATCGTTCATTTTCATCAAAATCAGCCAAATGCTCATCAAGTGCCAAATGCACCAACGTTAATAATAATGATCAGATACCGATTCGGCCACATTCAGCTGCAGCTATTAGTTATCCAAGATCCGGCCATCATCATCATCGTCATCATTATCATGGTCATCATCATCAAGGCCATCATCATAGTCGATCATCGAATGTATCGGTTACAAATCCAAATCATCATCACCATCATCATCATCATCATCATCATAGTAGTACGAAACATATTTATCATATTAATGATCCACATCAAGCTAATCTTTATGGACTTTTAGAGCAACAATTAGCTATAAGCGGAAATTATGATGCTCAACAACAACCACAACCACAATCGATTGTTCCGAATTCTAATCAATCAACTTTTGATCATCAATCAACATTATTGATGACAAATCCACCAATTGACCAGCAACACATTCCAACAATGATACCTACATCGGCATCTGTTGGCGGTAGTGGTGGCGGTATACAACCTGAACTTGCTCAAATTTCGGAAACAGAACTTGCTACATTAAATGAATCATCAATAATATCCAGATGTAAGATTGATGATCAACAACGACAACAACAACAACAACAAATCGATAAATCTTTAGATTTGGGCAAAAATCAAACACCATCAATAAATGTTCATGAAGAATTATCATCATCATCAGCGACAAAAAATCTTTATGGTGGTGAAATTACAAATGAAAAATTACGCAAAGTTATACACGAATTATTGGATACGGAAATCACTTATTGTCAAGCATTAGATCAATTAATGACACTTTATTTGGATCCATTGTTGAAAAGTTCAGCATTAACCATTCTTGATTCACGAATATTGATCGGATCAATACCAACAGTGATTATAACACAGAATCAATTTCGTGAAGATCTAACCACAATCATTAATAATGATGATTTAAATATTGAAGGAATAGCTAAATGTTTTCTAAATTATAGTAATGATTTTAAAAATTATTCGGTAAGTATTTATGTTTTGGTTTTCTTTTTTTTCTGAAACAAAAAAAAAAATTTTTTTTCCTCTTTCACACACACCCACACACACACACAGACATTTTGTGCATCACATGCAAAAGCAATCAAATTACTTGCAGATGAAAAATCTATTCTACATGAATGGCTAACGAAACAATCAAAACTATTGAAACATCCTAATATGTATTCATTGGAATCATATCTTATAAGGCCAATACAACGGATATTGAAATATCCGCTTCTATTGTCACAGATGAAAACATTGTGTTTGAAAGATTCACAGCCATATTTTAAAATTAATGAAGCATTACGTGCAATTGAAAATGGTGAGTTCAATATATGATAATTTATTAGTCATTTCCTGGCTAATCATTGTTTTCATTTTAATCATACAAATGTACAAAAAAAAAAAAAATATAGTGGCCGAACATATAAATGAAATGCAACGAATTAATGAAGAATATGGTACTATATTTGAAAATCTTCTTACCAGTACAAAAAGTGCTGGATCATCAAAGAAAACAATCTGTCCATTTGATTTGACACCGACATCTTTGTTACATGTAATTATTGATTTTTTTTTTTTTGATTTTTTTCAATGCTAATTCTTGTGTATTATGTATAGTATGGCGGTGTTGAATGGATAAATTCATTGGAATTTTTGGGAAAAAGTTTTCGCAAAAGTACATCAAACAGTGGTGGATTAAATCTTCATTCAATGTGTTTTGTATTCAGACAATGTGTTGTATTCTTATGTAAAGAAACCGTTAGGCATGGAAAATCAAAAAAACAAAGTGCTACCGATATGGAAATCATTCGTCATCAAGTATTAATACCAGTATCAGAAGTACAAGTTCGTGCCTGTCCACAAACCACTGAACAGGAACTTGATTTTAAATGGGAATTAATTCAATTGAAAACAAATGCACAGGGAAAACGTTCAGAGAAAATATTTCGACTTACAAATAGGTAATTTATTATCATGAAATTGAATGAATTTTCTTTCTAAATTTTTTTTTTCTTTAATCACACAGTACAAATGAATACAGAAATCTATTTCTTCGTACAATTCGTCAGATAATACGTGAAGATGTACGTCGTATGAATATAATGGGATCAAAACAAATATCAACAAAATCGGAAACAAGTCCAACAACAAAAAAAAATGATAAAAAACATATTGTTTCATTTGCATCGACACAGAATCTAACACGTTGTGGTTATTGTGGTGAAGATTTTACTAAAATGTTTAAAAAAGTCTAAAAAAAGTGAGATATCATCATCATCCCTATTATTATTATTATCATCATCATCATCCATCATCAAATTCAATGATACGTTCAATACATTACAAGACTTTTACGTGAGATAAACACCAATCTACCACATACACACACACACTGACAGACACTCAAATGAAATACGAACAAACAGAAAAAATACATTCGATTTTTTTTTGTGATTTTTTTTTCATCTTATCTTGGATGTGATTATTATTATTTTATTGTTCTGGAAAATTATACATACAGACGATACCGGTTTTTGATTATAGTGACAATTAACTTATAAAAAACACAAAATGACAATAACAACAAGTGAACTCTCTCTCTCTCTCTCTCTCTTCTCTATCATTATTATTATACAACCCAAAATATGTGTATAGTTTGTCCATTTATATATATGATTATATTCTTTCTTTTTCTTCAACGTTTAAATTCTGCATAAATTGTTTCTTTTTTTTTTTGGGGAAGACAAAAATAACAGCAGCAGCAGCAGTGTGTGTGTGTGTGTGTGGTTACCCGTCCATTCGAATTATTCTTAAAAAATTTTTGTCTTCTTCATTGAATTGAATCTACACACAAGAATCATCATTTCATTTGCGGATCCAAATATTGATGATAAATCACAGTGCAATCGTCAGTTTCCAAAATGGTCTTTCCTTTTTTTTTCTTCTATTGTTGCCATTGAGAAAACAGCTCATTTGAAATAAAAATCATCAACTCATATATAATAAACTTTACTAATGATAATATCAACTGAATGGCAATCTTTTTCTTTCCATAACAAAAAAAAACAAAACAAAAACGCAAATGTTTCATTTCAATCATTCAATCAATCAATCAAAAAAAAAAAATGTCTTTCATTTTTGATTTCAACAAACAACAACAACAACAACAAAACAAGAAATGAACAAAAACGAAAAACACTCAATTGTCAATTAACCAATAGTCATTCCACAACAATTGTATCCACAACAATATACACATTTGAATTATTAGCCAAAAAACACACACACACACACATCCACACAATTTTCATTTATATATTTATAGAAGAGATTTATTAGTAAAAAATAAATAAAAAAAAAAAAATTAATTTTTATCCTCATACCGCGGTCGGTTGTTGTTAATTTTTTTTATACACCCTGTATTCATGTGAATGGAATGTTCATGTAAAAAGGATGTCTCATCACATCATCATATGATTAGCAGACACACACACACGCAAAAAAAAAAGAACAAGAATGTCTTGTCTGTTATATTATGGTTGGTGTGTGTGTGTTTGGCATGCTTTTTTTTTGTTTGATTCACATGATGGATAATGACGTTATATATCGATTTTGATGATCAAAAAAATTTTGATATCACTAATTTGTTGTTTCGAACATGATGAACGATCACAAAAAAAAAAAAACATGTTTGTTATCAATTTTTTTTATCATTGAAAAAAAATGTTTTTTCTTTAGTTGTACAAAAAATGAATGAAAATGGAAAACGAATCAACTGTCGATAGGGGTCATCATCGTGTAAATAATAATCATCATCATTTTTTAAAAAAACAGTGAAATTTGATTTTGAAATGAAATCCCAGGATGAAAAACAGCCATTAAATCCGGCTATTCATGGAGCTATCGATCTATTGGCTGGATCAGCTGGTGGTACGGCCAACGTTTTGGTTGGACAACCATTGGATACAATCAAAGTTAAAATGCAAACATTTCCACATCTTTATAAGAATACAATGATTTGTTTCAAACAAACATTGTTAAAAGTATGTTTTCTTGTTCACTGGAATTTGTTTTTCACCATTTTTCCATCCCAATCATTCAGGAAGGTGTACGAAAAGGATTATATGCCGGAACATTACCAGCATTATTGGCAAATGTAGCAGAAAATTCTGTTCTATTCTGTGCATATGGTTTTTGTCAGAAAATTGTACAATTTGCAACGAAAAAAGATTCCTGTAATGCATTAGAGAATGCTACAGCTGGTTTTTTAGCCGCATTTTTCTCTTCATTCACATTATGTCCAACTGAATTGATTAAATGTAAATTGCAGGCATTACGTGAAACGGGTAAAGGTTCAATCGGTGCATTCGAATTGACTCGTAACATTCTTAAATCTGAAGGTTTGTTTCTGTTAAATTCATTGTTGAAACAAATGATAACTTATTTTTATTTTTATTTACGATAGGAATTCCTGGTTTATTTCGTGGATTAACCTCTACAATGGCTCGTGAAATGCCTGGATATTTTTTCTTTTTCGGTGGTTATGAATATACAAAATCAGCAATGATTAAATATGGTGGACAAAGTGAAGAATTAGGTTTAATGAAAACAACAATAGCCGGCGGTATTGGCGGCATTTGTCTTTGGACATCAATATTTCCATTCGATGTGGTCAAATCACGTATACAAATCCAATCGAGCCAAGAATCAATGAATAAAGTATTGCTTACAATACTACGACAAGAAGGCATAAAAGGATTATATAATGGCCTTACACCAACATTATTGCGTACATTTCCATCAACTGGTGCATTGTTTGTTGCATATGAATATAGTAAACTTTATATGACTAAAGCTTTACTTGACTGAAAGAAATTTTTCTTTATAAATTCTGTAATTAAAGTTAATTTAGGCTTTTGTATTGAATAAATCTAGGATTTTTTTACTCTAAAATATCTAAATCTTTACACAAATAGATGTTTGTGTAATTTAAGGCTATTCAACCATGTTTGTGTGTGCGTGTGTGTGCGGTTTTTTTTTTGTTTAGCATTGACATTAACCACAACAACAACAACAACAACAACAACAAAATGAATGGCCAGAAATAAAAACCTGAAAAACATCATTATTATTATACAATTGAAATAAAGAATGAAGAGCAAACTTGGTATACTGAAATACTACTGTTATATTATTTACCGTTTGTAATGTTCGTTAACCTCATTTAGTTTTTTTTTCTCATATTATGTTGCTTGTTTGAGTTTATGGTGGCAAACAAAGGTAAACTTGAACTTTGGCCAATTTTATTTTTTCTTGTTCGCCACAATTTGCCAGAAGAGTCATCGGACTGTTATTCCATTAATGAACCCGAACTTGTTTGTCGGGTTTTGGTAAAATTTTTCGTTCTTTTTTTTCTGTTGCATTTTTTATTCTCTATTGATTTTTCATTCTACTTCAAAAGAAAAAACGGCAAGTCAAACTTTTTTTTTTAAAAACAATGTTCATTCAGGATCTTCACTTGAGATTGTGAAAAAAAAACTTCAAATTGCTCAAATTTCGAACAGAAACAGAAAAAAAAAAAAATGAAACACTTGATCATTTTATCGATTATTTTTATATGGAATTTAATTAATCTTGATGTAAAAATTCATTGCCATGATCATACTCCTGTTTCCAAGATTAAAATACCTAAAAGTAAGTAACTTGATATTGGATTGAATTGATTTCTCAATGACATATATATGCCACTTTAGGAATCCATGATGTTTCTTATAAAGGTTAGTTTTTTGTGATTGTTTCAGAAAAAAAATTCCAACCCTTTTTTTATCCATTTATTATTTAGGTTCAATATTTTCTTACACTGTAAATGGACGTGATCCAATAAAAGCCATCAGAGATTTTGCATTAGAAACCGATGATATTAAAATGCTTGAAGAACGTTTTGTTGATCATTTTACTGAAACAATTTTATCAAAATTAGCCAATGAAATGAAATCTGGTATCCCGTCGATGAGTATTCCACCGATGGATCCATTACTTTTGAATGAAATACGTGTTGAACCACATATTGGAAATGAAATCTTTACGATTAAATTGAATAACATTCAAATTGAAGGACTATCTGATCTAGATATACAAGACATACGGCCACGATTGAATGTATTGAAAGTACGATTGGCATTACTATTTCCGAAAATTGCAGCCAATTGTCATTTTCGTGTCAATGGTACAATTTATAATGTTATCGATGTCAATGGTGAAGGCGATAGTAAATTGGAATACAATGATGTACTAGTACGTACACAGCTGAATTTAGTGCATGAAAATAAAACCTTTCGAATTGCTAGCTGTGATCCACCATTGATTGATTTTAATACGGCTAAAATTGTTCTATCAAATCATAATCAAAATAATAATACTACTACCACCGGAATTGCAAGCGAACTTGGACCATTATTATTCTGGGTTTTTGCCGATCATGTTGTACAGGAAATTGATCAATATCTACTTAAATATGTTAATAATAATATGTTATTATTCAAGGTACCGGAATCATTTAGTCCAGCCGTCACTTGGCTATTGAATCGTAGTTCATCACAACCATCATCATCATCATCATCATCATCATCATCATCGTCGTCGTCGTCGTCGTCATCTCAACATATTCCACAAATATTGAGTCCATTTCCATTGTTGAATCATTGGATAAATTCTTTATCCAATAATCTTAATCGACCACATATTCATACGAAATTCTTTAAAAAATAATATAATGGTAATGTTGTTTGCAGTTTTTTTAATCGATAAAACAAAAATTATTAGATTTATCGATCATTTTCATGGAAATGAAAATAATTTTTTCCCACTCCCACTGTGTGTATCCCAGACAACCAAAATAATAAAATGTTTGTCCAAAATAAAAACAATGAAACATTTTCACCAACCAAGTATTTGCAATAGAATTATTTTGAGTTTTTGAAAAAATTTTTAAAATTATTATGATAGGTTTATACATGAAAAGTACTCGAATGATGTGTATGAATTTGGTCATTAAAATTAAACCCAACGTATTAAAAATTATTGTGTGGATTTTTTTTTTTTTGTTATTGTTGATGTTGGTTGGATTATACATCACACAATTCTGTAATTGTGTAACATCCATTTAAATTTTCTGTCTCTCTCTCTCTCTCTCTGCTCCTAATTTCAATAATACTCATTGTTTGTTGTTGATTTTGGTCATCAAAAAAAAAATTTGTTACGGTCAAATAGTCAAGATTGGCCAAAAAAAAAATGTTGGAAAGTATTTTTGGCAAAAGCAAAAAATCTCGTAACCATCAAAAATCCAATAATGATGATTCGCCTAATGAAGATAATAGCTATGTGTTTGTTGGTAATAATAATAACAATAATAACGATCCTAATCGACCACCTTATCCACAAACATTGATGCTCAATGATGAGGTAATTATTATCAAAATAATTGATGATGATTGATGCCCCATGATGATAATAAATTTTTTTATTTATTTTCGAACAAATTTCTAAATGATCCTTTTATTTATTTAATTTTTTTTAGCTCATAAGAATGGGTTCATCATCGAATTCAATGTATCCTAGTTTGGATCCATCATCGATGCCATATTCAAGTGGTTCGAAAAATCATTTAAATGTTAAACAACATGCAACATGCCGTACTTGTTCACCGATTGATAATATACCATTTTCAATCAATGCCAATAATAATGGTAATAATGGTGATTCATTTGATGATGATGAACTGGAAATCTTGAATATATTGAATCGTGTGGAAAATTTTATGCAAACATCAAAATATGAATTTAATTTGGAAAATTCAATTTTACGTGAATCAATATGATCCTTGATTATTATACAATAAGAATCGTTAAATAATGTGAAAAACAACCGAAAAAAAACCAACCTTTGCCATTATCTAAAATGTTATGTAATTCAATTTGTATCGAATAATAATAATAATAATTCCTCTGTCTATGAATCTTGTGATATTTGTAAAAAAAAGAAAAAGAAAATTGCTTGCTCTATAACCACAATTTATTTTTATCGATTATTGATTGTTTATTGAAAACAACAACAACAATTACCATTCACAATTCAATTTAGCTAATTGTTAATTTACTTGAATCACGAACACATAAAATAATAAAACAGAAAAATAAGATGATGATGATGATGATGATCCATATAAAATCCATGACAAACGTCTGATATGATTGTCAGTTTGGAATTAATCCACTACCACTGAAGACGAAATCTATCCATTAACGAAATGGTATGATTTTTTTTGCTTTTGAGTTTTTGTTTTTCGCATCCATTTCTCTCTCTCTCTTTTTTTCATCATTTATTCCAGTTTGGTATAATCCATGATTGTCTTGAAGATTTTGTTGTCAAACTTTTTGGTGAACAAAAATGGCTGGATATTTTGTATGTTTTTTTTCGAATATTTTCTTTCTTACTTTATTTTTTTTTTTTTTTGATGATTAAAATTAAAACATTCAAAAAAAAAAAAATACGCAGAAAAAATTCCGATATCGATTTGAAAGGTGCATCATTCTTGATGAACAAAATGTATGATGATCGTATTACGTTGAAATTGATTTCGGTCACTAGCAAAGAATTGAGTTGAGTTGTATTTGATTGTTATGAAATTTTTTTATATTTTAATTTCATTTTTAAATTATAGAATTAGATTTTGAAACCGTCATTGAAGCATTGGGTAGTCATTTGATTAAATTTCTATCATTAAATGGTTATGAAAAAATTCTTAAAAGTCTTGGCACAAATCTTCATGATTTTCTTGCCTACACGGATTCATTACATGAACATTTGAATCATTTTTTTGTCGGTATGAAATCACCAAGTTTTCGTGTAACACATAGTAAAGATGGTTCCATGCGTTTATTCTATCACAGTCAACGAAAAGGTAATCAATTGTTGTTGTTGTTGTTGATTTTAGAAAATTTTCAAAATTTGTTTCCTTATTTCCAACATTAACAAGGACTTGCACCATTTGTAAAAGGTTTGATTACAACAGCTAGTCAAGAATTATTTCGTACTGAAGTTATTGTTAACATTATATCCATGGAGAATGATATTGTACAATTTGAGATCATCAATAAATCAATTGATCCTAATTCGGATGCATTTGAAAAGATTAAAACACCACTAACCGATAGTACGTTGAGTACATCGCCAAAAAGTCTTTTCTTCAGCGTAGAAACACTTTGTGAAACATTACCATTTCATTTTATTTTTCGAAGAAATTTTCGTATCGTACAAATTGGCAATTCATTGAAACGCTATCTTAATAAAGATTATATCAAAAACACTAAATCCAATAAACTAATGTTCAGCGATTTATTCATTATATCACGACCAATTATTGAATTGAATTTTGAAACCATTATTCTGTTTTCAAATCATCTATTTGTTTTGATCAATCGTGATGAATATATTAAAGAAACAGGTAAAAAAAGTCCAAATTCACCAAGAAAATTTTCATTATCAGAATCCACACCAAAACAAAATCCAAGACTTCAACTTAAAGGTCAAATGATATCATTACCAGTTTATGATTCCATTCTTTTTGTTGGATCACCGAAAATTTTCTCCATACAAGACATGATTGATCTGGATTTGACTATGTCGGATTTTCCAATTTCCGACGTTACTGGAAGATGTATTCTACTTCGTTCGATTCACAGAAATGATATTGAATTGATAAAAAAATACGATGTTGCTGCTAATCATTTGAAAATTGTGGAGAAAAAATTAAGGTTTGACATTGAATTGTTGTTGATTGAATTTTTTTCCAAATTTTTTCTTTCAATTTTTCAATCAATTAGGCTAGAGATAAGTAAAAATCATAAAATTTTACATGAAATTTTTCCAGCTAAAATTGCACGAATACTTTGTCAAAGTATTAAAGTGGATGCCGAATATTTTGAACATGTCACATGTCTGTATTCTGATATTGTCAATTTCACGGCAATGTGTAGCTGTTCATCGTTGAAAGCTATCGATATTGTTCGATTGTTGAATAGGTAATTTGATTCATTTTTGATTCATTCATTTATAAAAAAAAATTTTCTCTCTCCACATACAGACTATACATTCAATTTGATAATCAAACCAATTATTATGGTACATTCAAAGTTGAAACAGTTGGCGATGCATATGTTGTCATTAGTGGTGTACCGGAATCGATTGATGATCATGCAGATCGTGTAGTTGAAATGGGTTTAGCTATGGTACATGTTACCCGTACAATCATTTCACCTAAAGATGGTAAACATATTGAAATGCGTATCGGTATACATTCAGGACCATGTATGGCCGGAATCGTTGGTAATGAATACGGAAAAATTTTTATTTTACCTGATAAAAAAAAATTAATGTTCCGTCTCAAAGGATTATCAATGCCTCGTTATGCTGTTTTCGGTAGAACAATTACAATGGCAAATAAAATGGAATTTGCTGGTCCACAAGGAATGGTACATATTAGTGAAGCTACTAAAAAGTGAGTTTCATCATCAATTATTATCGTTTGTATATATTGTGAAACAAACTCATTTTATTTTCTAGCTATTTGAAAAAAGATAAATATTATTTTGTCGAAGCCAATGTACAACATTTATTCGATTTTCCAACATATATTGTTACTAAATTATATGAAGAATATCATGAAGATTATTTAGTGATTGAAAATAATCTAAACATGAGTGGTGGCCTATTCAAATCACCATCACAATCACCGATCCATAAAGCAAAAAATATCCAGTCCACATCACAGATGAACTATTCACAGATTGATTTTCGTCGTGGAAAATTGCTAAAAGATTTTGATAATGATCCAATTATTCCATCCATTCAGATCAATGATTGATCAATACAAATGAATGATAAAAAAAAAATTTTTTTTTCTTTAATTTGACATTTTTGAGAATATCCACTTTGATTTTAGACAAATAGTTAAATGAATCATACAAAAAATATATTTATTTAAAAGAAAATATAAATAAATAAGAGATTTAAGATAAATCACCATCGTTTGTGTATTAAAAAATGCCAAGTTTTTTTCCATTTCAATTTCATGATTTCACTAGCACTAAATTCTTTAAGTCCATAGCTGAATGGTAAAAATTGAACAAATGTATATGATGCAGCTATAATTATGGCAATGGTAATAAAAATGGAAAAAATAATTCGATTTGGCACGCATTGATTCAGATGACCAATAATCATTGGTATGAGCATTATTTTGAACATTAGTGCCGGTAAATAATGATGAAGAAATAATGTTTGTTCCGAAAAAAAATACGGCAAAAAATGAATCAAATAACCGATGGCAATTATTCGTCCAATCAATAAAAATTGTTCCCAATTATCTTTTAGATAGTTTTCGATAGAAAAAAACAATAATTATTGATTAGATATATGAGTAAAATTCATTGGAAATGATGACAAACCTTCAGAAATATCATTGATGAGACGTTTACGTCGTAATTGATAGAATAAAAATAACGACCAATAGGTAACCATGGCAAATATTCCAAAATACCAAAGAAAAATATTTCCAATCAAATATATTTGAGCCTATTGATTTTCATATGAAATTTAATCATTAATTTAAATTCAATTTAAATCATAAGAATTTAGTAAAATGATATACTTACATTACTTTTAGGGCTAAGCCAATAGGCAATACCTTTGGTAAGGAAAGGCCAATCTAATGGTGAATCAGTACTGTAGATATGATTTTGTATATTTTCCGTATTGATCAACATTTTATATTGCAATTCAAACATTTTATCCCAAAACGAAAGATATGTAGGACTTAATGGTACAAATTCAGCCATTCCAAGTTCACGTTCAATTTCTTTTCCATCAGAATTTTTTGTATAACGATGTTCTTCAACATTCCATATGGTATTTGGATGATTGATTTGTTTATCGGTTACTATTTCATGTTGATGATGACCCCAAGCTGGTAATTGTGTGCCACTTAACTATCATGATGAAATAAATCATTTCATTGTGGTAAAATTCCAACAAATTTTCAAACCTTTAATGCTTGGCTAGAATTGATATGAATTAATTGTACACGTGAATTTATTGCATGCCAATAATCACTGGTGTCGTCAGAATTTAACAATTTTACACGCCATAAATTTTGTGCTGGCATTGATATGTTATAATCAATGTAACAAGAAACTTCTTGATTATATGGTGACATTGGAGCAGCAATATCATGGCTATTCAATGTACGACCCGATAATCCATGAACAAGTTGAATAATGTCACCATTTTTAATATTATCACGTGGTTCATGAGTGATTAAGTCATCACTTAATGAAAAAATGAAATTTAAAATGAAATTGATTCCAAATAATAAACTTTAAATTAAACTTACACATTAGGTCTTTTAACAATCCACCAATTATTAACATCTTTGAATGAATAACAAGTCACTTGTTGTTGATGAGAACTTCCACGTTTATCTGGATAACGAATCGGATAAACAGCATGATGTGAATGTAACCAACATGTACGTCCATGAGTGTTTCGTAAGGTTATCTGTGAACCATGTGCTATTTCTCTTGGTTGACCACGAATAATTGATGCTAATCCACCTTCAAGACTGGCCTGAAAAGCACTAGTCATAATATTATCATGTGGACCAGCTTTGATCAAAACCGAAAGATGAATATAAAATATAAAGCAATAGAATACAATGGGCAACAGGATAAATATACACGATTTATACAAAAGTAATAGCCATAAATGAATCTGAAAAATAAGAGATGAGAAGAAAAATTTCGATAAATTCCAAAAAAAAAATTCCCAAAATATCAGATATCATACCGTTTTCATTGTCTTATCCGATAATTTATCGAATACATTCCAAAATGAAAGTATTTGCACTTGTAATAAAGTAAATATTCCAATATATTTAACACAAACACCACAAGTTAAACTTATTGCCGAAATTATATTCCAAAATAGCCATGATTTTGAAAATAATAATTTTTTTCTGCCAATCAAAAATGATAATAGGCCAAGAAATGAAAAAAACATTAATATCGTATCCAAAAGAATGAATCTAGATTGTGTGAGTAGAGAATTTTCTGTAAGCAAAAAAAAAAAAAAAAAAAATTTCGAATAAATAAAATTAACACCAAAACAAATAAAAAAACATAAATACCAAAAATAAGCAACAATGATGATAGAAATGCAATAGTATGATGGAAACCAATTTCGATGACAAATTGATAAATAATTATTATCAATAAACTACCACAAAGAGCGGGAACCAAACGAAAGGCACGTATTGGAAAATTTGCATCATAATCTATTTATTTTTTTTTTTGGAATGAAAATTGTCACATTCTTCACATGTATTCAAATTTCAAATAATAAATACCTTGTCCAATATTGGTGAAATTATTAAATTCACCTTTATAACCGGAAAGATAGGCACTTAAAGCAATTAATTGTTTACCAAGTGGTGGTTGTGAATCGAAGAAAAATGTTCGCCGTAAATATAATGATACAAATCGACCATAATGTAATTCATCAAAACTAATGTAAATTTTAAATCAATTAATTAGTGGTTAACAAACAAACAAAATACAAACACTATGCTTCGTGGCTGATCCAATTCATAGATTCGAAAACCGAATGCTATTGAAAAAAGTATTAACACCATAATGTTGATACGAAAAGTGATGGCTAATGGAAATTCCGTTTCATTTTCAGAAATTTTTGCCATCATCAAATCATTGGTGGTATTTTTATTGGCGATGCCATTCTTTTTGGTAAACCATTGTCGTATCAAATTTTCGTGGCAATTTGTTGTCACATTTTTGAGATTTTTTTCGTTCGGTTTGCCATTATCATCTTCATATTCATTTGGCGATGATGATGATGATTCAGATATTTGATTCGAATTCAAATTATCAGTGGCTTGTTTTTTACGATTTTTAATTTGAATAGCCATATCTGTATGTGTGTGTGTGTGTTTTCTTCTTGTCAACAAAAGAAAAACAAATCAATTATAAATCGATACATGCAGGCAGATTTATCTGGAAAATGAAAAATTTTTTTTTTTTTTTTTAGAGATGATAATTTAATTTAATGGATCCATTATTGTTGTTGTTGTTGTTGTTGATTCTCGTTTCAATGGCTATTCATTTTGCTTGCGTGTTCATCCATTCATGTTTTTTTTTTGACAGGTAAAATGCCGGACAGGTCAACATCGTCAACCAGTTTTTTTTTCTCTCTCTTTCATCATCATTTATTATCCATCAACGAAAATAATTTCTTTCCCCCTCCCCATGTACAGTGCGACAGTTAGACAATAGGAGGAGCTTGAATGATAATGATGCTGTTGCATTAAAAAGAATGAAGCAAATTAATAGCTTGAAAGTACTGCTATTTCACGGTATAATCTTGGCTGCAAGAAATTATACCAAAAGAGATTTTAGAAATATTTTATTTTTAATTTTTTATTTATTTAAATGATGAAAAATAAAAATTTTCACTGATCATTAACAACAACTCCAATAAATAATTGGTCATCATTGTATGATTTCCATTTTTCCATTAGATGATGTTTTTATTTAGTTTTTTCTTCGCCATGATTTATTCGTAGAACCTTTATACGAACTTTTGATCGATCGACATGATTGAATACATGGTTTAGTTTTTTGTCCACCAACATCCTGTATATAAACAGTATTCACATCGGTCATCATTGCATCGTCAGTATCATTGTTTGATTGTTTGATATTTTTTCGAACCGATTGTATTTTTGTTTCCAATGCCTGTTTTGAACGTATACTTTCTTCTTTGAAATTATTGGCCGTTTGAATTTGATGTTCAATATTTGATAAAATATTTTCACATGTTCGACACCATTCATTAAGAACATTGGTTATTGTTTGAAAATCTTCTTCACGTACATCTCTTGCAATGGTTTGATCAATCTCCAAACGATTATTACGTTGATCCATTGTTCCTATTTTATTGGAAAAATTAAAATTCGAAATATAAAAAATGTTATATATTAGATTATGATTACCTTTGATAACATTAGCATAGATAACTTCGATTATCATATCTTCAAGTTGGCGAATATTATCCAATTCAAGTTCTTGCATAAGAATCTGATATGGAATATGTCGACGACAACGAGCCAACGATACAATAGACAAATGACGTAATTTAATGATCATCTGTTCACTTAGATCGGGCAATTTATTTGGATTATCATTTTTTTGTTTTCTATAATCTTGATATGTTCCAAAGGCAAAAATATTCAATAGATTTACATATGGTTCATATTCACTGCCTACAAGTGCTTTAATATTGGCAACATCAAGTAATTCACCAAAAACATGAATCGAAGGTGATTCGAGAGCCTAAAAATGAAAAATTAAAGGAAAAAATTTTACAACAATTTTTTTTCGAAATTAAATTACCTGTCTAATAATGTCGATCAAATTTTGCGGTTCGGTGGCCATTTCAGCAAGTGTCACATATTTACGAAGATGTACATTCGATCCGGCTTCAGATTTATTTTGTTTATCATTTCCAGAAATATTATATTCTGCTTCCATTTTTGATTATAAAATTAAAATCTTTAATCAAAATTATTCAATTTAGAAATTGATGTAAGCTAAACAAAGAAAAAAATTTATCATATGTTACTATTGTCTATGAATGACCCTTGAATACAGTGATAACTCGCTTATTGGTGGTAGCTTGATCATCAATGAATTCAACCGAGGTAGCAATGTATTTAAAAACTTTTTCATAAAAAAAAATTTTTATTAAAATCATCATCATCATCATCATTTATTCATTCCAAGTATAACAAAACCATCGGATCTTATTTTACGAAATAATGAAATATAACGAGCCAATAATTTGGTTCTAGGAACTATAAATGTTTCACAGAATTTTGTTTTACTCTCTATTGATGATTCAAATTGTTTCATATTCAATGAACGTAGAAATTCCAATACAAAATCAAAACAATTATTATCAATAGAATGATATTCAGATTTAGCCCATCTATCGTTAGCGATGAATTCACAAAGTTTTTGATCCCAATGATTGTGCATTTTTGTCGATACATAATCAAACATATTTATAATCAAACATGATTGCCATTGATTTTCTTCCAATTCATCATGGCTAATTCTAACGCCTTTATCATCAAATTCAACAATTTTTCCATCCGACATTGTAAGACAAATATGTAGATCAGATGTATTTTTATAATCATCACTGTATAATGTGTAAATCAAATGAAAAAACAAAAAAATTATTATTTTATCTGCAATGATGATGATTGAATCATAAAAAAAATAATGGAAAAAAACCTTAGAAAATCTCCTTTAGTTGGACGAATAGCCAATGCACATTTTGATTTATTAGCCGCTTTCAATGGATTTGGCAATGATTTAATCTCTTTGATGATTGAATGATCATCATCATCATCATCGAATCCATCCGTGTCCACAACATTACGCTGATGATGGTGAATTTCTTTCTCACACAATGGACATTGATCAGGTATATTAAAACAAAAAATACGATTATCATTGGCACAATGTTTAAATGTCAATATCTGTTGTTGTACACGGCTGGTTGTTGTTTCTTCACACATCATTATTATTATTATTATTATTATTATCACAGTGTTCAATCAATAAATAAATGAAATGAATTTTTGATCAACAAATGAAAAAAAAAAATTTTCATCTGAATGAATTTACAAACAACCCAAATTGTTGTTGTTGTTGTTGAGTAAAGTAACAAACAAACAAACAAACAGAAAAAACGAACAATCAAACGAAAAAAAAAATGATGGCAACTACAGGTAAACCCAGAATGAATGCCAAACAAGCCAAACCGGTCGGTTTTTTTTTGTATCGTCGTCGACATCATAGTCGTTGTGTCATTAAAATGGGCATATATGCAAAAAAAAATATAAAAATCTTTTGAAAGAGAATAAATGTTTTTTTTCTTTGTCATAATTTGACCTCACAATTCATAATGTTCATCATCATCATTCACATATTTTGCATATTAATTTTTTTTTCTTCTTAATTTTCAACATGATTACATAACATTATAGTTGGCAGCAAATTTTTCATAAAATTCAATTGTATCCAATGATGTTTGTGGTCGTATCATTGTCAATGATTGTAGAAAATGATCCTCTTGAATTGTTTGTGCATTTTTATCCATAGATAATGCTAACAATGCTGCACGTTGACATATGGCTTGTATTTCGGCACCAGAATAGCCATCAGATTTTTTTGCCAATATTTCAATAAGATTATCAAATATGATTGTTTCATTTAGTGGCATTTTTGTTAATCTAATCTTGAAAATTTCTTTTCTTGTTACCATATCTGGTAATGAAACATAAACAATAGAATCAAGCCGTCCTGGCCTTAATAATGCTTTGTCAACAATATCAGGACGATTTGTAGCTGCAATAATTATTACTTGGCCAAGTTTTTCAATTCCATCAATTTCAGTTAGTAATTGTGCCAAAACTCTATCACCAACAACTGATTGTTGTTGACCACGTTCACTAGCTAATGCATCAATTTCATCGAAAAATAAAATGGAAGGAGAAGCTGCTCTAGCTTTACGAAATATTTCTCTTACGGCTCTTTCGGATTCACCAACCCATTTATTGAATAATTCTGGCCCTTTAATGGAGAAAAAATTCAAACCACTTTCATATGCTAATGCTTTACCAATCATTGTTTTACAACAACCAGGTGGTCCATACATTAGTATACCTTTCGGTGGATCGATACCGAATCGTACAAATGCATCTGGATGTTTGATTGGCCAAACAACACATTCTTCCAATAATTGTTTCAATTTATTCAAACCACCAATATCTGACCATCGAACATTTGGCGTTTCCAATGTTATTTCAAACATTGTACTTGGTTTTGTTTGTAACATTAATCGATAAATCGATTCGAATCGAATGATTCTAGATTGTTCATCGGTTTGTTTGACGAAATAATTCTTACACAATGATTTTAAATCACCACCAGTGAATCCATGTGCTGTTTCGGTTAATCGTTCAATTTGTTCGGCGGTTAATTCATGTGGATAATTTTTAATAATTTCATTGAAAATTAATTTACGATCTTTAGGTGATGGTATAGGAAAATCAATTTCAATTTCAAATCTTCCATATTGTCTTAATGAAACGTCCAATAAATCGGTACGATTAGTTGCACCAACAATGATTATTTGATGATTATTGTTACGTGGTTGATCATCGAATAAAACTTTTAGCCATGATACAAGACGTTTATCGAGTTTATTTTTTTCATTCAAAACATCTTCCAAATTGTCCATAAATAACAGTACAGGCATAAGATTGGACAAATGTTTCAATAGCTGATTTATTTTCTCATATTCAAATGATTTGGATAGGAAAATTGTACTTGGTAGAACAATTATATTCATTTTTCCATACAATTTTTGCATCATTGTTCTCATGGCCAATGTTTTACCGGTACCCGATGGTCCGGTAATCAGAATATTGGCTGATTTTTGATAACCATCAATGGAATTCAATAAAAGTGATTGTAATAATTCGAATCGTTCATTATAGGCAACAAATTCGGAATCCAATTCATAAAATTTTAATGGACTGAAAATGATTTTAGTCTCTTCAGTGATGAAAAATGCTGAATAAGGAATGATTTCAGAATTTCGTTGCGAAATCGATAGATTATGGAAATCATTTTCTAACGTTGAATCAGTATTATTCTGTTTGTTCGTTGTTTCTTGTTCACTATTTTTGGCCAATATTTTCAACCGATATTCAATATCATTCATAATAACAGTGATAAAATCTTGTTGTCGATCAATAACTTTTTTTCTTAATTGTTTTTTAATATTATTACAAATATTTACATATACAATTGGATCGCTAAATTCACGTAAGAATCCAATATACAATGATTTCAATGTATGGGCAATAATTTTCAAATTGATTCTCAACACAGTTGATGATTTAGTCAATATGGAAGCTTTTTTCTGATTAGAATGGAAAAAATAATCTTTATGAAAACCGATTGACAGACACGATTTCAACGATTGACAAGATTGAACAGTGAAAAAATTACTATCAGCATTATTATTCATATCGATTACATTGACAAGATCACCATCTTGTAAATTTGAATGTTCCATTAATTCGGTGGACAAGAAAATGACGTTATCATCGTCATCATTATTATTAAGATGTATTGAGTCGGTTTTTATTTTTTCTAAAGAAAATTAAAATTAAAAAAAAAATTAACAATAAATTTACAATTGAATAAATAAATTTACCAATCGATGATGTGTATAGAATATCGTCACCAATCAAGAATGGATGCTCAAATAAATTCAATCGATTTTTCAAAATTGATTCATCAAATCTGTTCGTTGAATGGTTGGATAATTGAAAAAATGATTGAATAAAATGAGCACAAGAACGTTCATTCATTTCTTCATGTTTGGATAGATTATTTTTAGTAATTTGTATCTGACATTTATTACATTTAACAATCTGAAATGATGATGATGATGATGATGGACGATTTTTTTTCTTGCCCGATGAATAATGAACATTATCTTGAATGGAACGATTCATTGAATTATTTGGCGAATTATTTGCCGAGTTGTTTGCCATGATGTGTACCATGATCGAATGATGATAATGATTAAAATAAAGTGTGTAATTAATGATAATGAGAAAACAAAATTGAGATGAAAATAGACAAATCACATGCATACGTGCAACCAGGTGTTACGCACACACAGAACACATGTATGAATCCAATTTCATTGAATTCATTTTCACGATTTCACAACTAGATGTCGTAGTTTTTTGTTTGATATTTTATTATTATAAATTCAATAAAAAAAAATTCGAATGGCCATGGATCTATTTACGTCATGAGCATTGGAAAAATTGGAAAAAAAATTTATTAATCAAGAATTCGATACATCATTCATTTAAATTATTTTATTTTCATTATTTTTGGCATTGGAAGGTTTTCAGGTAATTTATATTTTTTTTTGTTGCTGTGTGAAAGTGAAAAAAATTTTTTTTTTTTTATTTTTGGGCACATATTTGGGTGGACAGTTGGATTTTTTTTTTTTTTTGGTTTGTTTGTTTTGTTGTGGTAACAATTTTTTACTGGTATAATAATAATATATATAGGTATTTGTAAAATAGAAAAATAATGATGAAAAAATTTTCATGTTGAAAAGTTCGCCGTTTTTTTATCTGTCGTTATTGTTGTTGTGAATTTGGAATACAAGGAATAAGGAATTTCTCAGTGAATGGCAAGGAAAAAAAAGATACCGGATGAATAACAGGAAAGAATAAGAGAATCGAAATGAAAATGAAAAACAATGTAAAACATAAAACACACACACACACACACACAAACAAACAAACAGGGTTTTCGATTAGAAAGTAGTGATGAAAAATGGATTTTTAAAAATCATGACCATTCAATCAAAAAAGTGAAGGAAATAGGGAAGAAGTTTTTTTTTTCATTTCGGGCACTTTAGGTAACACAACAATAACAAAGAAAAAAAAATAAAAGGAGAGAGAGAGTGGAGAAAAACTTAATGAAAACAAGATCAGCTGGTATAATGTGGTTTCGAATTCTGATTTTGGGTTATCATTAATAAATAAATAAATCAATCAATAGATAGATAGGGAGTCTTGGTAAATTTGAAATTTTTTTTTGTCATTCTTTCGCCGTCGTTTTATTTTTTTGGCTTGTTTGTTCAATGTTGTTCTTGTTTTTGTTAGTTTTTTTTGTTTCAATTTTGGCACAATATATAACTCGATTCATTATTCTCAGTTGAATTAATCGCAATATTGGCTTGTTGTTTATTTACAAATCCAGGAATGAGGAAGACATCATTTTTTGTGGTTTCTTTTTTTTCGTATCTTTTTTTTCATGACAAACGAGAATGAGTGAGTGAGTGAGTGAATGAATGAATGAAAGTGGAAAAAAAAGGAAGTTAATTAACTACTTTCCATCAATGTTTTGGAACGTTTAAATGATTTGCTTGCACGACGTCGTCGTGATTGTTTTTCTTTTTCTTTACCCGATGATGATGATGAGTTATTATTATTATTGTTCATTGCTGCATTAGCAGCTTCAGCTCTTTCGGCCCAAAAATTTGCCGTATGCCGTAAATGTATAAGATCACTACCGGCAATATTATATGAATGTGGTAATGTCATACGTCTAAAACGATTTGGTGATTCTACTTTACGAATATCAACACTGCTTGGATCAGCCTAAAAAAAAAAATTTTTTTTGTTAAAATAATTGTGAAATAATTGAAAAACATTTTCATACCTGAAATGCTAATGCATTCATAATAACATGATCAGGTACAACACCAAGTGGATGAACTTCACGCATCAATACTGATGCTGGAATTTTATAGAATTCAATACATTCTAAAAAATTCGCTATAACATCACGTAAATCTAATGTACCACATGATGCTTCACACGAACGTTGTGACCAATGTAATGCTGCTTGAAATTTTGTCAATTCATCAGCTTTTAATTCTTCACGTGATAATATTAAACGGACGACATGTTCAGGAAGCAATGCAAATGAACCTAATGAAAGTACTTCATTACCATGTTTATCGACAAATTCTAATACCTGATAAAATAAAAAGAAAAGGTCTATTAAAATAAAAAGATTCGACGACACATTTTTCGGCCACATTACCCTTTGTACAAGAGATTTTGTACATTTATATTGTATATAACGTTCAGCGGAAGCCAATATTGAATTTACTGTATCAACAGTGATACAGCATGTAACAAAACCAATACAGGCTCTTCGTAATTCTTCCAGTCCATAATAATCGGCTGCATTCATTAAACCTTGAAATAGAAACCAGAAAATGAATTTTTCAAAAAAAAAATTCATCAATTAATGAAGAACATGAAAAAAACTTACCTAAAAGCGTTCGTGCCTGTAATGTAACACAACCAGTATGGATATATTCAATTAGTTGACGAAATACATCTGGTTCAAATTCTTCAATGATCATTGTTTGATGTGTTTGTACTATTGGCTATAACAAAAAAATTAAATTGAATGGATAAGAAATGATTATTATTATTTGGGATTGTGATGATCATCATAAAAAAAAAATATTGTGTAAATATTTAATCAACAAAAACAACATTAACAGTAGCAATAAACTTGCCTGTTGTTGATTAAATGGCAATCCATTCAATATTGGTTCCGAGCTACGTTTAAGAAATAATTTCAATTTCGTATCTCTTTGTGATTCTTTTCGTTTGTTACTTTTTTCTTCTTTACCATGATGATGATGATGATGATGTTGGTGATGATTGCTTACGGTTGGCTGTTTTTGGCCATAAAGTAATTTATGAAAAACTCTAGAACGTGATGCTAATACAGCTTTTACACCACAAACTGGTTCACGAGATTTTTCACCTAAATAAAAAAAAAATTTCCATTAAATACACACATATGTAATATATATGAATTTATTACAATTAACTTACCAACTAAAAATGTTATATCACATAATTCGGGCATACTGGCTAAAAATTTCATATCTTCAGCTAAACCGGTACGATTTTCATAAATTGAATAATCAATAATATCTTCAGCTTCATCACTATCGAAATTGATATCAAAATCAAATGTACCAATATCATTTGCATCTCTATTTGATAATAATTTATTTTTAGATGATGATGATGATGATGATTTATTAGATTTACCATGACGATCTGATGTTGTTGATTTTCCAAGATGAAGACTTTTCGGTGGTTCATGACGTCGAATTTGTTGTTGTTGTTGTTGTTGTTGCGGTGGTTGCTGTTGTTGTTGTTGTTGTTGATCAGATTCTTCAAATTGTTTTGATTGATTAGTAAAATTCCCATAGGATATTTGTTTTTCATCATCAATAGAATTTTCTATTGATTCTCTTCGATGGTAATTATTATTATCATCATTATCATTACAAATATCATCATCATCATCATCTTCATCATCATCATCATCATCATCATTATCATCGGCGTCATCATCGTCATCATCATCATAGTGAGGAAATGAAACTTCATTAAAAGTAATTGTTCGATGTTCAGAGCTCATTTTATTTTTGAATGAAAAAAAAATTTCTATAAAAAAAACCAAAGAAAATGAAAGAAGAAAAAAATTTTTCATTATTGAAACCTTATACAGACTTAGCTAAGCTCATCAATGAATGAATGAATGAATTCAAATTTTATACTCGATCGTAAAAAAATCAAAATTTTTTTTCATGAATTTTGAAAGTTTTTTTTTGTTCAAATTCAGTGCAAGTGAGAGAATGGAAGATCGACTATTATTCAGAAATTATTATCTAGGGAAACATCAATTCACCACCATTTCAATTCAGGTTTTGTTGTAAGGTTTCATTTTCAACATATATATATGTGTGTATGTGTGTGTGTTGTATAATGAATGATGGGCCATTGAAAGTACTAATTTCTGGGAAAATGCACTAGGTTTTGCATTATTTTTATTTGAATTCCGATTCTGTGTTTTATAGTGAAACCAACCAAAATAAAATGCGAACGAAAAAAAAAACATTATCGAATTGATAGAGATAGAGAGAGAGAGTAGATGGAAAAAAAGTGGAATCAGAATGGGAAAAAAGAGTGTAGAGATTGAACAAATTGCTTAAGGCTGAAAGTATGGGCTAAAAGTTTGGGGACTTTGATATTTTTGGAATGTGATATTTTTTTTTGTCGGAATACCGATGTGTGTGTGTGTAGTGTAGGGAAATAGATGAGAATCAAATGAATATTTCAAACGATCACCACCACACACACACAATGGCTTTAATGGGATCCATTGGGTATTATTATTTTACTTTTTTTTATGGTTCAAAACAAAAAAAAAATAAAAATAAAATAACTGCCACTGTTCATGGTGACAGATTTCCAAAAACAAAACAAAACAAAAAAAAAAAGAAGTAAAGCAAATTTTTTACATGTCGTATTGTTTGACAAGAATAAAACTTTCTTAAAGAACAAAACAAATGTGACATATTTTTTCATCATCATCATTATCATCAAGATGTGTTTGCTAGATTTCATTTTATGTGTGTGTGTGTGTGTGTGTTTGTGCGTAAATATGGTTCCACATTTGCTTTTGAATCACACACTCTTCAAATTTTTTTTTTCAATTTTATCACATGAACCATCATCATCATCATCATCATCATCATCATGATGACAACCTGAGCTAAACTATATATAAATATTGAACCAGAGAGAAAAAGAAAAATTATGTGAAATGAAATGAAAAAAAAACTTTCAGGAATTTTTCTTTTTCCTATTATTACATGTTCACTATATATATATCTCTCTCTCACTCATTTAAATCAACCAAAACCCAGACCAGAAAGAGCCAGGTTCTTCAACCACCACCACCACCAGCACCATTGTCCACAAGTACACACACACACACATATACCCGAATAATAATAATAAAATTCTGGTCTATGGCACTAAATGGAATGGAAAGAAAAAAAAAAAAGAAAATCTCATTTTTACCGTATGTTTTCTTTTGATTGAACCAAAAAAAAAAAAAAAATAAAAATAATAATTGCCAATCTAATTATCGAATAATAAACGATAACGATCGAGTGGTTCGAATCTGGTTGGTTTTCAATGGAAATTTTGAAAAAAGAAGAGAAAAAAAATTTCGGTCAAAAACGGTAACAATTTTTTTTTCTGTTGAAAGCTTTTTGAATCAAATTTTTTTTCCTGGTCATAATTTTGTTATTGGCATTGTTGTTGTTAATGAAATTCCATCACATTATCAATCAATCAATAATTGAAAATTCTTTAAAGGAATTTTCATTGGAATTTCATTAGAATAGAATAGAATGGAATATAAAATGAAAAAAAAATTTCACTCACCTTGAATTTCGATATATTATATAAAATATATCGATAGTGTCGTCGTCTTTGTGTTCGATTATTGATTTTTCTGTTTTTGAAAATTGTAAAAAGATGGCGAAAAAAATAATTCAATTTGATATCATAATCATGTGTTTATTGTGAAGACAAATTGAAAGGTAATTTTTTGATGAGATTTTTTTTTAAAAGATCAAATATCATTAAGGATTTTATCCAATTGATTATTTTACGTTGTTGTTCGATGAATGAGAATTTGATATGATGAATCGTAATATAATCAATCAATCAATCAAAATTCTAAAAATGGAAGAAAAATTGTCATCGGTTCGATGATATCATATTAACAAAATTGGTGAATTGTGGTCATGTTGAAATTTTTTTTTTTTTTTGATTGATTTTTTTTGTGCTTTTCGTTTTTTCAACAACAACAACAACAACACACGCACAAACCAGTACTACTTTGAACGATATTGATGATGCAGAAAATTTTTTTTTTCTCCTGGTTGGTTTTGTTGATATCGATTTTCGGTTATCTCACACACGAGTTAAATTGGTGACAAAAAAAACACACAAAATTACAAAACAACAATCGTGATGATTGAAAAAAATGTCGACGTTTTCGTTTTCGTTTTGTGAACGGGAAAAACAATCTCAAGCATCTTAAGCATCCAAAATTTGATCCAATGTGAAAAAAAAATTCTTTCTTCTTCTTCTTCAGCTGCTGTTGTCTTCTTCACAATGTTTTTTGTGTGTGTGTGTGTTTTGATGTTGATGTTGATGATGAGATGTATATGATGCGCGCGCTAAGTTTTTTTTTGTTATTTTATTCCATCCCACTACGGTGTTGTTGTTGTTGTTGTTGTTGAAATTTTCATTCTGGTACGATTCTGGATATTCTTGATTCACATACACACACACACACACACACGCAGAACGCAGAAGATTTTCGAACATTCTATGTGTGTGTTGCCAATCACCACCACTATTTTCACTAAATCCGTGACAGACTTTGTGTGTGTGTGTGTGTGTGTGTGTTCGTTTCATTTTCTTTCCATTCCGAATGAAAGGAAAAAACTTTGAAATTTGAGAATTTGATATATGACGGAAAAATTCCGTTTTTTTTCTATTCAGGGTTGTATATAGCTTGTTGGAACACTCATATACACACATATAAAAATTGAATGACAGGAATTCCATTGACAGTATGGTGAGTTTGCCAAACTGAGAGTGATCCACATACTAACGTATCACGTATTCTATTTCATGGTTTGGTTGGAATAAAAAAAAAAAAAAAATTCTGTGTTGCGTGAGTGTGTGTGTGTATACGAATGATTACACACACACACACACAAGAAAAACAGGCCAAATTGAATAAAATTCATGCAGGTTGGATGATCCACAAACACACACACACACACGTTCAGAAAAACTTTGGAATTCTTGTTCGTTCGTTCGATCGTTATTTCATTCCATTCCATTCCATTGCCATTATTATGGACCATCAAACATATACAGAATGCACAGAATCAAATCAAACATAGAGATAAAGAATGAATGAATGAGTGTGTGTGTGTGTGTGTGTGGTGGGTGAGTGAGTGAGAGAAAGGTGAGAGATATTTATTTATCTTTTTTTTTTTTCAAAAAAAATGATCGTTTTTTTTTCTTTGCTTGGAAAAAAATTGATCACCACCACAATATATATGCATGGATTAGTTTTTATTTCATTTATTATTTGTCGTGTTTTTTTTTTGTTTGTTTCATTTATTTCTTTCTGTATCCTGTTCCAATCATTATGAAAAAAATAAATCGAATCGAATCGGATCAAATCAAAATAAATAATGCACAATGGAACCAAAACGAAAATTTCATTTGGCCCAAATTATAATAAACATGCATTAATACACACCAAGTGAGAATGAGCGAGAGAGAAACATGAAAAATCAACAACAACAACAACAACAAAAACAGATTGGATGGATGAATGGTGATGGATGAATGAAAATGAAACAGACAGTTTAATTAACAAAATTTTCATTCGTCCATTTTTTTTTGTTTTGTTTTGTTTTGTTTCTCTTGATCGGATTGTTTTTTTTTCATTTCACGTTTTTATGCTTTATGATTAACACGAAAAAGAAAAAACTAGGTAAACGGACACATGGTAAAACAATGGTGGAAAAAAAGGTGATGATGATGATGATGATAATGATGTTTTCGAACGGGATTTCTTTCTTTTTTTGTTTTGTTTTTGTTTTGTTTCATGTAACGGTATTTTCGATGTTTAAATGATCATTATCTAATGAATGTTGTGTTGTTGTTGTTGTTGTTGTTGTTGAAAACACAGTGGACAGTGGATGTAGGTTTTTGTTTTTGTTTTCGGTTGAAAAAAGAGATAGCAAAAGAGAGATGTAAAATGAATTTTTCGTTTTAAATGAAAAATCAACTTGCCTTTTTATATCTACACATCCATTCACGGTGATTGTCGTTGGACACACAACATCTGGCCATCATCATTAATATTTTAACGATTCAGTGGAAAAAAACCAATTTTTTTTTTTTTGGCATTTGAATCATCATCATCAGATGTATATAGCACAACATATTTTTACAGTGGACATTGACATTTATATTCATCATGATGAAATTAATGTTGATTTACATCGCTATTTTGACTTTAATGAATCATTATCATCAAAATGTTCATTGTTCAATTGTTGTTAATAACGGTGGTGGTGGTGGCGGCGCTACCATCGTCAATGATGATAATGATAATAATAAAATAATAATAATAATGAAAATAAAGATGCAATCATTGTGCCTTTAGTTGATACAAAATCAATATCAATTATTAAATCGAATGATAATGATCATCATCATCATCATCATCATCATCATAATAACCATCATCATGGTCATATTGATCCAAAAGAACAAGGTAAGTATATTTATTTAGAAATCGAACCAAAAAAAAAAATTAAATTATCATTCCTTTTCCCAAAAAGCCATTTTACTGCATGAATTTCATAATCATCATCATCATCATCCAAATTTACCGCATAAAATTATAATCGAAGAAGATGATGATGATGATGATGGTGGTGTTGGTGGTGGTGGAGATTTTGATGATGAAATTGACAATCAAACACCAATGACAATTATTCGTGAACGAGAATCATTTGTTCATGCACCGGAAATTGTAAAAATCGCTCATCATTATCCATCATCATTGAATCCAAATCAAATTCATGGTCATATTCGTGGTAATGGTGCACCAATATTGGTACATTTAGTTGCACCAAATATTCGTCGTAAACAGGATAGTAGTATACCGGATTTATTGGCTGTATTAGCACCATTAGCTGCAATACCATTAATCGGTAGTTTAGCAGTAAGTAGTTTTACAACAATGTTAACATTAACTGGTCTAGGACGACGTCGACGACGACGTCGAAGACGACGTGATCTATCATTACATGATAAAGTATTGAATTTTCTTAATTCATCCAATGCACAAATATTCGATGATGTTCATGATATGAATATTAATAATAATAATCATCATCATCATTCGTATATGGATCAATTATTGAATAATAATTCTAAAATAAATCAATATCATCAATGGAACAATGATACAATAATCAATAATAACAATGGTGATAATAATAATAATAATAATAATCAAACAACACGTATTGTACCAATATCGGAATTATTTCAATTAGATATTGTACAACAATATCTACGACAATCTGGTCGTCCTGATCATAATGATGAAATAATAGCCAATTATCTTTCATGTCGTGGTATGTTTTCATCCATTAATCGTTGTCTTGAAAGATTAGCATGTCATTATGGTGATCAACAGAATGGCCGTTTACGGCCATTAGAAAGAGATGTTGCTGCATTGTAAGTATTGTGAATAATAATTATTGAATCATGATGACCCAAAAAAAAAAATAATCATCTTTTCCACCATTATCAGAATAATATATTCATTACTGAGAAATAGCCATATTGATAATACATTTAAACGTCGTCTTCAACGTGCTGCACTATTTGGTTATGATCATACATCATCATCATCATCTGGTTCATCTGGTTCATCATCATCATCAATGAATAATAACGATGAACCATCTTTTATTGCTGTTTGTGACCGTGAATTTCCTTGTCCTAGAAGTGAAATGCCCTAAAACGAATGAATAATAAAAAACAACAAAATGGCACCAGAAAAAAAACAAAAATCAATAAAGATCTATCTACTAAAGTAGATCAACATCATTTCTTTTTTTTTTTGTTTCGCCTTCTTTTTACTTCGAACAAGTGAACCAAAAAAAAATTTTTTTTCTCTGAATTCTATTTCAAATCAAAGAATTTTTTTTCTTCTTCTTAAATAAAAAAATTGTCAAACCGTTTTTTTGTTTTGTTTTGTTTTGGCTATGCCCTCGATTCGTTTGTTTGTTTGTCCATTGATGTTATGCACGGGTAATTCGCTTTTTTTCTTGTTTTGGTTTTCGTCGAACCGGATGGATGGATAGATGATTCAAGGGCCAACGCCTTGCTGCTGCTGTTGTTGTTGTTGTTGTTGTTTGGGCAACAAGTTTCCAAGATTTTTCCATCTTTTTCATCGTTTTTTTTATGATCCAATTTTATTATGAATGATGGCATTATTATGATCGGCAGTTATGATGAAAACATTCGACAAATAAACATTTTGATGATTAAATTAAATTAAATTTTGTGTAATGGAAAAAATTCCTGTACATTGTCATTGAATGAATCCCGAATGATTCTATCTATGAATATGAATATTGTGATGATGACCACCACCATCATATGGTGGTCAATATTTTTTGTATTTATTGAAAAAATTGCCACTTTATGTATTTCAACATCAACATTGGGTGAATCAATTATAAAATCATCACCATCATTATGTTTTAATGAAACTAATGATAATGATGATGATGATTCGAATATTTTAATCATCGTTTGGTGCCATCATTAATCGATGAATCGTCCATCAATATGACGATGAAACCATCATCAATGGAAATGGAATCATCATCAACAACTGAATCACCATCATCATTAATTATGGCTGAATCAAGACATATTCCTGTACAACGACGACGACGACGACGGAAAATGACAACAACAACAACAACAACAACAACAACAAAAATTATGGAAAAAAGAAAAAACGTAAAGTTTATAAAATTCATCATCATCATCATCCAAATCATTATCCAATGGAAAGATCACCATTACTTTATCATGATCGACATCCAATGATTAATGGTAATTATCCACCATCATCGAGAAAAAAATCCATTTTCATTCCAGTTGCATTATATTCAGTGACGAAAAAATTGCCCAAAAATATTGCACCAAAAATGTCAGCATCAAATGTATCGATACGACGAAAACAAATTAATCCAAATCATCATTATGATAATTTAGATAATCCGAATATCGATGATGATCAATCGAATAATGATGATTATGAAATGCGAAAAGAAAGTGCCGTTTATGGTTATATTGAAAAACCAGAAATTATCGAATTTAAAGGTCAATATTATTATGGTAGTAGTGGTGATGGTGGTGTTGGTGGTGGTGGTGGTGGTGGTGGTGGCATTAGTAATGATAATATTATCGGTGGTAGAGGTGATAATATTGGTGAAGGTTCAGATGATAATAATAGCGGTACTAATGGTGACAATGATGAATATTCAATGGATGATCATCGACATTATCAACGGCAATATGATGAAGATCAATTACAGCCATCATATGTACCATCATCACAAGAACATTATAGTGATTATCATCCACATGATTATCATCATGATTTACATTATCATCATGATTATATACCATCATCATATCCAATGACAGCATCACCTATGTATCATCATCATCATGATTCATATGATAATGAACCATCATTAACAGCATTATTGGTGGCTAAATTGAAGAAAAGTAAGATCGTTATTTATGAATATATTTTTTTCGGTTCGAAATTCTAATTTTTTTATTTATTTGTTTCATTCAGTTTTACTGGTAAAAGGCATTACAGCCAAAGGTCTTTTATTGGCATCGATACCATTTTTATTATCACCATTATTAAGTTATATGTTAACACCGGTTGTTATACCGATAACGGCAACAGTTGCCGCTGGTAGACGTCGAAAACGTGATTTACATCAACGACCAATATGGAAAATGATTCCAAATTCAATGGATGACATCAATAATCATCAGGATATTGAGGTGAATATGATGATGATGATGATGATGATCATGTGATTTATTGATTTATTTTTTTTTTGTAAATTTTCTAGATTATTTTAAAATTTCTTCAACCAATATTTGAAACAAATGAATTATGGCTAAATAAAGCGATTGCAAATTTTCTACATGCGGATGGATTCTTTTCCACCGATGATCAATGTTTTGAACAATTAGCTTGCCAAATTTTGAATGCAAAAAATTATAAAGATGATCCCAATTCAACAATGGTGACAATGAATAAATATCTGAATCCAAAATATATTGCAGCATCAATGTAAATATGATATAATGATTAATTCAATTTGTGTTATTTTCACTTTGTCACTTTGTCATAGATTTCTAGATCATTTACTACGTAATGAATTTGTGTCGGAAAAATTTAAAAAACGTATTTATAATGTAGTTCATTACGATGAACGTAATAATAATCATCATCATCATCATCATCATCGATGGAAACAATGTTCAATGCAATATAAATGTAATCGATTTGTCCAGAAGATGATGCAGAAGAAAAAGAAAAAGAAGAAGAAGAAGGAAACATAAAAAAAATCATCATAAATTAATCAATCGAAGAAAATTTGGGTATATTTTTTTTTCTTGGTATTTAATTTCAAAAATCCATTATAGCTGAATATTTTATCAATCAAATGTTAAACAAAGAAAATTTGATTTTTTTTCAATTTGAAACGAAAAACGAAGAAGAAGAAGAAGAAGAAGGTCACTCCATTCAATTCATTTCCATAGGAAATGAGCAATTCAAATAAGTTTTTTTTCCATTCATTCGTTTGTTTGTTTGAAATTATAACCATTTTTGGTTTTTATATGTATTTATGTATTCAATTTTACACAAAAAAAAAAAAATTCTCACCATTTGCCTATTTCTAACCAATTTGTTTATTTTCACACCCGCACACACACATTCTTTTTTGCTTATTTTACATTATTTTTATTCAACAAGAGTTTTTTCATTTTGATAAGTTTAAAGTTTTGATTCTGAATTTATCAATCTTTTCGTAAATTGGTAAGACAGAACAGAAATTTATGAAATGAAATCATTTAAAAGAAATATCCACAACCTAAATTAATCTTCTTTAAATCTAATCTTCGATGATAAATGAATTTTCATCATAATCATGAACAAAATATACAAGATGGAAACAATGTTCAATGCAATATAAATGTAATCGATTTGTCCAAAAGATGCAGAAGAAAAAGAAAAAGAAGAAGAAGAAGGAAACATAAAAAAAACTCATCATAAATTAATCAATCGAAGAAAATTTGGGTATATTTTTTTTCTTGGTATTTAATTTCAAAAATCCATTATAGCTGAATATTTTATCAATCAAATGTTAAACAAAGAAAATTTGATTTTTTTTCAATTTGAAACGAAAAACGAAGAAGAAGAAGAAGGTCACTCCATTCAATTCATTTCCATAGGAAATGAGCAATTCAAATAAGTTTTTTTCCATTCATTCCATTCATTCATTCATTCGTTTGTTTGGCATTTTGGTTTTTTATATATATATTTATGTGTCTAATTTTACACATTTTGTTTTGAAATGATAAACAAACGTGTAAAGTCCAGAACAAAAATTATGTTCATCATTCATTAATCGAAAGTGGAAAACAAAATTTGAATGAATTAAACAAAACAAAACAAAAAAAAAAAATTGACCACCAGATTCGATGAATCGTCCACGATGATATAATCATCATCTCATTATCAGTGTGTCTGTGTGTGTGTGTGTTGTATGTATTTATAGAAACCATGGCAGGTGGTGGTATTTAATAGAACAGGTGTTCCACACACCGATTCAGCACTGGTGTGTGTGTGTGTGTGCGTGCGTGTGCACTTTTTTTTTCTTTCCACTATAATACCACCATCTTCGAATACAATTACCGATCGATTTTTCGATGGAACAAGTTTTTCAGTACCAAAAAAAAAAAAAAAAAAAATTACCAACGATTTATCCTTGTTTGTTTGTGTGTGTGTGTGTTTGTGCTTTGTATGTCGGTGTCCTACATATTATATTACATGATAATAATAATAATAAATGTCAATTAAGTTCCGTTGTTTGTTTGTTTGTTTGTTGATGGTTTTTTTTATTGATTCTTGTTAGGATAAACAAGAATGCGGATTATCGACATTAATTTTGTTGACAGCTTTTTTTAAAAAACTTATATATCATCAATTTGATAAATTATGATGGATCGATTAATTGAATTAATTGGATAATCAATTGTATACAATGATGATGATGATGGTGATGATGATGATGTTAATCGTTACTGCTGCTGAATATTACATAATTTGAGAATCGAATTTAATCATCTAACAGCTAACAATGATGATGAAGAACAAAAAAAAAATAGAGAAAGAGAGTTTAGAGAGCAAACAAACTCTCTGTGTTTGAAAAAGATGCCCAGTTATAAATATATAACAAATGATCATTGTGTGTGTGTGTGTGTATCTTGAATTTTGTCGGTCGTTGAGACTTGACATGAAAGACAACAGTCATATTCTTTGAGGTTCATTTTATGTTTGTTCTTGATATATACGATGTTGATGATGGTAAAAAAAAAATGGATATCGACACACATACACACACACACATATGTGTATGGCCCTCAGAATCATAACATTCGATTTCAATATTTCAAGATTCAAAATCTAAACATTTGAAAAATCTACCAGAATAAATACAGAAGCTAATGGCCGATAATTTTGTTCAACAAATTTTCAACAATTTTTTTTTCCTGTTCTACTAAATTTATTCTTATTTATTTGCCAAGAAGCAAAAAAAAAAAAAAAAATCAAACTAGCAGCAAAAATATTCTTTTTGGTGGTGGTTTTCTGTTTGATTCATTCTGATTCTTTATTTATCATCATCAACATCATCATTCTTTTTTTTGTGTGTGTGTGTGTGTGCGTTTGTGTGTATGTATATGATGGTGTATATTTGGTTTTTGGTAAATGAAATGAAATGAAAAATCCGAAAATATCTTCTTACAACAAACAAACACACACACTTCTACCATTTGTTTTTAAATTTTCTCTCTCTCTCTCTCTCTCTCTGTGTGTTTAGTTGTTAAACATTTGCAACAACGATGAATGAATGAAGACGACGATGATGACGAAGACTTCGACATATTGCCGGTGCCTAGATGATGATGAAGAAGAAGAAGAAAAAAAAATGGGCGAACACAAATGTGATTCATTAAAACCGTTCGACGACGACGACGACGACTAAACAACTTGAAGACGAAATATTGTGTATTGTAACCAGAAAATCAAACAAAACAACGGAAAAAAAGTATTGCTTGTTGTTCGTTGTGTGTGTGTGTGTGTGTAATTTTCATTCAATAATTCTTTTCTTTTTATTTATTGTTTTGAATCATTTTCATCATGATGTAAAAAAAAAAAAATTTCATCGTTTTGAATATATTACCATTATTGCAACGTTATAAACAACAACACCCATACAAACATATACAGAATTTGGTTTTTTTGGTTTTGGTTTTTAGAATTCGAATGTTTGATAATGATTCGATTCACCATGAATCAGTCCATATAGTGGATGTGTATGTAGTTTCTACATTTTTTTTTTTTTGTTCATTGAAACTACCAGAACAACAACAACAACAAAAAAATCCTAAATTCCGGTTCGACATGTGATTCAAAATAAAAAACAATCCTCTTTGAATTTTTTTTATTATAATTTTGTATGCTGTGTGGTGTTTTAAACTAGTCATTTTTTTTCATTGATTCGAAAACAAATAAATTCCTATATATTCAATCACATCATCATGTCAGATCATCATCATCATCATCATCATCACCAACAACAACGTCATCGTCGTTGTCGTATCTGGTTTCATCGACTAATCAATGATTCCATTCTTTTATTATTGATCATCATTATTATTTCATCATTTAATGGTATCACCAATGCTTTCAATTTAGATACATTTACAGCATTAGTACAACGTGGTCCTACTGAAACATATTTTGGTTTTTCAGTTGCATTACATAAAGATCGTAATGTTAGCTGGTAAGTTTTTTTATGTCTTTTTTTTCTTGATTTTTGAATGTCGACAATATTTTTCTGTTTTGAAAAAAAATTGTTAATCAAATAAAGATTTTATTTGTTTGCTTGATCATAAGATGATCATTTAGCCAGATGATTTTCAGTCCAGCTGCATACACATGATACACACATATTGAAGATAACGACGACAATGATGTTTTAAAAAGATAAAATCGAATATATATTGACCATTTAGATTTTAAAAATTTTAACAAAAAAAAAAATATTTGTTGGCATATACTCATTTCCGTTCTAATTTTCTTATTTTGGTTATAATTATTGTTGTTGTTGTTGATGATGATGAACGGTAAACATGAAGAAATATAGAGAGAGAGAGAGAGAGAGAGAGAGAGAGAAAGAGAAAAAAAACCACCATTGAAACCCACGCAAAAAATCCGGACACGAATAAAACATATACACACACAAAAATCATTGAGATGATAATATGTCACCAAAGTCGGGCAACTGAGAAAAAAATGGTTTACTTTTTTTGTGTGTATGTGTTTATGTACGACGACAATGCCGACTACGATAATCCATTCTTGATCTGAATCCAAGAAAAAACAAAATTCGGGTTTTTTCTTTTCTGTTTTTTTTTCATCAAACGAAAAACACACACACACACGAACACATGAAATATGTCACCGAACACATTGCGGAACGCCAACGTTTGATTCTATTCTAACATAGTGGTGGTTTCGTTATCGTTGTTGTTGTTGTTGTTGTTTTGTCGACAACAAAAATAAAAATAAAAAATCTTTTTCCGTTTTAAGAATTTTTTTTCTTTCTTATTATTTCTCTCTTATTCAATAAACAAAACAGAATGTTTGTTTGTTCTTATTCATCATCATCATCATCAACATCAAAGTTCACTATAGCGTGTGTGAGAGTGTATATGTTTGCGTTAATGATTATTAATAGTTAATGGTGATGAATTTTGTATTTTTAGAATCAGATCATCATCCACTATATATAATCTTTAGACGACATCATCATCATAGAATCATTTTGATGATGATTTTCATTGATAGTTAAATTTTTTTAAAAAAAAATGAATGATTAGTTATTATGAGAAAAAAAATTGAATAAAATTCAGACCAAAAATAAGAGGATTGAAAAAAAAAATTCGTAAACCAAACAAAATAAAATTAGGACGATAATAAAAATTGTTTATTTGCATAAAGTCTATGATGATATGATAGTATAATTTGATGGTACATATGGTCAACACATGTGTTCTTGTTGTCCAGGCAACAGAAAAAAATACAATTTGTTGATCTATTCATGGTCATCATCATTTTAGCTCATGTTTGTTGTTGTTGTTGTTGATCGAATTTGATTGATTAATGACATCTGGTGTATCTGTGTATGTGTGTGTTTTAAAAATTTTTTATCTATATTTTTTGGCAACTTTTTTTCAAAAAAAATTGATATTTTTCTCTAACACACACCCAAATTTTAGGTTATTAGTCGGAGCACCATTAGCGCAGACTGATCAACCAAATGTTGAACATGGTGGTGCTGTTTATCGTTGTTCAATCGATTCAATAAATACATGTCAACAGATTACATTCGATCGTACTGGACCATCAGTTGTTAAAATAAAAGGTCGTGATTATCAAGAGGATGAAAAATCTAATCAATGGTTTGGTGCTACATTACATAGTACACCAGAAGGACCTATTGTGGTAAGATTTTAATTATCATCAATCAATATGTACCCTAATTTGAATGTCAATTTTTTGTCATAAAAAATATTTAGGCATGTGCACCAAGATTTGTTTATTTTACAACCAGTTTAACAAGACGTGATCCAATTGGTACCTGTTGGATATCACGTGGTTCATTCACTGGTTTTATCAATATTCACCATGTCGTAATACAAATTGGGGTTATCATCGACAAGGTTCATGTCAAGCTGGTATGTCGGCAGCTGTAAGTAAAAATGGTAAACAATTATTTGTTGGTGCACCCGGAAGTTTATATTGGCAAGGACAAGTATTCGAACATGATCTTGAATTGATGACAAGTATACAAACAAAAAACAAAGCACTTTCATCCGAAGATGACAGTTTTCTTGGTATGTTTTCTTTTTTTAATTTTTATCATTGGATGAAAATGACATTAGATAAACAATCAATAATCAACATTATTTACACAATTCTATTTTTTTTTTCACTAATAATAAACAGGTTATTCAGTGACAGTTGGGCAATTTTCCGGCAGTAGAGATTATGATGCGGCTGTTGGTATGCCAAAAGGCAATAATCATACCGGTAAAGTTGTCATATTCAATTCATTGTTACAAAATACAGCCAATATTAGTGGTGAACAAATGGGATCATATTTTGGTTATTCATTGGCTACAGCCGATATTAATGGTGATGGGTATGTTTTTTTTCTTCTTTTTTGATTTTATTTGATTTATTACTTAATACTGTTTTGTTGCTGTTATGTGGTATAACAATATAACAAAAAAAAATCAAATCCAATTTTTCTTTTACAATAGTCTGGATGATATTATTATCGGTGCACCATTATATTCATCACCAATGGAAAAAGATCAAAGTTATGAAAAAGGTCGTGTATATGTTGCTTTACAAAATCGTGATGTATGTATAAATCGCGATATGCAAATTGTTTGATAAGCAATATTATTTCTATCTATTTATTTAGCATCAATTCCGAATTAGATCAGAAAATGGATATGTTAGTGGTAAAACAAGTAAAGGACGTTTTGGTCTTTCTGTTGCATCATTAGGCGATACGAATAAAGACGGTTTTGATGATATTGCTGTTGGTGCACCATATGATGGAACGAATTCGAATGGAATTGTATACATATTGCTTGGATCGAAAACTGGTATCAAACCAGATTATTCACAGGCAATACATGCAGAAGATATAGCTGATCCAGGATTACGAACATTTGGTTATAGTTTATCTGGTGGTATGGATGTTGATTCAAATACTTATAATGATCTATTGATCGGTGCATATCATTCGGATCGAGTTGTATTGATGAAAGCACGACCAGTGGTCAATGTAACGGCAACATTAACAACAACGAAAGATAATGTTAATCTTGAAGATCGTGATTGTACAACATCCGATGGTAATCGTGCACTTTGTGTTACCATTAAAGTTTGTCTATCATATTCGGGCGTTGGCGTCGATAATCGACTTGGTAATTTTTTCTGTTTGTTATTATTATTTTTTGAATGACCCACTAATTCATGCATTTATTTTTTTGGGGGGATTTAGAATTCCATTACCGTACAATATTAGATGCAAGCGTTTCATCAAGTATGCCACGATTATATTTTCTACATAAAGAACGTGAAAATGAAGAAGAATTAGTTACAATATTAAGCAAAGGACAAACTTGGTGTAAAGAACGTCAAGCATATTTTATTGTATGTTTTTTTTTGTTGTTTTTTAATCACATTATCTATGTTTTAACTAAAATTTGTCATTTTTTTTTTTTTTTTGTAAAAAATGTTACAGAATAATGTTCGTGACAAATTAACGCCAATCAATATAACATTAGAATATTGGCTACCACGAATGACACGTTCAATGATGGATCAAACTAATGTTGGATATTCCGGATCATTGGATTCACGTTTAACGCCCATACTTAATAATGAACAACCAAGTTTTCTAAGTAAACAATTATCGATACGAAAAAATTGTGGCTATGATAATATCTGTAAACCTGATCTAGCATTATCAGCAAAATTGTATGTAATATATGAATGCTATGATTGATTGATTGGTAATTGAATATTTTTTTCGTTTCATTTCAGAAATGTTGATGAATATGTTGTTGGTAGTCGAAAAAAATTATTAATGTCAGTTTTTGTTAAAAATCAAGGTGAAGATTCATATGAAACTGTGTTCAATATGCGTATGCCATATGATGTACATTATATTCGTATTAATAAATCAGCTGCTCATGTAAGCAATATTTTTTGTTTGTTTCACAATATAATTATCAAAAATCATTTGATGTAATAATTTTTTAAAAATTAGCCCGAAATTGTTTGCTATGGTGCACGACCAGAATTGACTGGTGTCAATGATCTAACATGTGATATTGGAAATCCATTACGATCAGGCAAAACTGTAAGATGAAATTATTTCAAAAATGAATTATTCATTAATTGCTTTATAGGCCGAATTCATTGTCATTATGGAACCAGCGAAAATCAATTCAGCAACAACACCGAATTATCTATTTCTAATGAATGTGACAAGTGCTAATAGTGAAAGTGATAATGCATTAGAGAATAATCGTTATGAAATTGGCATACCATTACGTGTACAAGCTGACTTGAATATTTTTGGTATATCCGAGCCGGAGGTTATTTCATATAATTATTCAACAATAGAAACATGGACGAAACCCCAGAATCTAGAAGATATAGGCAGAGAACTTAGCCATTCATATACTGTACAAAATAAAGGTTTGACGACAATCAGTAGAGCAGAAATCACGATACTTTGGCCCACACGAGATCTTCGTGGAAATTTTCTATTCTATCTAGTCGATCAAGTTCAAATAAAAGGCCGTCCAAACAAAGGATTCTGTCGAACAATTACCAGAGATGATCTTAATCCACTTGGTCTTAAGGTAATTGATTAAATCTTTAATTAAATAATAAGGTATTTTTTCATCGATATTTCTAGTCTCGTAGATCAAATAATCATCAACTGACTCGTACAACTCGAGCTTTGCCAAACATTTTCAAACGAAAACAAACCACACCACCGACAGAAGATTCATTGGAAGCTGAACTTCAGGCCAAATATAAAGCTCTTACAAGTGTAAGTGAATATTTATCAGAGATTTATCTTACTTGCTAATCACATTTTTTTTTCATCAAAAATTTTCTATAGTCGTGCGTTGATGTTGCCAAATGTACAAAAATTGAATGCATAGTACAAGAACTTGAAACAAATGAAAGCGTCGTATTCACTGTACGTTCACGTTTCTGGAAGGAACAAATACAATTAGTCGGATTGGAAGAATTTGAACAATCATCGAAAATGATAGCAATGATCACTGCCTTACCATATGATGTACATAAAAGTTTTCTACAGCCAACAGTACAAACAGCTAAAACGAAAATATTCGTCACCGGAATGGGACGAATCGAATTGATTCCATTATGGCTTGTAATTGCAGCCATATTAATCGGTTTGCTCATATTGGCCATATTGGCCTGTTGTCTATGGAAATTAGGATTCTTCAAACGTAAACGTCCACCAAGTACATCGGATCGTGAACCACTTCGTAATTCATCACTTTAAAATGAGAAAAAAAGCGTGTTAGAAAATTAACGAAAAAAAAATTCAATTCAATTCAATTACAATTTGATCGATTATTTTTCAAACTTTTTCATCGATATATATTTGAATCAAAAAACAAAAAAAAAACTGTTGCTCATTTGTAAAATCATTTCGAATACCAACAAAAATACAAAATAGTTCCTCTTTCATCATCATTTTCATTTCATTCAAATTTTACCACCATCTATCGGCCATCGTCATCATCATCATTCTAATTGAAAGAGCAAATTTTTTTTTTGCGTCATCGTTCACACCTCATTCACACATACTCACATTGATTTTCTATCAAATTAATCTAATCATCATCATCGATCATCAATCAATTTATTTTATCACATCACAATAATTACAAATTGCTTCCTTTTTCTTTGCACAGCTCTATTTTATTTTTTTTTGTTGAAAAATAAATCAATTTTGAAATAAAAAAATTATTTTGTTCTATCATTTATGAACGGTCTTTTTTTTCAGTGTGATCCGATTAATTTCCGTCATACAATTTTTTTCTGTGTATGAAAAGACACACACACACACTCGAACAAAAGTTGATGAAGAAAGAAAATTTTTCTATCAAATCACGTTTTTCACTGTCATTTTTTTTGTTCATCATTTTTTTGCCGATTTTGATTGTTTGTGATCAAATTTTTGTTTCTTTGATTGAATATCCATTATTATCATGGATTCAAATACTTTAAACATTTATAAAAAACTTGTTGAAGCAAAAAAACAAATTGATGATGCTCTTGAAGAATTGGTAAATTTATCGCAAACAAAAACCGAAGTAGCAGTAAAGATTGTGAACAAAGTTCCAGAAAAATCCATTCCGAATGCTGTACCATCATCAACAACACCCGTTAATGGTATTGATTCCAATATTTCTGGTGGTGATTCTATTTCTGGTGGTGATTCTGTTTCGGGAGAAAAATCCATTGTTGGTTCAAGCAACGATGATAAATCATTGAAAACAAATGGTAAAATTGATCACGTTGCTATTGCTGATAATAAGCCATTGGATGCTGTTAAAAAGTTCAACTATCAAGATGGTACTTTAACATTAAATCTGGTATATTCGTCGCGTAATTTTTACGTTAATTTTGATTATGATAAAATGAAAAAATTCTATACGAAATTCAATGAAGATTATCTTCTATTAAACAAAAAAAGTGTCGAATTACAGCCATATGAAATCGTTATCGATGGAATTTATGCTGTTTTAAATCAATCCGATGAAACCTATTATCGTGGTCAAGTAATTGATTTTTGTCCAAAAGATCAGGTGAAAATATTTCTGATCGATTATGGTGATGATATGGAGATTGACAGGCAACAAATTTATAAATTATTGCCACCTTTTGATAAAGAACCAGATTTTGCCTTAAATTGTTTCATTAATGGTAATGATTAATGGTTTGCTTTCTATTAATATTATTATTTACTAAATTACCTCCTTACAGAGAAATGGACCGAAGATTTTAAACGATTTGATTCGGCATTGATCAAATATCTTGAAGATGGTGTTTCGTTGGAGGGTAAATTGTTGAATCCATTGCCAAATTGTCATCGAATTCCAATTTCTCTTCATATTCAACTTCCTGGCAAAAAAATGGATAAGTTCACTTCAATTGATCATAATGTCGATGTTTATGGTATTTTGTTTGAAAAATAATGTGAATGATTACAAACAAACTTGAATAACCACCATTTTTTCTCTCCCATTTCTTTCACAGATTTCATTGATCAATATAAATTTAACTATGAAACATTTTTGGAAAAGAATAAAATCGATTGGACAAAATTGTCAAAATCATTCCATATGCTTGATAAAATTACTGGCTTTTCAAAGTCGTTGAAGATGAATAAAGCCCTGATTGTAAAAGTGGAAGATATAGACAATTTTTTGATCATAACAGATCATTCACATTCGAATTCTCAATTGAACAATTTCGTCACTAATTTCAGGTAATGAAATTTTTATTTTCAAATTTTTTTTTACTGGATTTTACAATACATTTTTTTCCTTTATTTTGTATTTTGTATATACATATAGCAATTTCTATTATCCATCTCGTGATTTTATGCTCAAGGATGATATATCAATAGATTTGGTCGTGGTGAAACATCAGGATTTCTATTTCCGTGCATTGATACTTGGCGGTAATGATGATGGTTATGAAATTTTTGCTTTTGACATTGGATTTATTTGCACGGTGAAAAAATCACAAATGTATCGTTTATTGGATATATTTTCTGTACAAAATTATCCACCATTCATTCATTGTTGTCGTATACACGGACTTGTACCATTGAAAGAAAATTGGAGTTCGATAGCCATGTAAGTTTTATTATCGTTTTTTTTATCAAATTTAATTTTCCTGATGATTCGTTGAATTTTTGTTTTTGTTTCATTTTTTTTTCTATAGTACTACATTGAAAAAATTTTGCAACCAATCCTTAGACATTATTGTACGTGGTTTTGACAAAGGAAAATTTCAGATTGAAATTTTCAATGGTGGAATGAATGTTCGATCAACATTTATTCGTTGCCGTTTGGCCAAATCGGTTGAATGAATGATGATTGAATTTAATTGAATTGCTGATGATCTATCTTTTCTCGCCATTTTCTTTATACTACTCATTATTATTGTCATTACTTTTCATATATAATCTAAATCCAATTACTTAATGTTGATAATGGAAAAAAATATAACACATGTTGTGGCGTGGCAAATTTAAATTTTTTTAAAACACAAATAAATTAACAGGGTTTTTTTCCCATTTTTTTCTCCAATAGATGGTGTTTTTATTTTTTCCGGAACTTTTGTTTTGTTTTTTGTTCAACTTCAATGACATTTAGTGTTGTTAACAAACAAACTAATCGAATCGATTTAAATGCAAAAAAAAATGCTACCATAATGATGATGATGATGATGATGAGGTGGGATATAACGATTAACTCGCTTGCTACCTTCATTTAGAAGTTTAATTGCTGCTACTTCGGCTACTGATGTGTTTGTTGAACTTGAAATTGATTCAAAATTTTGTTTTGTAGATTGTAATTATTTACAATCTACAAAAACAAAAACAACAACAACAACAACAGAAAAAAATTTCGAAAATTGATGTTTATTAATATATTAATAATTTGATGAAATGATTTTCAATGAGATAGCATTAAATGAATGAATGAATGAATCATTTGTCTAATAAATATGAGAAACAAATTATGGTGAGTAAAACAAAAAACAAAACAAAATGAATGAAGAAGAAAAAAATTTAACAGATTCAAATAATGTGTGAGTGTGAGCAATAAATTTGTTTTTTGCCGAAATTTTCCAAAAATTCCATCATCATCATCATCATTATCGTTGGCCATGAATTTTGATTTTCATTTTGTTACGACGGAAAGATCTCAAGTAGAATCATATAAAAGATCAAATATATCGTAAAATTTCATTCCAAAATCTTTGCCAACAGAAACATTATTGGACATAAGATTCATATGTAGATTTCTATTATCAAGTTGTGGCCATTCGATTCCATTTTGTCGTAACATTTTTCTGTTTAAACAAGACAAACAGAAAAAAAATATTTCAGAAATTTTATAAAAAATAATTTTCACACATCAATTTTACCCGGTTCTTGCAAAATTTGTCCACGTTTGAATCATTCTTCGACTTAACATTTGTTGTTCATAGGTAAATTTATCTGGATATCGTAACGGTAAGCCGAATACATAATCCATTTCATTCCAATGTGGTGAACCAATCCATTTTGGATATGAAAGATTTTCTTCATGAAATAGATAAAGATAAACATTTTTTCTATCATCATCGCTTAATAATTTGGCAAATTTAAACACTGGTCCTTTGAAAATGAAATCACTTAAAAATACCATAAATTCTCGTATAATTTGTTTTTCATTATTTTTGGAATTTTCCTTCTTAATACGATCAAGTATTAATGAACTTAATCGTTCGAGATTATTTGAACCACTATCCAATTTGTCGATAACTTGTTGAAAAGTAGTTAGATTAACATTGAAATCATCAACTAATGGAATTATATCTGGTGCTTCATGATGTAGATACAATGTTGATTCATTTGCATTTGCACCAATCAATATATCTTTTTGTACAATATTATCAGATTGTTGTTCAACATATTCTGGTAATAATTGACTTGGTATCGATGGACTAAAGCTGATAATATTTTTACTCAATATTTCTCCTTGTATTTCATTGATTTTTCTGGATGTTAATCTTTCAACACATTCGGTTTCAAGTTTTCGTTGTTTATTACCATTATTATCATCATCTTCAAATTCTTCATCATCAACATTATTATCATCATCGCCATTATCATTATTATAATCATTGTCATTGCCATTTTCATATTCATCATCAATTAACAACGTATTTTCTGTCGTATGATGGTCGATCGTACAATTAGCCAATTGAATGACACGTGTAAAATGATGATTTGTAAAAATTTGTTTCAACATCATTGGACTTGCACTTTGTAGTATGACACGTTGAAAAAGATTACGACTAACAGGTGAAATCATTAACATGCCAATTGAAATTGCACCAGCTGATTGACCTTGTAATGTGATTTGATTTGGATCACCTTTTTGAAATAAAATGGAGAATGTTATATAATGTGTAAATTGATTATATAAAAAACCACACAACTTACCACCAAAATGATGAATATTTTTTCTCACCCATTCAATGGCAGTGATCTGGTCATAAAGACCTAAATTTCTATCATAATGATCGGTTGTATGTTCAGAATCTTCCAGATTATTATCGAAAAATCCCAGTAAACCAACACGATAATTGATGGTAACAAAAACAACATTACCAATGGCTGAAATCATTCCACCATTATATGCTTCCATACTGATGCCCATATAGTTGAAACCACCACCATGTATGTAAATAATGACCGGTAATAATAATTTGTTCGATTTATTCATCGTAGTAATATTTTGATTATCTTTAACATTAGTTAAAGATGAACTACCGGTTGTTGTCCATATCGGTGTCCATATGTTTAGAAATAAACAATCTTCACTAACATTTCGATTATAAATTTTCGTTAAATAATCAAATTGTTTTAGATTATTTTGCATACAAAATGGTGGCCATTTCAGAGCATTTTTTATGCCCATCCATTCTGTTGCTGGTCTTGCTCGTCGAAATCTCTATGGAAGAAATAGGAAAAAAAATTACAACAACAACTAAAAAAAAACACAATCAATTTCAATAAAATCATCATCATACTTTTGGTTTTTCTGCATAACGAACACCAAGAAATTGTGCTAATGTAACATTTTGTTCATCAATCAATTGGCCACGTAATTTTGGACCATATTGGTCATTATTAAATCGTAATTTTGATAATGAAATAACAATATAATTATTAGGAATGGAACGAGAATTTCTTGTAAAAATATTATTTAAATGTAACAAAGGAGAATTCCATTTATAAATGAATAATGTAACAATGATCATACAAAAAAAACACTAAATAGAATTGTTAGAATTTTTCGTCGTTTTTCATTCAAATACATCGTTACAACAAAATGATCATCGATGATCAATGAATCAAAAGAAAAAACAAAAACAAAAAAAAACAAAAAAAAAATCTCAAAAACTTTTAATGATTATAACAAGACTGGTATCGACATTCGAATGATGAATATTTTTTTTTTTACCGTGTGTGTGTGTGTGTTTATTTATGTTCTTGTACATATATGAATGTCGAAAGAAAAAAAATTATAATTTTTAACCATCGACAAAAATGGGTTTTTATCGCCTTTCCCACTTTTTTTCCACACACACACACACACACACACATTGATGATTGTTTTGTTTTTCATTCAATTCAATTCGCAAATAATTATTATCATCATTTTCTATATGTGCATTCCTCATTTATAATATATATGTTATAATAAATGATAATGATAGTTTTCATGTGGAAATTCAAATTTAATTGAAAAAAAATTGAAAATTGATCGTCCACTAAAAAAACAAAACAAAACACATCCATCCATTTAGATATGTCATCGATTATGATGACGTTGATCATCGACATGATCATCATCATGATGATAATCATGTATTTCCCTTTTTTTTCCATTACAAATTGTATTTTTTTTATATTATATTATTTTCCATTCATCATCATCCTCCACCATCATCATCATCACATCATCATCATTATTGAGTGCACGAGTGCACATGCACACGTAATGTAAATTTTTCCATTTTTTTTTCATAAACAAAAAAAAAACATTCCAAAAATATCTCAATGATCAAAAATAATCATGAAAATTTGGTTACAAAGCAGCAGCAGGGTAAGTAGAAAAAATTTTTCTTATTAAATGCTAATCATCATTGGAATTTCTTTTTTTGTTCTCTACTAAATAAAGAAACGTGTAATTATCTATTATTAGTGTTTCTCCATTGTTTTTTTCTTAGCTTTTTCTTTTTTTTCCCAGCACAATAATAAAACAATGTCTTTGATCGATAAATTAATATATCGAAAAAATGAATCAGTTTTGGTGGTCGAGTGATTCTGATTTAAGCTTTCGGCCATTCAACCATCTAACCACACACACACACACACAGATAGACAGAAGAAACATGTGTTTAATCCAGAACAACAAACAGAAACAAACGAATGTCAGGTTCATTCGAGTTTATAATCGCCATCATTATCGTCATCAGCGTTTGTCATGGAGGAAAAAAAACCCAAAAATGAAATTACAAACGAAAACGTGATTCGAAAAAAAAATGAATGACAAAAAAAATTTATTGAAAATTTAAATTTTGATGAAAATGTGGGCAAAAAAAACAAACATTAATTCAGGAATAATTTATACAGGTAAATGGAAAAAAACAAAACAAAAATGAAAATTTTTCGACATGTTTATAAAAGAGTAGATTTTTTTCGCTGATTTGGAACAAACAAACAAACAAAAAAATGGCTACCACCGCCAGCTTAACAACACAATTATTAGCCATTTCAGTGATTTCATTGCAGCGACAAATTCTACATAATAATAATGTGAATCGTACAGAATTGGATACCAATAATTATGATTACATAATTGTTGGATCAGGTTCAGCTGGTGCTGTTGTTGCCAACCGATTGGCAGCATTTAATCAATCTAGTTTAAGAATTTTATTATTAGAAGCCGGTGGTGCACAAAGTGTTGTTAGTGATATGCCTGGTTTAACACCATGGTTGGTTGGTAGTGAAATGGATTGGCAATATTTGACCATACCACAAACGAATATAGGACAAGCATTTCGTGATCAAAGAATTAGACAACCAAAAGGTAAGCCAAAAGAATGATTGATTGTTTTGTTTTGTTTTGTTTTTTGTCACACGCATCCACAATAGGAAAAGTTATTGGTGGTACATCGACAATAAATTGGATGCTTTATAATCGTGGTAATCGTCGTAGCTATGATAATTGGTATACAACATATGGTTGTGATGGTTGGGATTATAATTCAATTTTACCATATTTTATTCGTTCTGAAAATAATACATCACCGAAAATTGTACAAGAAAATCGTGGCTATCATGGCACAAATGGTCCAATGGGTGTTTCACCTATGGCACATCCTGATCCAATGTTATATGTATTTCAACAACAAATGAATAGTTTCGGTATACCGACAATCGATATTAATGGTGAAAGCCAAATGGGTACAATGATCTATGAATTAACGGTGAATAATGGAACACGATGTTCAACGGGAAATTCCTATATCGATCCAAATCCATATGCAAATAATCTACATATAATGGCCAATTCATTTGTGACAAAAATACTTTTCGAACATAATAATCAAACCAATAATATTACAGCCATTGGAGTTGAATTCACAAGCAATGGAAATAACTATACGGTTATGGCAAATCATGAAGTTATACTTTCAGCAGGTAAAGAACCAAAAAAAAAAAATCAATTTATTAATTTGATTTTTTTTTCTATCGATTTGAAAACAAACAGGATGTATTGCATCACCACAAATACTGATGCTTTCAGGCATTGGTCCACGTCAACATCTTGAATCGATGAACATTACGGTGATTGCCGATTTACCTGTTGGTGAAAATTTTCAAGATCATGTTTTCATACATCATTATTATGGAGTAAAAAATCATAGTCTATTGAATGAAGCTGTTGGACCAACTGTTGAACAATTATATGAATATTATATCAATCAAACTGGTCCTTTGACACAATTACCGAATTCAATTACATTTTTTAGTACAAAAACTAATGATAATCCTGAATGGCCTAATGCTGTTATCGATGTTAATGCATATAGTGTATTAAGAAATCTTACTGAAACTGTTTCATCATATGGAATAAATTTACAACAATGGGCAGATTTCTGGACACCATATTTGGGCAAACAATATCTTCTGGTTACATCAGCCATTTATCGAACATATAGTCGTGGTACTATACGTTTAGCAACAACAAATCCATTTGATCAACCATTAATCGATCCACGTTATCTTAGTGATCCACGTGATCTACAAGCATTAGTGGATATGACTAAAATTCTATTCTATGTAACACAGACTGGTGAATTTCCAAAATATGCAGAAATATTTTCACAACCAATACCGGGTTGTCAATTCTGTCCAGATAGACCATTATATCAATGTGATAGTTATGTACGTTGTATAATCAGACAAGTAGCTGATACTGCATTACATCCAGGTGGTGCATGTCGTATGGGATCAACAAATCGTACTGATATTGTTGTCGATCCAAGATTACGTGTAATTGGCGTTGATCGTTTACGTGTAATTGATTCATCAATTATACCGGAATTGGCAAATGCAAATACACATGCAGCATCGGTTATGATTGGTGAACGTGGTGTACAATTTATCATTGATGAATTATCATCATCAGCGTCATCGATTTGATCAAGAAAAAAAAATGATTAACGAAAAAAAAAGACAACAGCGACAGTAACAAATATTTAACATTAATTTTTTTTTCTATAATTATAAAAAAAATTGATGGTCATATTTATGAAGTGAAAAGAGAGAGAAAATTTTTTCCATTGAATTAAATACTTATAGCACGTGTTTATAAATGGCAAAAAATTAATTGATATTTTTAAGATATTAATAAGCAACAACAACGGAAAAAAAGGAAATAAATCGATAAACATGAATTTTTGTGGCTGGGCAGGGCTGTGCTGATGAGCTTGAGTATGGGGATATATCGATCAGGCAAAAAAAAAAAAAAAATTCACAATCATTCGCATTCGATTGGATTGGACCATGAAAAAAAAAACGAAATTGATGATAATCATCATTGGCGTTAATCGGTATGGTAGTTTTTTTCTTCGTTTGTTTGTTTGTTTGTTTCCTACATTAATTTCATTAACCAAAACAAAAAATTAAAATTTTTCTACATAAAAATGATTAATATCCCTGATGATGATGATGATGATGATGATGATGGCGACTTATGACAACAACGATGAAATTGTCATTGTCATTGGATTTTTTTTTGGATAATAATTATAATTGATAATTGATAATCAAATTGAGTGGTGCACAAAAAAAAAATTAAAATTAAACTGTGTTCTATATTGATTGTGTGTATGTGGTGTGATGACGTAGAAATAGTGAAAAAAATACACAAAGATTCGAAAAAATTTTTTTGTGAGAAAAAAAAAATTTAAATTTAAAATTTTCTCATTACCATCATCATCATCATCAATGGAAATTCATGAAAAAAAAAGAATTGAAAATGATTGTTTTCCTTGAAAATTAATAAAATTTAAATTTAATTTTTTTTTTAACATTTAAATCCAGATAAACAAACCATTAAAAATAGGTAAACAAGCAAACAAATCCATTAAGTATTTTTTTTCTGTTTTTTTTTGTTTTCTTGAATTCTAATGACAATGAAATTTTTTTTTTTTTTAGCGTTTTGTTCATACATTTCCTGTTTTGTTGATAAACGTAAAATCCTGTGCGAAAAAAAACAAATCAATCGAACAACGACTAAATCAACAATTTAATCAATTGCCGGCCGGCTAATCATCATTTATTACAAAAATGTTGGTCTCTCTCACTAACTAACTCGACGAGATAATCGATTGCAATTTTTTTTTCGCACTTTATGCATTTGTTATTTCATTTCCTCCCCTTGAATTTATCATATCAAACAGTGAAACAAAAAAATTCCAAAATACAGAAAAAACCCGTTGATCATTTATCCTCCAATATCATCATCATCATAAAATGAGGATATATATAGGATATGGTTGTTGTTGTTGTTTTTTTTTTTTTTGGTTTTTTTTTGTTTACATCATAATGTACCGAAGGTTTCATTGTGTGTGTGTGTGTGTGTTTACGTGACAGTTTATTAGTGATTTCATTTTTTTTATAATTTTTTTTGGGTTTTAATTTCGAAATTAATTTTCCACATTAGTGAAGTTTTATTTTCAATATAATTTTGAAGGATTTTAATGCCATATTGCAAGCGAGATGTGATTTTTGTTTTGTTTGTTTATTATGAAAAAACAAATTTGGTTTGTTTGTTTTTTTTTTTTATTACTTTTTGGAATATTTTTTTACTGCATCGATTGTGGTTGTTGCAGCCGTGATGAAATAATTTTGTTTGAAAACAAAATTATAAAAATGACATTCAACAGGGACGATCATCATGATGATGACGCATTCAGATTTTTCTCTCTCTCTTTTTTTGATATAGAATATTCATGACAAGCGGTTCAAAAATGAAATCAACAGAAAAAAAATTGGGCACCACTATTTTTAAAACGAAAAAAAAAGATTGCACCATTACAAGATTCACGTCATCAATGTGTGGATGATTGTGACTAGATTAGATTAAGTAATGAAGAGAGAGAGAGAGAGAGAGAGAAAAAAACAGTACATCTTCAACATGAATTGAATTTAATTGAATAAAAAAAAAAAAAAAATTATCATCATATATCAGGAATTTGGATTTTTCATATTCATGGCCATTCATAGCCACAGACCAATCATCATCATCAGCAGGTATATTTTCTTTTTCAAGTAACGAAACAAAAAAAGAAAAGAAAAACATGTTGATTATGATGATTAGTACACTAAAATAAGATGATGATGATGAATATTTCAGGTTCAAGTTTTTTTTTTGTTGTTGTTGTTGTTGTCAGAAAAAAAATATATGTGTGTGTCTCTGTGTGGATTCCATTGGACGTTTTTTTTTCATGTGACTAATTATTTCACATGCACTTTCACTTTCACTTTTATTTTGTTGAGAAAAAAGAGGCTTTTTTTTGTCATTGACAATCATTGAGAATTATCGATCGATAGATTAATTTAAATTCAATTTAGTGAGAAAAAAAAACGATGATGATTGTGATGACGATGATGATGATGTGATTTGATTTGACATGTGTGATGACATTCGACAAGATATTTTTTCATTTTCATTATCAACTAATTAGTAATTCTTCGGTTTTTTTTCATTCGTTTCGTTTGATCAAACAAGCGAATAGTAGTAGTAGTAGTAGTGAATAAGTAATTGGTTTGCCGGTTTTTCCAATAATCAATTTGCAGCAGCAAGCCAAAAGATGGAAAAAAAATTAGCCCTTTTTTTCCCAATATAGGAATTGAATTGAATTGAATATAAATGAATGAATAATGATCATCATCATCATCATCATCATCGTTGATTCTAAGAACAAATTGGTTGGTTGGTTGGTTCTGTGGTGCAATTTTCTTTGGTTTTTCGTTCGTTTGTTCGTTTTTGTTTCTTTGTATTTACATTTTTTTTGTTTTGTTTGTCTGTTTGTTTGTTTTTGTCTTATGTTTTTGTTTTGATTTTGATTTTGGTCGATAATATAAACACATGCATGAATAAACACAAACACAAACACAATGTTGCGGATGGCAAACAAAAAAAAATTCATTTTCATGGCCAATGATTTTTCAATTTGATGATGCCACCAAATGGATGAATGAACCAACCAACAAACCAACTAACGTTCGAAACTCTTTTTCTCTTGCTTTTTCTTCAAAAAAAACGTAACACGTACAGAATGACTGATAAACAAACAAAACGAAAAATTTAGTGATTGTCATTGTCATTCGAAAAATTCTTTTTTTTTTCTTCTTCATCGTCGTCTTCAATAACAACAAAAATTTTTTTTGTTTTTGTTTTGTTTCGCAATCAAAGACGGTATTCTAGATTAATCAATCAATCAATCAATTATCATTTCCGTAACCAAAACAAAAAATGAAAATGAAGCTAATCATTTGTTTCAATTGGAAAATCAATTTTTTTTCTTGTCTTCACCATAGAATTTGTCGTTTGTCTGTTTGAGACAAAAAAAATGGACATAAAAACGTGACATTAAATTTTTTTTTCTAAAAATAAATAAATATAAGGACATCATCATCATCAAGAATCAATGATCAATTATTAACGATTCGATTGTCAAATTATCGTCATCATCATGTCACATAATAATCAAAATATATCTATCTATCTATCTATATAAGTGGCTGCTCATCCGTTTTGGTTGATTACACATCTGCATTTCATGGTGTATGGCGGCATGTATAAGTGCATTTGGTTTGTTTTTGTTTTTTGTTTTTGTTTTCTGTTTTTGTTTTTTTGTTTTTTATTTGTTTGTTTTTTTATTTTCAATGTGTTTGTTTTTTCAGATGTAAAAATATAATTTCCATAAATATATTCGTATATTCGTAAATATAAAACGTAATTATCGTCAAATTTTGGAGAAAAAAAAAGAATAAATGAAGAAGAAGAAAATCTATTAATCTGCAACTACTATTCATTATTATAATGCATTTTAATGGTTGAATGTACGTTTAAATAATTAAGAATTCATCATGTGTGTGTGTTTGTTTTTGCTGTGATTGTGAAAAGATGATTTAATCACTTTCAATACTAAATTGATGAAGATAATCATTCTCATCCTTTTTAAATTAATTAAAGAGATAAAAACAAATCCACTGCAAGCACCACCACCATTACCAACAACAACAACAACAACCACAACAGGTAAAAATAGGTGTAAACGAAATCTCTTTTTTTTTCTTTCACCAAAAGCTAAAACCTGAATTTATGCAGAATTTCTTCTGCTATTCACCAATTATGAATTGTGAAGAAAATCTAAACCTTTCATTTATTCATTCAATTCATTTTCAATCCTGATTTACATGTAGTTTCTTCAAGATTTTTTTTTTTTCTCTTCTCATTCATATATATAAGATAATTTATCTTTTATGATCATGTTTATGTTATTCATGGTTAATCCAATGTGGTAATGGTAAAATCAAAGAACAAAAAAAAACTATACTGAAATTCTCAAGGTTATATTCTGTACGTATTTTACGTTTACATTTACATACATTTTATATATCATCATCATCATCATCATCATCTAAAAGCTTCGGGCGATTGATTTTTGTTTTTTTTTCGGAAAAAAAATTTTTTTACACTTTATTTTATTAATTTGTTTAGTTTTTTTCTTTCTCTCTCTCTCTCACTTCATTTTCATGATTCATCAAAGATTTTTTTTTTTTTTTGGCCAAGAAAATCATTTCATTTTTAGTTTTAATTTCTCCCTGTATCAGTCTCTCTCTCGAGCTTAAACTTGTGATTGCTCCATTAAGATCCACACACACATTGAAACATTTTTTTTTTTTTTTTTGCGTATATACCACATACATTGTCATCGATGACAACGATTTTGTTCTGTTCTGTTTTTTTTTGTTTCTTCATTTTCTTCCCATTCCTTTTTGTTGTTGTTTATTGAAATATAATAATAATACTACTTTTGTTCCTTGATCCGCATCTATCCATTTTATCCAACATACAATTGATCACATTCAATAAAACCAAGTGGTAAGTAATAGCAAACAAACAAACAAATTGAATGAATGAATGAATGAATGAATTTTTTTTTTTCATTTTGAAACAAACAAACAAAAAACGCGCGCCATTGATATATTTTTAATTTTTTTTTTTTTGTTTGTTTGTTTGTTTGCTGTTTTGTAGATCATCATCATCATCATCATCATTGTAATTTTCAAATGAAACTTGTTGTACATATTGTTGTTTCCGATACAAAAAAAAGTGAGAAAAAAAATTTGAAATTTTACCGGAAAATTGAAATTTTTTCGTTGTTGTTGTTGTTGTTGTAACCACAAATCCAATTTATTCAAAAAAAAAGAGAAAAGTTCATTGTCGGTGTTATGTATTTGCATGTGTGTGTGTGTGTGTGTGTGTGTGTCTGTTTCGAGTTTATATCATCACCAAATTGGGTTCGTGATTGACAATTTTCAATTTCAAAATTCATTTGATTGACTGGTTCACAATCGATACGATCAATCGATTGATGATTGATTGATTGATTGGATACTTTATTTCAAATGAATGTACACAAATCATCATCATCATCATCATAATCATCATCATTGTTGTTGTAGTTATATGATGTGAATTTGATTATTCATTCAACCATTTTGTGTGTGTGTGTATGAGAGTATCTGTACATTATGCGTGGGTATTGTTCGTCCATAATAATAATTTGATTGATTCTGATCATTTTCTCTGAAAAAAAAAAATGTTAATGATGAATAAACCATGATCATGATCATCATCATCATTTGAAATAATCATTTTTTTTTGTTGTTGTTCTGTGATTTTCTTGTCTGAAAATGATGATGATGATTGAATCCAATCATCATCATCATCAACATCGACCACCAACAATTGTTGCTTACATGATTTGAAATCGATATGGTTATTTTCTTTGATCATGAACACGGCAAAAAAACGAGAGAGAGCGAGAGATAGAAAATTTTTTACACAATTAAATTGAAATTTTTCCACACCAGAAAAAAAAATTATATATACTCATCATTAAAATAGTACATTTGACGTCAATTAATTTTTTTTTGTTCACTATAGAAATAAAATCAATTACCTACTAATCATTGATTTTCGATGTGATTTTTGTTTTGTTTTGTTTTGTTTGACATTTATGTATATTGATCAACAATTGATGGTGCTTGCTGTTCACCATTCAATTCATTCGATGATATTGTTGTCATCATTGATAAACAGTGACAATTGATTTTTTTTTCTTTTGGCTAAAGAATATTCTCTCTTTTTTTAAAAAAATACAGAAAGAAAAATGAGCAACACAGAAGAAATTATTAATTTATCATTATCATCACCGGCGCCGTCGCCGTCGTCGTCGTCTGAACAGCATCCTGTTGTCGAAATAGAATCGAATCATTCAAATATGGTAATAATACAATCGAATAATAATAATAATGATGATAATGATGAAAAATTGCTTAATAATGACGAAATAAAGGATAATTCTGATGACCAATCATCATCGTCATCGTCATCCACATCCACCACATCCACATCCTCATCATCATCATCATCATCATCATTGCACTCTTCGTCATCATCGTTATCATTGAAGCCACATTCACAGCAATCATCATCAATAACAATGGAAATGAAAAATGAGAAACAACCAGAAAAATCATCATCATCATATAATAATAATAATAATGATGATGACAATATAAAACGGAAAGATTCGTCACAGGAAGAGATTGTACAGAAATTAATGAATCAAGTTCAATCTTATATAAATGAATGTTTTGAAATGGAAGAGATGCCAGAAAAAAATACTAATAATAACGATTCATCCACATCATCATCATCATCGAAACCAGTGATTAATCAAGATTTATCATCAGTTGCCATTTTGCCAATTGAAGTGAATAATCAACAACAGATAGTTGAAACAAAACCACAATTTAATGTGACACCAGTCAATAACAATAACAACAACAACAACAACAACAGCAGAGTGATGACAATACCATCAATTCATATTACGAATGAACATGGACAAGATAGAAGAATCAGTATCGATATAAATCATCAAAATAATAATAATAATGATACACAAACATCCATGGATAATAACAACAACAACAACAACAACAACAACAATTCTTCATATAAACAACAAAAACAACAACAAAAAGTGGCAGTTGTGATTAAAAATGTATCATTTTCATATACGAAAAAAACAAATGTTTTATCCAACATTAATTTGGTTGTTCCAAAAGGTAAAAATTTTCATTCATTCACTCTTTCTCTATGAAATTTTTTTTTCTATGCAAAGTGAAAAAAATTCATGTCATCGACTGTGAACAAAAATCTGATAATTTCATTGAAAAAAAATTTTTTTCCTATCCATTTTATCTGATCATTTGGTTTATTAGCTTTTTTTCCGGTTTCATGTTTCTTGGCCATTCATGATCAGCACAAAAAAATTGAAAATTCATCAAGTTTATTATTTTTCAATGTGTTTTTCTTTATTTTTCGTAATTTTTTTTTTGTCTATATAGCTCAAATATTCGCATTACTAGGTGCGAGTGGTTGTGGCAAGACAACATTATTGAGGATAATATTGGGTCGATTAAAACCGAAAAAAGGTGATGTACAAGTATTCGGTGCACGACCAGGTGGAATTCATTCGAATATTCCAGGCAGTGGTGTTGGTTTTATGCCACAAGAATTGGCAATGTTTCCATCATTCACTATAGCCGAAACATTATACTATTTTGGTTTATTACATCACATTCCTAAAGATGAAATTATCAAACGGACAGATTTTATGATCGAACTATTAAATCTACCGCCTAAAGATCGTAAAATTGAACAATGTAGTGGTGGTCAACAACGTCGTGCATCGATTGCATTAACATTATTTCATTCACCACCATTATTAATATTGGATGAACCAACTGTTGGTGTTGATCCATTATTACGACTTAAAATTTGGCAATACTTAGAATATTTATGTATCAATAATCGTATGTATATAATGGAAATCTAAATCAATGAGAATAATAATAATTTTTATTTTTATAATCATTTTCATCAGGAATGACCATCATAATTACCACACATTATATTGAAGAATCACGTAGAGCCAATAATTTAGCATTCATGCGTTTCGGTAGAATTTTGGCACAAGATTCACCAGATTCATTATTACAGAAATATAATACAACCGTATTGGAAGATGTTTTCTTACAGCTATGTCAACATGATTGTGGTGAAATTAAACAAAAACATTCATTGAAAAAACAAGATTCATCTAAAGAACAGACTGACATCTATGAACCTGAATTGGAACAAATTCGTTCAAAATTTTATAATTTTACTGTTGATAAAATCCGATTGAAAGCATTATTCTTTAAGAATATTGTCAATCTCAAAAGGAATCCATTATTATTCTTTTTCTTTCTATTATTACCTACTATACAAATTGTTCTATTCTGCATATCAGTATATAAATCTCCTGATAATATTGAGGTTTCAATTTTTAATAATGATACAAAACCACTTTCGAAACGATTTCTGGATCTAATTGATGAACGATTATTACGTGTATGTATAATTTATAATCGATTATGATTATTATTAATTGTGATTAATTTTAATTTTTGACTTTTACACACAGGTAAACCATTATAATTCATTAGATGAAGCAATACAAACGGTAATCAATGGAAAAGCATGGCTGGCTATCGAAATGAGTGATAGATTTTCTGCAGCTTATCGGCGTCGTGCAAAGAATCCATCGGATTTAAGTGAACAAGATTTTAATAATAGTAAAATCAAATTATATCCCGATCAAACGGATAATTTCATACACAATGTTATTGATAATTCATTGATGAATTCATATCAGAAATTTGTTGAAAATATTGCCGAATCATTTGGATATAATCCTAGTACTGTGAGAATACCGGTAATGGTGCAAGAAGTTGTACATGGAAAATTAGATCTAGAAAATGGTTATGTACTTTTGGACAATTTGATTGCCGGTTCATTGGTGGCTATTATTTATACAACACCATTATTAATGTCCGGTATGGTATTGGTGATGGAAAGAAAAGATAATATTATTGAAAGAACATTTGTCAATGGTGCTACATCCATAGAAGTATTTTTAACACATTTGATTACATTAATGTTAAGTCTGATTATTCAAGTGATCATTTTATTGTTTGTTGCAATAATTGTATTCGATGTGTCAGTATTGGGACCATTAAGTGAAGTTTATCTGATGTTATATTTACAAGGTTTAACCGGCATATTTATCGGTCTACTTATATCGGCAATATCGAAAAATGAAATTGTTGCTTTGGTGAGTATTTTTTTTTCTGTTAGATTTTTTTTTCATAAAAATCAAAATTTAATGTTTATTTTTTCCCAAATTCAAATAGTTACTATCACTTGGTATGGTATTTCCATTATGGATGATAAGCGGTGTATTCTGGCCACTTGAATCAATTGATGCATGGTTACAGAAAATATTCTGGATGGCACCATTATCCTATCCAATTCGTTCAACACATCATATGTTTAGACGTGGATGGACATTTGCTCAACATGAAGTTTTTATGGGATATGTCAGTAGTTTTATTTATAATATTATTCTACTGGTTACAAACGTCCTCGTCTTTCATTTTACCTCACAATAGTATTTTTATTTTCATTTTCATGATTTTTTTTTACATATTGCAACTTTTTTTACTATTTCTCGTTGAGCTTACGTTTTTCAATGTATTTGAGAAAAACAGAAACGGAAAAAAATAAATCATCAACACCAGAATTTTTAATCATCATGAACAAAACGAAACAAAACAAAACAAAACAGAACAGAACAGAAAAAAACTATTATTATTGTACAACAACATATTGATCATCATCATCATCATCAAACAAACAAACATGAATGGAAAACCAGAAAAAAATTGATGAATAAATTTTCCTATTTATAATACGAATTAATTAATTAATTGATTAGTTAATTGCCTATTGCAAATCATCATCAAGAAGAAATCATTATCGTCCACAAATAGCAACATTCGATTGTTTTTTTTTGTTGTTTTTTCAATACCGGATTTTTTGTTTCCATCGCCATCACCACCACCACCACTGCAATGATTGTGAATAAATTAATTTTAGTTCAAACCTTGAAAACTCTTCATTCTAATACAAAAAAAAAAAATAATAATTTCCAATGAAATCTAACAAAATTCATCCAACGACTAGTAGTAGTAGTAGTAGAAGGAGATTAAAGTCAGTTTTATTATACATAAAAAAATTCCAATGAATCAAGAAATTCTTTAGGAATTTTTTTTCGATGGAACAAACAAAAATCCAAAATTCTAATGAAAAAAAAAATAATAATAATAAATTAGCCATTTCATACACGGAAAACATTGAACATACAAATGACGATAATAAGATTATGAGATAGAGATTCTTCAGTGGAGAGAAGAAAAAAAAAAGAAAAACCAGAGAGAACTAGATGAATGATAAATAATAAAAAATATATATTGTTGTCGTTCAAGATCAATGTGAAACAAGCAAAAGAAAAAAAACAAGAAAAATCCGATTACGTAAACTAAGCGAAAAAAAAATTTTTTTTTTGTTTCAACTTTAAATATATAAAAATTGATGATGATGATGATGATGATTGGCCGTATTGTAGATATTTGTGCGTCATATTCGTTATTATTTTGTCCTCGATCTTGTGAATTTTTCTTGTTTTTTAGTTTCTCATTTTTTTTTCTTTCCAACGAAAGAGGTCAATCAATGGGACACAAACAAAAAAAAAGAGAAGAGAAGACAAAGATGAAGACGAAAAAATCACTGGACATCATCATCAAATTATTGACGATCGGTCAAGCTTATATTACGTAAAGATTTTTTTCTTTCGTTCGTTTCATTTCTTCTGCACTTTCGCCTTCGCCTTTGAATATCAGCAAGTTTTACCGCTGTTTCGAAAGTATATAATTTTGGATATGTGTGTGTGTGTGTGTGTGTGTGTGTTTAGTGATCATATAACATCATCATCATTATTTATTTCATTCGAAACATTTTTTTCCAATGATAATGCCGTAAGCAAAACAAAACAAAACAACAAAAAAAAACTACATGGAAAATGTGAAATGTGTTGCAACAATTGAGTGCAAATACACGTACACACACACACACACACAGGCAGACAGGTAAAATTTACATATTTTTAAAGAGAAAAAAAAAGAGAAAATGATGATGACGATGTTAGCAATTGATTTTAATGAATGAATGAATGAATGAAAGATTAAGATGAAAATAGGAAAAAAAATTCAAACAATTAAAATTGAAATTAATGCAGCAACAACAACAAAATTCAAATCAAAAAACACATAAATTTTCCATTCATAAATGAGAGTTTTTTTTACAGTTTGAAATCAAACATTTAGATATCGATTCTGGCCAATAGAATGATTTGCTTGTTGAAACAAAAAAAAAATTCTACCTACATTATTTGTCTGTCTGTTTGTTTGTCTGCGTTGATCAAATCTATGTTTGTTTCGTAAGAGAAACAAAAAGAAGGCCAATTTGAACGAAAAAAATTAGAAACACGATGATGATCATGATGTCAGGGATAAGGTGAGAGAGACTGTGAGAGAGAGAAAAATATACAAAACAAATGAGAAGGACCCGCAAAAAAAATTAAGAGTAAAATTTGATAAAAGAAATAAACAAAAAAAAAGAGAGACTTGCTGCTCATGGATGACTTGTGGTTAAAATTTTCTTCTTTTTCTTCTTCTTTAAAATTAATTTACAATTTCAATTCATCATATGTGGCCATTGATTTTGAATGGACAGAAAATAAAAATGTGAAATTTTTTTTCTTTTTTTGTTTTGGGTTTTCCATTCGGGTCACATCCTTTTCTGGTTTTTGGAATGAAAGGAATTTGTTGTATGCATCTTTTTTATCAGGCAGAGGAAATTCCAATAACATTTTTTTTCCTCTTGCTCAAATGAAAAAATTTCCTTGAAAATCCGGTGTTTCTTATCGTTTTTTTTTTTTTTTTGGTTGTCGTCGTTGTTGTTGTTGCTGTTGTTTATCAATTATTTTGCTTAATTAATTTATAATTTTTTTTGATTTGATTTTGAGAAAAACCCGATTCGAATTTCTGTCTTTCTCTTCCTTTCTGTGTGTGTGTGTGTGTGTGTGCGTGTTTTTCTTCTGTGATTATTTCAAGACCAATATATAAACAACAACAACGTAACTCAGGTTTCCATTCCTCATCATCATCATCATCATCATCATCATCATCCAGATTCAAGGATTTTCAAATTCATTTTTTTCATTCAATTTCACATTACACAAACAAACACAAACACACAATCATCTCATCATCATCATCATCATTATCGACTGTTGAATGTCATCTATCCACCATCCATCCCATCTATCTATTGTTGTTATTTTCTTGTCAAATTTTTAAAAAAATTTTTTTATTTATCGTTGCTAATTTTCTGTCTCTCTTTTTTTTTTTTTTGTATATCGACAATGATCGGATGAAACATGTTGTCAAAAACGAAAAAAAAAAAAATTATATTTCTGGATTTGTTGGATGTAAACAACAACATCATCATCACATTGCTCCTTGAAATTTCATCAAAAATTTTCATCATCATCATCATCATCATCATTATTATCATTGTCACTATCATTTTGATTATTGCCAGTAATTTTTAGAATTATATATCCAGAAAACATATCAAAAATTTCTCTCTTGAATCACTTAAATTTTGTTTTATTTTCTGAATAAAAAAAATTTCTTGTTTGAAGGTATTTCATTCGAACACACACACACACACACACAAACAAAGAATCAATCGAAGATAAACAGCAACAACAACAACAACAACAACGAAAACAACAACAACATTCATCATCATCATCATCATCATCGTTATTATTATTGTTATTTTCAATTCGTATTCAATCAATCGATAATTTCAATCATCATTGTGTGTTTGTCTGTGTGTTTGTTTGTACATTCAATATACAGAATTCAATTGGGAAAAAAATATAAATCCAAAAAAAAAAAATATGATGAATTTATTATGATCATCGATTGACGTTGAAATTGTTTTTGTCTTGTTGTACACAAAAAAAATCGTCCAGATGATGGTTATTTGTGATTAGTGGTTGTGGCACTGATGATGATGATTATTATGATTATAATGCACAAATAGACACATTGTGTTTATATCGATTGTGATTTGTGATCATAAGATAAAAAATTGTTTGTTAATTGTGTTTATCGGTCGATCATTTAAGTTTTTTTAAAATAAAAAGAAACGGTGAAACGCATTCACTCGAATCGAAAAAAAAACATTTCTACATTTAATCAAAAAAAAAAAAAAAATTAATTTTATTTCATCGATTAATTTAAATTGAGGAAATTTAAATTCATTTTCCATACATCGCTGTTCGTCATCGTTCATTCGAATTTTTTGTCATTTGTTTTTGTTTTGTTTTGGTGTCGCCCCCTATTGTTTTTTTCCCATCATCATTCTATTTGTCTGTGATCTAAATCTTTTTGGTTTTGTTTGTAAAATAATCACTATTCATTTGGAAAAAAAATGTCTACAACAAATTTCTACGATATCGATATAGATAATTATCAATATCAACAAAATAGTCCATCAACAATTATCGATGATGAATCAAAATCATCATCATCATCATCATCAACATCAACATCATCGAATACAATAAATAATCAAATCAATAATTCATCATTGAATAATAAACAACAACAAAATGGTCAAATTGATCATACAATCAACAGTGGCGATGGTGGTGATGGTGGTAAACATTCATTAGCTGTCAAAGTACAGAATGTTGCCTATTCATATTATAGAAAAAAACCTGTGCTAAAAAATGTTAGCCTCTTTGTTCCTGAAGGTAATAATAATAATTCAATTTAGTCAGAAAAATTTCTTTCTGCCACCTTTTTTTCTGATCAAAATAAATCTCAATTCCAAAACTAGTGAAGAAAAAAAAATCAGTGGAAAAATGATTTTATTGAGTTTTTATGGCAAAAAATTACGATTTTTTTTGTGTTAGCAAATAAATAAATAAATAAAAAAAAAATTCAAATAATGCAATCACCTGTTTATTGCTGGATCACATGTTCAGTCCTTGACCTTAATTCATTTTTATTTTTATTTTTATTTTTTTTTTTTTTGTTTGATTTAAAAGTGTATAATTTAATGATGATAATTTGAAAAAAAAATTTGATTAAAATCAATGTAGCAATCTCTCTCTCTCTCTCACACACACAGACACATAATCATCATTATCATCATCATAATTATTACATAGATTATTCAATCAAATTATGATTCATTTAATGATGTTGTTGTTTTTTTTCCAATTTCTATTTATTTGTATAGGAAAAATTTTCGCCTTGTTAGGATCGAATGGTTGTGGCAAAACAACAATGTTACGTATGATATTGGGTCGTCTGAAACCAGAAACTGGTTTTATACGTGTATTCGGCATTGAACCATCATCCACACATTCACGTATACCTGGTCCTGGTGTTGGTTATATGCCACAGGAAATATCATTGATACCGGAATTCACTATTGAAGAAACATTAAAATATTTTGGACAAATTTATCATATGGATTCACGTCATCTTTATGATCGTATTGAAAAATTATTTGAATTATTAAATCTACCTGATCGTGATCGTATTGTACGTACATTAAGTGGTGGACAAAAACGTTTAGTATCATTAGCTGTAACATTAGTACATCAGCCACCATTAGTTATATTGGATGAACCAACTGTTGGTGTGGATTCTGTTTTACGTTATCGTATTTGGATGCATCTTGAAAATATGTGTAAAACAGAAGGTTTGTTTATATTTCTATTTTGATTTGATTACTTGAAACATTCTCAATTTGATTGTTTGATTTTTTTTGAAAAAAAGGAACAAGTGTCATTATAACCACTCATTATATTGAAGAGGCAAAAGAAGCACATAATGTTGGATTCATTGAATCCGGCACTGTATTGGCACAATCGACACCATCTAAATTACAAGAACAATATAATTGTAATACATTGGAAGAAGTATTCTTGAAGCTTTGTATATCAAGATATTCACGAAATAATCAACAACAACAACAACAACAGTATCAGCAACAACAACAACAACAACAACAACAACATCAAATTTTTAAATCAAATACATCAACAAAAACAACATCACAATTCAATGGTGGAACATATAGACAAAAGGTGAGCATATATTTGAAAAAATAAACAACAATCCTAATGATTAATTAACATATTTATTATTTCCAGACCATTGAATATGAACCATCAATAAATAATCAAGAATCAAATCATCATAATCATCAACATCATTATTATTATAAAGAACATAAAGGAGAAAAAATAACAATGAAAGAAAGATTACGTAAAGAAATTGATAAAGAACGTCTCAAGGCAATGATATGGAAAAGTTATATACGTGTGAAAAGAAATCCATTCATATTGATCATGTTTCATATGATACCAATTATGACAATAACATTGTTTTCATTGACCATATTACGTAGTCCACATAATATGCCTATTGCCATTTATCCTGGTGATACACATGGTGGTAATCTGTCCAAAACATTTTTAGGTAAAATGATGTTTGATTTTTTTTTCTATTGAACAATATTATATTATATTATAATCATTTTCAATAATTATCATTGTTGTTTTTTTTTTTTCTAGATGTTATGGATGATTATTTCCTCAAGAAACGTATTTTCAATAGCCCTGAAAAAGCATTAGAATCAGTGAGAAAAGGTCATTCCTATTATGGAATGATTTTTTCCGATAATTTTACTGAATCATTCACTGCTCGTTATATTGATGTTTATCGATCATCAGTAGATGAAATTGAAATTGAAAGCAGTAAAATACGTTTATATCCGGATAATTCAAATTTTATATTTGCCGTTTATATGCGTAGAGCTGTGTTAAATTATTTTGAAGTTTTTATGCGTAAATTTAGCACAGATTTAGGCTATAATCCTATTACATTTAATCTTCCTATATATGTGGAGGAACCAATTTATGGAAAAATGGAAACAGATCTTGGTAATATAATTTTATTTATATATTCAATGATGATATGAAATCTTTAACATTGATTTTTTTTATTTATATTTTGAAGGTCATTATCTTGTATCCGCTTTGATTGTATTCAGTTTGTTTGCATTGCCAATGGTCATTGGTTCATTATTGATTGTTATGGATCGTAAAGATGGTTATCAAGAACGTGCATTTGTTGCCGGCGTTAAACCATTGGAAATTCTTTCCGGTCATATGCTTACATGTTTTGTGGCCGTATTATCACAAGTATTTCTTACATTAATGTTATCATTCGTCATTCTTGAATTGGATAATGAAGGTTCATTATTGGAAATATTCATTCTGATATTTTTACAAGGAATTCAAGGTTTAAGTATTGGTTTAGTCATTTCAACCATTTGTGTGAATGAAATATTTGCTAGTGTAAGTTTAATAATCAATTTATTTTAATCAATCAATCAATCAATTAATCAATTAATCATTCATAGATTGCTGTTGTAAGTATCATATTACCAATGTTATTAACATCGGGCAGTATGTGGCCAATGGAAGGATTGCCAGATATATTACAGAAATTAATATTTCTAAATCCAATTACATTGACAATACGTTCAGTACGTTTGGTTATGTTACGTGGTTGGTCATATCAACATTTTGAAGTATTAATTGGTTATCTAACAACAACAAGCTATACATTTATTTGTTTTATATCAAGTATATTTTTATTTCATTTAATATCAAATAGTACAATACGGATACCATTTTTACCTCATTATCATTGATTAATTAAATGGTATAATGAATGAATGAATGAATGATAATTTCTTTTTTGTAAAACACAAAACAAAACAAACAGAAAAAGAATCATTATTTTGAATATATAAATTTTGTATTGATAATACATTTATTTTCTTTCTTTCTTTTAAAAAAAAAATCATGAAAATTCTGATTAATGAATGATATAAAATTTAGGATGATCCATCGATGATTGTAAAAATCGATATATTTTTGTTAATTTTACAAATTTTTTTCATTTTTTTTTTTTGTTGTTGTTGTTGTTGTTGTTGATATGTGTGTATAAAAAAAAGGGCAATACACTTTGACAGGAAAAAATTGTTGCTGCCCACACAAACCAAATAATAAACAAAAATGAAAAAGAAAAAAAAATCACAACCCATCTCTTTCCAAAATCAAAATAAACCATAGAGTTCATATTATCGAGGTTCAATGTCCATGGTTTTTTTTTCTAACACTCTACTGATACTGGTCTACAGAATGCCAAAAGACGCATTGGACAAATAAACAAAACAAAATAAAAAAATAATGATATATAGTTGCGTGAAATCACACACACATACAAATATTTTTCATTTTTTAAAAAAAAGAAAACAAAATGCAATATTTATGCGTGTGTATGTATGTATGTATGTGTGTGTGTGTGTGTGTGTGTGAATGATAATACAATGTACAAATCGATAAGTATCAATAAAAGAGAAATGAAAAAAAAAATCAATCATCACAAAATAAATACAAATGAAAATGAAATGAAAGTGAACAAGAAATGATTGAAAAAAAAATTTTCAATGTATGTATATTAACGCGTCTCCATCATCATTAATATATAATGAATGAATTTGATGGATCCTTAGATAGATAGATGAAACGATGGTTGAGGTATTGAGAAAATTGTGAATGTGTGTGTGCGAGTTTTTTTTTACACAAAAGAAATTCCATTTTGGATCATCAATATGGGCAGCAATCAATCAATTGTTGAATTGTTTTTTTTAACATAATGTACGTATACGATCAATTGAACAAGGTTTTATACAGCAATCAATCAATATTTGTTGTTTTTCAATGGATAATGATGGATGTTTACGTTTTTGTAGAATGCCTATATAATGATGATTTTTTTCAGACAAAAAAAACAGATAATTAGCAAATTAATTAAAAAATTTCATCACAAAAAAACATACATCAATAACTAGGCAAAAAAAAGAACGTACCAAAATAATTTTCTTTTAACAATTTCATAAATTTTGAAGATGATGATGATGAATTTGAGCATACAAGCCCAATGGCTCTTGATAGATTTGTCCAACAATTTTGTAAACGTCTATTTAATATTCTATTTGTTGTTGTTGTTATTGTAGGATGATTATTATTTTCATCTTGATCATTATCACCAATTATATTTGTATTATCACTATTATGATGATCATCGATGATGGATGATGATGGTGATTGTGTTTCCTTGATTGGCATTCTATCCATTGGATGACGTAGATTCGTCGTTATTGTTGTTGTTGTTGGCATTACTATTGTTGAATCATGAATGTTCATTGAATTTGATACAGTAATGATGGCCTGAAGGAATATTAATCCAATGATTATTTTGTTGATAAAATTATAATGACCATAATAATGGTCTAGATTTGTCATCATTGTTGAATAATGTATGGAAATCATTTTGTTGTCTTTTGATTTGTCCTTCTTTGTAGATTTAAACTCAATGTTGATGATGATGATGATGATGATGAACAAAAATTTGTTGATGTCGATTGATTGAATTCAATTTACCAAAACAAATTCACAATTCAAATCGAAAATCAAATTTTGTTCGAATTCGAACACACACACACACACACACACACACACACACACACGAACGCAAAAGCTAATGACTGGTAAATTCATAAATTTCCTGATGATTTTGTTTTAAAAAAAAAAAAGAAAAGACAGAAGCACCACAAATCATCATCATCAATTTATATATCTGTTTATCATACAAAAAAAAAAATACATACCATTATCTTATTCTTTCTTCTTTGGTTTCCCTCTATTTTCTTCGTCTTCTTTATATTATCTACTATACATTCATCGAAAGCATGAAACAAATAGGCATTGTAATTGTAATCAAGAAGAAGAAGAAACGATAAATTTTTTTTTTGTTTGTTGTTGATGATGATGATGATTATGTTTGATTCATTCGAAATTTATAATAAATATATAAATATATTTCTATTTTTGTTTTCTGTTATTAAAAAACGAAGAAAAAATCCAATCAAATGACGAAAATTGATTGTCGTCATACAAACACAAACACACGCAAACAGAAATAATATGTGGGCACACGATAAAATATTCAATTTGAAAAAAAACAACAACAATAATAAAATATAAAATGTCGTCGTCGTCGTCGTCGTCAATGTTTTTTCCAAATTTTTTTTTTCCTATTAAATACCAGATGAAAGCGATTTTTTCTTGTTTTCTTGCTGAGAAGAAAAAAAAACGAAGGTCTATTTGAAATATGTATGTATTGAAAAAAAAAAAAAATAATGTGCGTGAGTCTTTTGTTTTGTTTTGAATTTTTGTTGCATTTGATGTTTCTTCTGAATGGAGAAAAAAAAAGAAAACACGTCAATAAATAAAAAATTGAAATAATCACAAAAAGAAACAAATGATGACATCGATTTTTCTTTTTATATAGAATATCTATCAGGAAAAAAAACAACATCAATCAATATATAGTAAATAAATCTGATCCGATGACATGTTAGGTTGTTTTCGATTTTTTCCACTCGATATCCGTTAACCTAATTGATACTGTTGGTAGAAATTTTTTTTTGATGAGAAATAAACAAGCAAAAAAAAATATCATCAATGATGATGTCGTCGTCTTCTTTTCAGTATTCATTTCTTGATTGACATGTGATTTTTTTTTCGCTGTAATTCGATATATAACATATATATTGATGTGTTTGTGGTCAATAAAACCGAATAAAAATATTGGAGAGAAAAAAAATCTGATGATAATAATCAACTAATGATTCGAATACATTGTTCATATATACAATTATTTATGATATCGTCCATAATCGTATTGCATAATTCATTTTTAATCTGTTTCATCATTTCTGGTGAAAAATATGACCATAACCATTGTGGCTGTTCATTTAACATCTCATGATATAATAATCGGTCAACGAAATCTAATTTTCGTTGCTGTCGACAAAAGGCCATTAATCCGATTCTTTTTTGCTTCGTATATATTACATTGGTAGTTTCATCACCATCATCATCATCATTATTATTGGACGTACTTTGATCATGATTTGGTAATATTAATCTCTTGATTCTATCATAAACTATTTGTGCAAAAATATTAAAATCTGAAGGCCATATTATTTTTTGCATTTTCAATGGTATCATTAATGTTGGAGAATCATTCGTATGTTGATCATCATTATTCATATTCACATTCAAATCCATTGGAAACAATTCGATTATTTTCTCTTTACAAAGATCAAATAAAAGCATTCTTTGTGATGTTATTGGCAAATAATTTGTATCATACATCAGCTGTTCAATAATTTCTTTCAAATTGACAACCATACGATTATTTATAGCTAAAATATTTTCCCTTAATAAAAATATTCGTTTTGATTGATCAAAAATAAATTTTTCAATATCAAAATTTTTCATCAATATCTGTTCTTCTGTTGTATTCATTTCAATCATCGATTTGTTTGCGGCATTATTATTATTATTAAATGTTTGATTAACAAAAATATTGGTGGTAAAATTGATTTGTTGTTGTTGTTGTTGTTTAGAAAATTCCCGATTATCATTATTACCGATTGTGGATAACGAAGAACAACAAGTACTCGAATCGATTAATGATTGTAATGATGGTGTATGCCAATCATCATTATAATGATAATAATCTAATTGATGATCATTTAATTTTGGATTATAAATAATATCCGTTATTATACGATATCCATTGAATCTATAGATACGTTCACATAATTCTTCCCAATTTGGTATTGTAATCGATAATGATGATGATGATGATGATGATTCGAATGTATTATTTTCAAATGTTTTTGATAAAAGTTCATTTAAAAGTACTATTGATTCATCATCGATTAATTGATTCTGGTGAATTGAATTTTGTTTTTATCATCATCATCATCATCATCATCATCATCATCATCATCATTCATCAGCGTGTTATCAATGATGGATGAACTTTGTATCAAAGAAATATTGTTTACTGTTGTTGTTGTTGTTGTTGTTGTTGATTTGACTCCATTTTCAATTTGATCATCATCATCTTCCTTATTATCGTTATTTATGATGATAGAGTTGTTTTTGACATTTTTTCTTAAATCATTTTTACCAATCGTTCGATTTTCGATTGCCGGAGTTGGCGGTAACATTTTATATTCATTTTCATCAATATTCAATTGAGAAAATAAATATGTGTCGAAATTCTCCGTATGATCAAAATTTTCCATCATCTGAGTATTATTTTTATTATTATTAGTGATGATACCGTCATTGAATTCTCGTATTGATCGATGACAATGTTGGGGTTTTTGTTGTTGTTGTTGTTTGATATTTGTCCGACTTGTTTTGCTCAAATAATCTTGGTCGGAAAATTTTCGTCAATTTATTTCGGGAAACATTCGATTTGATTTGTTTATTATATGATTGTTGTTTCATCATCATCATCATCATCATCTCATCATGATCATTTAATAATTTTTTAGATATAAAAAATGTAGATTTATCTACAACGGTTTGATCTATTGAATGATTAACAAGGTACAGCATTTTTGTTCCATCCGTTGACAATAAACGGGCTTTATTCTGACTATTCGATGTTATCCGTTTATTTTTTTGATCAACAATAAGATTATAAGCCCGACCATTATCGATAGACATAATATGAGGTGAATGAATGTTTTGACTAACAAAATAATCACTTGTTGTTGATGATTGACTTGAAATTTCATCATCATTATGAATATCGATAATTTTTCTGGTGAAAGAAATTGAATTAATTTTTTTGGAATGATCAATATGGTCATGACGGATATTTTTGTCTTCATGTTTTGTTCTACATTTCGAATGGCTGATATTTGTTTTTCGATGACAAACGACGATGATGACAAAACGACGACGAAGACTGGATTTTATTTTCTTTTTTAACATCTTTCAAATAATCAAAAAGTATGGGAAAATCATAATAAACACGAACTTTGTGGCAATTATCCATGATTGATAATCAATTTGTCTTTTTATTTTCATCAATAGATTTTAATCAGGTTTATAAATCTTTATACAAAGTGCTCAACCACTGGTTGAGCACTCAAAAGAGAAATTTTCGTAGGAATGGCAAAACAAATTTCAAAGTCATGGAAATGTTTTCGGAAACATTTTTTCTTTAAACGGTTTTTCTCTCTCACTCTCACATTTTTTCATGCATGATCAAAACATTTTTTTTATTCGAATTTTGGATTTTAATTTGTTTGTTACGTTTTTTTGAAAAAAACAATGTATGATTTATTATCGAAAAATGGCCTTTTTCATCGGACACCAAAAAAAAATATTAAACATGTGGATGGATTATTGACACTTTCATCGTCGAATAAGAAAAAATTTTCCCTGCAAAATTCGAATAAAAATCGTCATATAACAATTAATATTCAATTCAATCATGGAATGATACGTCGTGATTTATTTTCCAAATTCATAATCAATGTATTTGAATACATTCTTTATGATCGAATGGCCATACCGGTACCGTTTGGTTTCATAAATAGATTGCATTGTTTTCCTATACAATCTGAATTGCGTAAAAAAACATTGCTGAATACATTGTCACGATTGAAAATTGTTTTCAATTTTATTTCGGAATTATTTTTGAAAACACAAATCCATATACATTGTGTTGCATTATGTCTTGGTGATTCATTACGTTTTGCTCGTGAAATATTTATAATCAATTTAGAAAAATTAATTATTGACCATAATGATGAACAGAATGGCCCGAAACGTTTACCATTCTTAACATTACGATATATGATCGATAGCTTTTATAAACGATTATTGAATGAAATCCCTGAAGAAATGCCACAATTATATACCAACAATGGCCAACCGAAAATCAATCCAAAAAATATTTTGTTTACATTGAAAATTTCTTCGAAAATGTCGATATTTTGCGTACATTCATTGAAAATTATTCCAAAGAAAAGTGTTCCGATTTTGAGGCATCAAATTTCAGCATACAGATTTTAAACTCTACACATCGTCTTGGATCGGTGATAAGTCGTACTACTCATTTTAAATTTGATCATCAACCGCCGGATAATATGATAGCTAATGCAGATAATTTCGATATTTATCATGATAATGATGAATTTGATGAAATCATTGAAGAAAAAATTATCATTTCCAATGATGCCGAATCGATGATGATGATGACGGATAATTTGGCGACAAACGAATCAACAATGCTGTCTTCCAACATTCCAACAAATGAAATTAAACAAGAATATTCGAACATTACGCAACAACAATCAATGATTGATGAAATGAATTCAATTTGGATTCAAATTAATCCACCGATTCGTTGTGTGGATAAAATCTAGACGGATTTTTTTTTTCATTTATTATCGGACATATCATCAATAGGCTAATTATTTATTTTAATAATTTTTTAATGAATTTTTATTTATTTTATGATTAATTAATCAATGACTTATTTAAAAAAAAATTCGATACGTATTCTATGTATGAATCATTCGAATCATGTGTGCATGAGTGAATAATTTATTCGAATTTTTAAAATAAAAGTTTTTAAAAAATGATCATTTTTAACGATAATTTTAAAAATTATTCCAATGAATCAATATGTTTAAAAGTGGAAAAAATTTCACATGAAAATCAACATTGTAAATTGACAATCACACGTAAATGTGATCGTTTTTGGCATATATTTCTCATCATTCTATTCATGTTTATTCTTGTGATTTTATTGTTGTTTCAACGGCAAAATTTAACGGTAAATTTTTCTTTTCTAAAAAATAAATGATTATATTGACTGATAATTTGACAATCTATATAGTTTACCTTGTTCACAATTCTGGTCATATCGTTCAATATTTTGATGTACATATTTCTACCCATTGTAGAAGGTTTGATAATTATGCAAAAATAAACCACCGGTTATTCATAACATGATTTCTTTTTCGTAGAATCAATCATTTTATTTGATAATTTTCATGGTATAGAATATGGAAAAAAATATCTATTCCATAAATCAACTGTTCGTATGTTTATCAACACAAATAATGTGATCATTAATGAAGCCATTACAATGGTATGTGTGTGTATAATCGTTTGATATTTTCAATTTTCAATATTTGTCTTTTCCCTCTCTTTGCCATAGCAAAAAGTCATTTTTTATTTGATTGCCATTCCAGCTGATCTAGGACATTTGGTTTTACACAATAATAATAATAATAATAACAGCAACGAAGCTGGACAATCCAACCACCCATTGAATAATATTAATGATCAGACAAAAATTTTCAATGAAACAAAAATCAAATTGATTCCATTATTTATACATACATTACCACGTTTGGATTGTCTGAAAATTGTCTATAATTATATTATACAATTCAGAAATCAACAACAACAACAACAAATGTAATTGAATAATTTTAAATTTTGTTCCAATTTTCATTTTATTTTATCATTTCAATCCATTCATCATCATCATCATCATCATCATGAATAATAAATGAATTTGTTTTGATGAACTAGAAAGATATAGCCACCATTTGGTGTGAGAAGAAGATAAGAGAAAAACGCAGCAGTCATCAATTTTTAATTTTAATGAAACAAAACGAGCAAAAATAAAAATAAAAATTTATACTAAAATCAATTTTGATTTTGATTTATATTTATAAATAATGAAACAAATTGCAAATAGAATAAATGAAATAACAAATGTTATTAATTGAATAAAACAAATTAAATGATGATCAATCGATTGATCATGATGATGGTGATGGTGATGATCACTGATGACAATTATTTCAGTATTTTCATCCAAATTCTTGTGAAATAATTCATCATTATGGCTATATTCATTTTCAACATCGATATTACCGTTATTCAATTGATAAATTGAATCATTCGAATCAATATTAGTTTCATTCGAAACCAATTTCAATGGTGGTGGCGTTGTTGTCGTTGCATAATTATTATTATCTCTTATAATCAATGAAACGGTAATAATTGGTTCAGGAATTGTCAATAAAAATAAAACGACGACATTATTAATAATAATAATGATGATGAATATTGATTGATTGCCATTGTGAATTTGATGATGATGATGATTCAATTTGAGCAGGCTGAATAAATAACAAAAAATGGTTGTTTCTTCTTAAAGCATACACACACGCACACATTAAGAAAAAGATTGTCATCATCATCATTTTTTTTCCACTATCATTGACATACTTCTCTATTCAACAGTAATAATCAATCAAAAAAATAAATCAATCAATCAAGCACATGGATTCATTCATTCATTCATTCATGATCGAAACCAAATTCATTCGATTATCGATTGATTGATTTTGTGGTCAATGCCAATCAAAATATGATTGCCAATGTGTGTGTGTATATATATAAACGAGATTATATTATTTCACATTAGAAATTTTTTTTTTTTTTTTTTTTTTGATTATCATCAAAAAAATCATCAGTAAAGAAAAACTTTATTAATATATATCAAATGGTAGCGCATACCAAAAAAAAAAAAAAAAAAAAAAAACACAAATTTCGTTTGTACAACTTGCATGGTTATTATTATTATTATTAATTATTAATGGATGGATAATTAGAAAAAAAAGAAATAAAAATCTTTAAAAAAAAGCACAACATTGACAATAAATAGTAGCTTTAATGTATTTTTTTTTCTTCATGCCGAATAATTTGTTTGTTGTTTGTATATATATATATAAAGAAATAATAATGTGTGTGTGTGTGTGATTGTAATGAAAAGAAGAAAAAAAACCATAAACGAAACATTTCGAATATGAGATGAAGATGACAAGTGGAATATATTATTATTGTTTTAAAAAAGGTAAAATAAATCGCATGTGAGTGTGTGCATTTTTTGTTGAATTTTTGTCTCCAAATCCAACATTTGAATTTTCGGGAAAAAAAATTTTTAGATGGTCACCTATCAGGTGTGTGTGTGTGTGTGTCTGTATTTAGAAAAAAAAATTAATCAAAACATAAAAAAAAATTGGTGTAAATAAACGAAACAATTTTTACTCATTTTTCCCCCCATTCAGATTCATTCAGATTAACCATGTTTTAATAATCCATTCGAATGTATTTTGGTTTGATGATGATGATCATGATGATCATGAAAATCATTATTCAATGACTTGAAATGAGTATTACCATTATTTTTCAATTTTAATGAATCATTATTAAACATTAATTCATCATTATCGGCTACAATTTCTTCGTCTTCATCTTCTTCTTCTTCATCTTCTTCGATAAAATCTTCTTCATCTTCATCATCGGATCTAATATCTTTAATCTGTAAAATGAATGGTGATTGACAAAAAAAAACAAGAATAAAATCATTTAATCATTTGAAAAAAAATGGATAGATTAATTAGAATAATTACGCCATTATTATTCCAAGCTTGAATAGCAACACGTATTATGAAATATGTCCATATGATATGAAGTATTTGCAATGCAATAAGTAATGAATTGAATATATAATAGGCAGAAAACATAGGAACCAAACCAACGGCCACATATGATGAATAATAGATAATTCTATATGGCAGTAAACCGATACGTGATATAATCCAACACAATGCAAATACATTGAATACAACATCAGCAATTTGTTGTTTCTTTACATAGGCCATCATTTTGGCGCCCTTTATAAGAAAAAAAAAAAAATATATATAAAATTATTATTTAAAAAAAACCAACTTCAATCAAACATACTTCAAGTGGAATATCAGCAAAATCATGTATAACTAATACCAATGTGCCGATACGAATCAGATTACATGCCCATGAAAAACTTAACAAACATAATGTTACAACATGATGGACAAACATTACCCAAAAATCCTGAAATGAGTTTTTAGTTTTTAGTTCTCTTAATAAATATGGTTGATGATAATATATCACTTATACCTTTCGTTGAACATCAACAAATTGTGAAAATAATAATGCTAAGTAGAATGCGGATTCAATATTATAATACCACCATTCTTCACTTGAAACAAACTATAATGTGAATAATAAAATGAATTTGAGTGACAATTTTTAGATTTTTTTTTTACAGAAAAAAACCTTACATGATGTGGATAATCAATAAAACACCAAGCGGAATCCCACATCCATGGTTTCTAATAATAAAAATAAAAAAAAATTTCATCAACAAAACATGGTTAATTTCAAAATTTAATAAAACTTACATCCCATAATACAACGAGGCCATAAGTAAACATGGTACAATAGAATAAACATCGCCAACTAGAGAAGAAAAAAATTAAGTAATTTATACATGAGAAAAAAAGGTCAAAAAAAAACCAAAACCACATACGCGCTTTCGGTAAATTTGGACAAAATTGTTGGTTTACTTTGTGTCGATCTAAGCCGCATCCATCGTTGAATTTTTCGTTCATTACAATCCAATTGTTTACACAATCCTGATAGCTGAAATAAAAAAAAAAAAAAATGTCAGATAAATGAGAAAAAAATAAATATTTCCATAGCATACATACTTGTTTATCGGATAATTTTCCTCTTGTTTGATGATATGTTTGTTCCAATATTTTATTAGCTGGTGGTGGACGTGGTCTTGTTGGCGGTAGGCCTAACCAAATGCCCAATGGTATGAATAGAAAACTGTGTGTGTGTGTGGGAGGGAGGGGAGAAAAAATGATGATTACATAATGATCATATTATTCAGGTACATATAATTATTGAAATAAAGGAAAACAGCCAATTTTTTTCTTGGGTGTGTGTGTGTGTGTATATACATACCGATTAAAAATTATACGTATTATAATCAGAATAACGGCCGTATATGCAGAATAATATAAATCATTAAAATGACGATAACCATTTGTTTCATACATTTTCCATGTTGCATTCGGTGGTGTCCACACGTCTTCATTCCAGAATCCTTTACGTAATTTTTCTATTGTTTCCAACATTTTTTTTTCTTTTAGTTTTTTTTTCTTCAACAACCACTGTTGATATTGTTGTCGTTTGTTTGAGGGGGGGTGTAGAAAAAAAAATTGTAACAAATCGTCGTTTTGATTACAACAAATATTTTAGATGTTCATTTTTTCCAACATTCAATGGATCACTGTAAAAGAGATAGAAAAAAAATAATACAATTCCAAAGTGTCAATCATAACTTTTTTTTTACCATGTGTGTGTGTGTGTGTGTGTGTGTGCGTAGTTTGCAATGAAATAAAATTGATTGATCAATTGATTCATCACTGATCAAATAATAACTGTAAAATAAAAGAATCCTAAAAATGGAAACATGATATTTCTAGCGAAAACAAACAAACAAAAAAAAAAATAAATGAAGGGAAAAAAACGAGAGAAAAACAAAAACAAAAACAAAAAATGGAACAGCTACATTTTTTCGATTCAATCATTCTACCACCCATTAATAATAAAAAAACCCGAAATCAATCAATCAATCAATCAATCAATTGATCGATCGATCAACCAAACATTGAATCCAAATCGATCATATAAATTATCATAAAGAAAGAAAAAAAAACAAAAACAAAAACTTGTTTCAAATCTAGTTCATTATAATGATGATGATGATAATCATTATGCATAGAATTATTGTTTTATTTTTGTACTTTTTTTCGTCATCATCATCATCATTATCATCATTATCGTTGCGAGAATTGAACTAAATGTGATTTGATAGCTAGCTAGCTATAGAGAGAAAGAAAGAGAGAGAGAGAGAGAGGAATTAAAAAAAAAAAAAATACTGAAGATGAATGAACTAGAACGAAAAATTCAAGTTTTTTTTCTCGACAAATAAAAAAAAAAGACAAAAATCTATTTATCAGTAGACAGACAGACAGACAGACAAACACATTTGCTAACTCGTTACAACAATTCAATTGAAATTTTATTGAAATGAAAATTTTATTATCGATGATGATCCTAATTTTTTTTTTACTGCAGCCGTAGTCAACACACACACACACACACACGTTAAATTTCTTAACCATAAACAAAAACAAAAAAATTAACATTGTAAAAAAAAAATTGAAACAAAATTGGCACTCTGTCAATGAGTGCAATATATACACAAACACATGATTCAATATCATAAAAAACAAGTACAGTACACTTGATGAGGATGCCAAGTTCACTGGCTCTCTATATTTTGACTAAATCTAAAATCAAAATATGAGAAACAAAAAAAAAGAGAAAAACAGTAGCTATTGGAAATTAATCTATATATAATAATATCATGTTGTAATATAAAAATATTAATAATGATTTGATTTGATTTGATTTTCATTATCAATCAATAATCGATAAACAATAATAATGATATATATATAGATAAATAGCCGATTACTATTTTATTTTACAGTGTATGTATGTAATTTGTTAACACAGAAACAAAACAAAAAAAAAATTTTCAATCAATCAATGATTATATGGGTGATTCATTTTGATGATGATGATGATGATGATTAACACATCACAAAGTAATAATCATATCATCACATCACAACCAATAATGGTATCGCACCTTATTACACACACACACACACACACACACATTACTATTGATTTGAAATTCTATATATCCATATTTCACACATTCGATGGTATAGAAATAAATGTTTACTTTGGGTTTCGAAATTTTTTTCGTTTTGTTTTCATCCATTTCAATGATGTGTTTTATTTGTAGCAATCAAAAACAAAACAAAACAAACAAACAAAAAATGATCAAGATCAAAATTTTGAAAGGTAAAAAAAGAAAAAACGTAAAAAAAAAATACAAAAATGATGATCACGAATGTTTAATTCAAAACGGGAACAAACAAACAAACAACAAAAAAAAACATAAAATCATTGATTCATCACGAAATAAAATGATGGTGTTAAGTGAAAAAGAAGAAAAAATTTTTTTCATTACAGGTATATGATCATGAATCATAATCAACGAAAAATAATAACAACAACAACAACAAAACGATAAAGAAAATTACCTGTATGATATTGATTGATTGATTGATCGAATTTTTTTATTATTATTATTATTATTACCTGGAAATATGATGATGATAAAAAGTTCTTTTGATGATGATAAGGAAATGAATGAAATGAATCTATAAGATGATTATAGAGAGCTATATTTATATAAATAAGGCGATTATGAAAAGGCGTCGTGTCACTCGAAGAAAAAACGGAAAAAAATCCCGATAAATGAATGGATGAAACACAGGACACACACACGAAATGAATTTATTTTTTCTCCAGATCAATTCGAATTCATTGAAAATTTATCTCCATTTTTTTCGAGCTTTTTTCGATGGCGTTTCAAAAAAAAAAAAAAATATATATAAAAATAAAATAATAACAACAAACAAACAAATGAAACGAAACGAAACGAATCAAAACAAAAACAAATTTTGTTTTTTTACATGAACCAGAAATATTTTTTTTACTAAAAAATGAAATGAAATGAAATGAGACTAAAAACAACGACGACAATGATTGAAACAAAAAAAAAAAAATTTCAGTGGCAGCATAAAAACACACGATTAAATATAAAAAAATGAAACGTGGGTCCCTAACAAACATACAAACATACAAACACACACTGTTTATATTATATATATATATATGATATGTGAATGGCGTCCGGTTTTTTTTAGCTGCTGCTGCTACTGCTTTTTTTTTGCTTCTACTTGATATATATATATATATATATATATTTGTCGTTGTTGTAGTCGTATAGAGCCGATTGATTTTTTAGAATATTATTGTTGTTGGTGACGCATTTGTGATAATAATAATTTGGTGTGGTCCATCCAAAATAATGTGAATGAAAAAAAAAAAAATATGAAATGGTTGTAGTAGCACAATATATATATACACATATATATATAGACAGCAATATGTCATATTCATCATCATCAAGATAAAACATACGGCTGCAGCAACACATTGTATGAACTGGGTTTTTGAACAAAATAAATCAAATTTGTTTCGCGCGTAGTTCTCTTTTTTTTTTGTTCATAGTATGTCATTAAATAAATTTTGATTTGGATTTTTATGCATACAAAAAAAGAGAGATAGATAAATGACGAGAGATATTGATGAGATGATGATATCTTCGCCATAATAGTGTTACTTTTTTTTCTCTCCTTTTTTCAATTTTTTTCATCATCATTGACTTTGAAATTCATTCATTCACTAATTAAAAATAAATAAATTCAAATTGATGTGAAAAAAACACGTATCGAAGTTTGTTTGTTTGTTTGTTTGTTTTTTTTTTTTTTGAAAAAAATGACAAACTAAAACTGGAAATTTATGAAAATGAAGTTTCGGTTCGTTTATTTAATTTTATTTTTTTTTTTTGTTTATTCCAATAAATTCAAGTGCGTGTGTTCGTGTGTGTGTGTGTGTGTGTAAAACGCAAGTGGTACTTGTGTGTTTGTGTTGCACTTGAAACATCTTAATCACACACACACACACACACAGACACTCCTCTTAATCAAACAAAATAAAAATCAATTAGCAAATAAATCAATCGATCAATACATAAAGACAAAGATAATGAAACAAGACAAAAAAAATGACAGTGAATCAACGAGAGAGATATATTAGCAAGGTATCGATATTTTTTTTTTTTTGTTTTAATCAATCAAGATAACAAGAGAGAGAGAGAGAGAGAGAGAGAGGCTGTTTTATATTGATATATCGTAATATAAAGATTATCACAAATTATTAGTATATATATGGAAGAGTATTATTTTGCAAATCAATTAATCAATTCGATTCATCAACAGTTATTTCAAATGTATGTAAACATTTAAATAATGAATTTTGTTGACAATTATCATCATCATCATTATCATCATCATCATTATCGTTGTTGATATTAATATCAAAACGGCTTGTAGTGTTGGTTGTTCCTCCTTTTTCCATTAATAATTGTTGATATCGTTCTTCAGGTAAACAACAAATTTCTAATTTATAAACACCGGCATATAAAAATATTAAGCCACATGGATGAATGTAGGATTTTTTTGTTTGTAACTGGAAAAAAAAACGCCAAACACAAACATGAAAAATTGATTAGAAATTATTAAATTTTGTTTCTTAATTAATAAAAAATAATACAAACCTCATTAATACATAATGATTCACAACCAATGACAATCATTTTATCATTAATATTATAATTACGTGTCTTTGTCAATGTTGAATTCTGATAATCTTGATAATAGACCAGATATAAACGTAAAAATTGTAGATTTGTATCCGAATTATTAAATAATCGAATAACAATTGAAAGATGTTCACCCATTTTTAGATTCATTTCACCGAATGAACTTCGAAATATCATTGAATTCAATTCAATTTCTGTGTATGTGCGTACATGTGTTTGTAGGAAAAAAAATCGATTAAAATAGGATAAATGTTCAAAATTGATAAAAAAAAAATAAAAACATTACCACTTTGTATTGGAGGTATTAAAAGTGATTTAAGCAATTGTTTTGAATATGGTACTTTTTCCACACAAACCATTCCATCGATATCGGCATTTGGCATTGTCCATTTTAGATTAATTTGTCTTAATAGATGAAGACGACATTGTGATAATATTGCCTCCAGTTTTTGATCAGTAGGAAAGATATGTGTCAAGAAATCGGCACTTTTTGTATATTTGCAATTATTTGATGATTTTCGTATAGTTTCACAATAATTTTGTTGATTCATATCTATTATATCGCCAACATTTTCATCATCATCATAATCATTATTCATATCATCAAGACTTAATGGACAACGTTTAATTGAAACAGGTATACGACATTTTTCTTTTGGTTCAATCAACATTTCTTTATTAGATGAATAGATTAGATTGATTTCCTGATCAGTGGCATTCAATGTATCGAATACTAGATAACATTCATCCATTCTATTCGGATTGATAAGAAGAAAAAAAAATTGAAAATGAAAATGAATTGAACAAATTCACACAACTTACTGTTCAGCTTGAATTACATCCCAATGTGTAATGAGAATCGATGATTTAATTTCAATGACAAAATAAATATGAACACGACGACAAAATCCAGAATTCAATCCTGGTCCACCACTATATTCCAGTTGAAGACACAATTCAATAAGCTAAATAAAGAAAAAAAAAAAAGAAAAATATTAAAAATTGTCTAAAATTAAAAAGAAAAAAAAACGTTATTAACTTTTGGCCGCGAAATTTCTTCAACAAAATCCATTTCATCATCTGGTTTGGCTACTGATGTCATTGATGGATTGTTGACATTCGTATTCATTGATAATGAAAGATCATTAGAACTTTTTCTTGATTGTAATTCATTAATAAAATTGGCCAATTTTTTTGAACCCAATACTTGTAGTTTTTTGGGCTGTATGGATGGACCACCACCACCACCAACACCAACACCACCATTTGATGATTCATTGTTTGTAAATAATTTATTTTTATCATTTTGATGATGATTTTCCTCGTTTGATTTGAATAAAATAAAATCTCCTTTTGCCGTGAAATTTATGTCAAACTCAACAGATAAACCAGGTCCAAAAGGAAGAAGATTATTAATCGAATCAATATCCCATTCAATATCGATTAGTGATTTTTGTGCATTCGCCATTGTAGTAGCCGTTTTTTTGTTATGTTTTGGATATATCACTTTCATATTGATCAAATCGATTAATTCATCATTATTGGCACTAATATTGGTCAATTTGATTCGATAACTTTTACATTGACCTTCAAATAAGGAAATAAAATTTTGATTGCCTATATAACAATCGGTGAAACGATCCTTATGTGTGACAATATTTTTAGCCAAACAAATTTCTTCATTTAGGTCATCGGCCATACATTGTGCACACATTAATGGTAAACGTGGTACAATTTCAACAGTAAATTTTGATGGTAATTTCAATTTCTTTGAATTTGGCAATTGTTTTAGTCGACAATCAGATTTAATTCCAAGTGTATGAATTTTATAGCCAAGAATATCCAATACTCCGGATGATCGTGGTATACCGGTTAATGAAATGTTCGTACAAGTAGAATTGGGTAGAATTTTCAATGATGTATCATGTTTAGGTTCGAATGCCACACCATCAGTCATCATAATTATAGATGATATATTCAATTCAATTGGAAGATAATTATGTAAGCTCAACGATACACAACCAGTATGACCTTCTGCCCAATAGAAATTCATTTTTGTAACAGAATCAGGATTTTTATAATCATTCTTCTCCAATGATCTATTCAATTGCAATGGTGTATAAATGAATGGGCCAGAATATTTATACTCATTTTCTTCATCATTATTATTCAATGATTTATGTCGAAGTTTATAAAGTTTTAGATATGGTTTCAATGGTTCAATCTTGAAATATACAACAGTGGGAAATTTTGTAAAATTAACCGATGGTATTGTTGCACCATTACTTAATCTCAATGGTACAGGTGATCCTTCACCACATTTCGATGCTAATGATGATAATTTTGTAGCAAATTCTTGCCTCTGACTAGGTGTTATATGGGTGAATAAACATTGAAGCATGAAACTAAGATGACGTATAGCCAATGTTTCTTTTTGCATCTTTAACGATGTGGTTATTATTTCTTGTAAAAGTTGTACATGAATAGCGGAGCAATTTACATTACCCAATTTAAGACGTTCATCATATTCATTTGGATTCAATGTTAATCCATATCCATATAAAGCCGGTAATAATAGGAAATAACATTTTTCCCAATCCAAATTTTTTGCTTGTGAAACACTTTTTAATGCAGCAAATCTTTTAAAAAATGCTGCTTTTCGAAAAAACCAATAGCTTCATATAGTTGAGAAATACGAAGTAATCGTTCGATTTGATCTTCGATTGGTTGATTTAATGAAATAAATACAGCATTCTGAATGAAATCCGATGCTTTCAGATAGCGACGAAAAAAGGTCAATGTTTTTGTTGCTTTAAAACTACATTCAAATTCCAATACAGCAGCACCACGATACAATGCATAATTAGAAGCGGCTTCTTTATATTTTTCATAAAATTGATCGATTGTTAGAATACTTTTCATCAATGTTTTATTTGTTATTATTTGTTGATCAAATTGAGAATCTTCCATGGCTATTTGTTTCATCGATTGACCTAATTCCATTCGGGCAATTTCATAATCTTTTCGTGATAATAAATCATTTACTAGTCCTTTTGTATAAAAAAATCGATATCGAAGTTCATGAATATGATGCCATCGTTTTGGAAATAATAACACTAATGATGCTGAACAAAGACCTTCATAGGCTGATGCAAGCCAAAGTTTATCATTAACTCCTTTAAGATATTCGATTGCTGTTAGATAATTTAGGAATGATTCCTGAGGCAAACCAGTCATTAATGAAAGATCGGCAATATGTTTTTGCATTCGACCAAGACATTTTCTTCGAAATGATCGAGTATCCGTATCTAATCCAACTAAATCTTTTTTCTCACATGGTGCCATCAATAATGGAATTTTATCCTTTTTTTCTCTTGTCTTATCTAATCGTTTTGATTCGAGTGTCCAAAACAATCCGTTTAGAAAATCTTTAGCTTTTGATTTAATCTGTTCACAACATTGTTCATTAGATTCATATTGAATAAATTCATTGGCAGATGAATGGCTAAAAATAGGTGAATCACAGTTATTGGTTGTGGTCGACAATGATGTTGTCGAAGAATGTGCACGTTTATGAGTAATTGTCGCTGCTGATGATAAATTATTCGATGGTATTTGAGAAACATTGTTTTGAGAATCATTGTTATTATTCGTTGTAATCGACAATAGCTTTGAATCCAAAGATTTATTACGAGAATGAGTACGTGGACGGTTTGCAGTGAGAATTACATCATCAGTTAATGGTGGTAACGAATAATTCATTGATTCTTCAATAATCTTATCGTTTGATTTTGTTTTTGTCGGTGTAGAATGTGATTGAGAATTTTGTGATGACAAAGATGATGATGATGAAGATCGATTTACACGACTAGTGAAACATGTATGATCGGATGTAATGTAAAGTTGGCCACCAATATCAAAATCAAGCAATGGATCAATCTCGCTATTATTGTTATTAATAATTGTTTCTCCTGACACTCTGGTATCATTATCATTGATCGAATCATTGGAAGAACCATCGATTTTATTTGATGTTTGATATTCGGACTACGAATAGAGAACAAAAGAAAACAATTAAAAAAAAAAAATAAGAAATCGTTGGGACAAACCTCATGTTCAACAGCTGTTGATGATGATTCCGTTGAATCAAAGCTTTGTATAATGAAACATTTTGAATCAAACAATGTATTATTGTATGTATCATGAATTGTTTTATGTAATTCACTAATGGATTCAATTTCATTTCGATTGAATGATCGTGCCACTGTTATTAAACCGATCAATTTACGATGTGCTTGAAAATCGCCCCAATCATTATCTTCAATAGAATATGATTGTTTATATCTGATACGAATATTTCTTTCAAAACCAATAATTTTATTATTAATTATTTTCAATTCGTTTAATTGCAATAATTTTTCATAGATTGAATCGAATAAATTTTGATTCATTTGTGGACCTGGTTACCGATGATGAGAGAATAAACAAAAATGATTAATTTAATTATAAATGAATTTTTGTTTTTGTTTGTTTTTTTTTTCTGTAGCCAACAGCACAACAACATACCGATTGGTTTGACAACAATCAACAACGATTGATGATCTTCAGAAAATTGATCATAATCTGGAACGCTCATGGTGATGTGTGTGTATGTATGTTTCGATTTCAAGCAATGATTCGATTACATAATGATCATCATGATAATAACAATTATTAACAAAAAAAAAACAAATGACGAATGAATGAAAAAATAAAAGGGGAGGCAAAAAAAATTCCTTTTATTATTTTTCTTTTTTTGTGTACTACGGAAAAATTTCCGGAAAAAACAATGAATTTATTTACCATATGAAAAAAAATATTCCGAGAAATCGAATATTTTAAATTATTTTTTCCCCATCAAATCTAACCTGAGTGGTGGTGTGTGATGGAAAAAAATCCTCGCCATTGAAATTTATTTTCGCATTTGATGAACAACCAAAAAAAAAAAAAAAAATTGTTTCCCAATCTATGAACATTGGAATATGATCATCATCACCATCATCTAATGATGATCATCACATGATTTGAAAAACACGTCTAAATCTTAAAATCCATATACACGCACGCACAGGTAAGATCATAATCAATAAATTGAGTGTGATGTACATTATTCATAATTAAATTACTTTCGATCCAATTAAAAAAAATGATGGCCACTTGATGATAAGGAACAAATGTGTATGTAGTAGGTGAATTCATTTTGTGTGTGTGTGTGTTGAGGAGAATTAATTTAATTATTATTTTACAACATAATTAATTAACTTAACAACTACCGTGTGTGTGTGTGTGTGATGCAAATTTTTTTATTATTATTTATTTTCAAATGAGAAACAAAATTTTTTTGTTTGATTGAATTGGAATGTGCATTTGTACGTCCATTGTCATCATCATCATCGGCTTATGTTTGATGCAAAAGTTTTTCCATTATCACTGATGAATTGAATCAGTTGTCTGTAAAATTTCGAAATTTGATCTATATGATTTTTCAGAAAAACATATGGTATTGATAAAACATTGAAATAATTGTCAATCAAACATTGAATTCGTTCGTTCGTTCATCCGTAGTCGGTTCTTGTATATTTCAAATCAAAAAAAAAAAAAAATTGATTTTTCTGTTACAACAACCACAAAATCTCTTTTCATATCTATTCTCGTTAATCGATTTTTGTTATCATATAATCAAATCGTGGACACTTGAGACTTTAATCTAGGTTATTGTAACAAAGTCCAAGAGTTTTTTTTCATCATCCTACTTACAAATAAAATTGACATCCAAAAAATCATCGTCATCATCGCATCATTATCATCATTGAATAGGGAAACGAAACGAAACGAAAAGAAAAAAAAAAAGAAATGCAAAAAACTGGCTGGATTCTAATCACTGTTGGTATATTGACCGTTATCGTTGTTTCAACCGTTCTGATAGTGAAAAAAACATCAAACAAACCAAACAAACCTGATTGTCCATATTGTCCAGGATCAACATCAAAACTAGGTGAATTATGTACAAAATCTGAAGTGCATTCATATACAAAATATGCCGTTTCAACTGATTCAAATGTTTGTGCAAATGCAGGAAAGTATGTGTTTATTATGATGAATCATTTATTCAACAAATGATGATTTTTGTTCCTTCATAGAGAAATTCTTGACGAAGATGGTAATGCTGTTGATGCCGCAATAGCCGTTCTATTATGTATGGGTGTAACGATTCCCGAATCAATGGGACTTGGTGGTGGTTCAATGATTATCATTTACAATAGTAAATTAATTTGATAATATATTAAAAAGTTTGAATTTTTCTCAATTTTTTTTTCTTCATCAAACTTAGAAACCAGTGATTATGCCAGGTTTGTGAATGCACGTGAAATGGCACCGGCAGCAGCATATCGTGATATGTATAATTCAACAAAAAGTGATGCACAATATAGTAGCTCTGCGTTGGGTCTACAAGCAATTGGCGTACCTGGTGAATTAGCTGGATATTGGCATATGTATCGAAATTATGGATCTGGAAATATCTCATGGGAAAGATTATTTAAAGATGCAATCAATTTTGCTGAAAATGGATTTACTGTTGGCAATCATCTTGAGGAAGCAATGTCGCAAAGGCGCAATTTCATAATGGAACATGAACATTTGAAAAATGTTTATGTTAATCCTAAAACAGAAGATTTATATAAACATGGAGAAATTTTCAGACAACCGCAGCTAGCTGAAACATTACGAAATCTATCGTTGGCTCAAGATCCTCATCAATATTTTTATGAAGAAATAGCAGCAAAAATTCTTTATGATTTATATGAACAAAATGATTTTCCTAACCAAAAACCAATATTAACAGCCAAAGATTTTGCCAGCTATGAAATCATCGAAGAAGAGGCATATTCATTCGATATAAAAGATGGTATTAAACTTCATACGAATAAACTTCCAGGTATGAATTGATTATTGATTGATTTTTTTTGAAAAATTCAACATCTTATTATTCATATAGGAAGTGGTGCTGTATTATCATTCATTCTAAGAATTATGTTGCATCCAAAATTTCATCATCTTTATCCTAATGCTAAAAATGATTATAATGAAGCTGTATTATTTTATCATCGATTAATGGAAGCATATAAATTTGCTTATTCACGAAGAATGTATCTTGGTGATGATCGTTTTGATAATTGTACAAATGTTTTATCACAATTAACATCAAAAGATTATATTGATAAAATTGTAGAGAAAATTAATGATGCAACTACTTATCCAAGTAAATCAGGCTTCTATGATGTTGATGTACGTTTTTTAGGATTTTTTTTCATGTTTCCAAAATTATTTAATGAATTTTTGTTTTTTTTTCCAAAAAATTTGCAGAGTTTTCAAGAATTAGATCATGGAACAGCACATGTATCAGTTTTGGATAAACATGGTAATGCCGTTGCAGCATCTACAACGGTAAATCTTTAGTAAGTTTGATTAAAAATTATTCAAGTATTTTACGATCATAATCATACCTTTTTGAATTTATTTAGTTTTGGTAGCAAAGTCATTTCACCATCAACCGGTTTAATTTTAAATGATCAAATGGATGATTTTAATACGGGCAAAACGAATGCATTCGATTTACCACCAGCATTTGCAAATACTGTTGCAGCTGGTAAACGGCCATTATCATCAATGTCACCATCAGTATTTGTGGATGAAACCGGTCCACGATTAATAATTGGTGCTAGTGGTGGTTCAAAAATCACAACAGCTGTTGCATTAGTATCATTGAGAAATTTATGGATGAATGATGATATTAAATTGGCCATCGATTCTGCACGTGTACATCATCAATTATTTCCAACAAATGTTGAAAATGAAGCCTGTTTTCCAACAAATATTCTGGATTCATTGAAAGAAAAAAATCATCAAATCAAACAAATTGAAGATGGTGATCGTGGTGCAATTGTAATGGCTATTAGTCGTTTAAAAAATGGTACAATACGTGCAAATTCAGATTGGCGTAAAGGTGGTACTATTGCCGGTGTTTAGAACATTTTTTTTTTATTTTAAGAACAAGAATATTAACATTTGTAACATTTTATTTTATTTTATTTTATTTGATCAATAATGATGATAAATCATGAAATGATAATTTTTTTTTCATACTTTAAATAAATAAAAATCAATCAATTTTCTAAGTCATTAATAAAGGTTATTATAGAAAAAAAACATACATATCAATTGGAAAATATTTTTGTTTTCTTTTGGTTTTTTTTTTTCATGGTAAAATCAATGTGACTAATAAAATGTTGCTGTTTTATTTTTTTTTTTTTTTTGGAATTTTCATTGATGATTTCAACCATGATGGTCCCATGGTCAATATAATAAATCTTTAATAATCAACGTTATTTCAACTTGATTCGGTTGTTGTTCTTCAATCATTACATTACTGGTTGTAAGTATATGATCTTTAATCATATCGATAGCAATACGAATCTGTCCGGTTGTACCATGAATTTTGAATCCATTCAATGTATTAACTTTAGGCGTAACGATTGTTGTGCCACTCATGTCCATAATACGTTTAATAATTGAACCTTTTTTACCCACAACTAAACCAATATAACGTGCAGGTAAAAAAAGATTATTACGTATACGATCACCATCTTTATATGTACATGCTTCAACAAATATATTAAAATCAAATTCATTTGCAGCTTCTTCCAATTTATTTTTGGCCAATAATACATTATCTTTATCACCAGTAATGACAAAAATTGGCTCTTCACCATTCACAGGTGTCTGTATGAACGTGCCAGTTTCTTGGCGTATTTGACGAATTTTCGAACCTATAAAATGGAAAACGATTCAGTAATTAAATAACTTTTAAAGATCCAAGAAAAAAAATCTTACCTTGTTTACCCACAATATAGGAAACGTGAGCCGAACTTTTAACAACAACTTTTGTTGAATATTTGCCCATTTTACTCATCATACCAATCATTTGATGATTATCATCAGAGACAACAACAACATGATCATCATTATTATCATTCGTACTGTAAACAGTATTATTATTATTATTACGTAATTGTGAATTGAATAGAATATTGGTCAAATTCATATTATCGTCTAATAAATAAGTTAATTGTTGTTGTTGTTGTTGTTGTTGATGGTGTTGTTTATTTATATTATCATAAGACATTTTTTTCGTAAGTACTGATGATGATGATGATGAACGTATTTTAAATAACAAAAAAAAATAAATCAATTTTTTTGAAGAAAATTCTGTTTTTTTTACGTTGATGATAATCGATTTTTCGAATGGATCAATTGATCTCAAAATTGGAAACAATGTTTGACTGGTGGCGTGGTAAAATCGGTTCGATGTTAAATTTTTTTTTTTTGCTGTCAGAAGATGAATAAAATAAAAATCAAACGATGAAAAATCAATTGACATACAAATTTATATAAATTGATCATCATCATCATCAAAATCGAAATCGAAATCGAAATTCAAGTTGACTCAACGATGATGATGATGATGATGATCGTGTAGTCATGTTTGTTTTTTTTTCTATGCACAATTGTCATCATTATTCATCATTTCATGTTAATTTTTTTTTTTTTTGCATTTCAACCCATGAACAATCACATCAATCGATTCAGACTAATCATCAGAAAACCAGAGAAATTTTTTTTTATTATTCCATGTCAATGTGATTGTGATCTCTCATTACAATGAATTATTAATAATGTCACATTATTCATCAGAAGAGCAGAAAAAAACAAAAATGAAAATCGTCACTACAAAATCAAATTGTTGTTTGGTTTGTTTTGTTTGTCAATCAATTGCAAAAAGAAAAAAAGAAATTCATCAATATATAAAAAAACAAGATAGAAATTTTGAGCATTCAATAATCGGTTGGTTTTAGTCGCCATTTTTTATTTTTCATCCGAACAAAAAAATTTTGGCCATTCATAAATGATGAATCAATCAATTTATTATTGCTTAATTCCACCATCTTCCGCATCAATTCATAAAATTTCCGTTTCGAATGTTTTACGAACTGTTGTAGCCGTGTTGTTGTTATTATTATTATTATTGGTGATTACGGTTTCCGTTGGTAGAATAATTCCATTTTCGTTCAATTTTATTCGTCCATCATTTGTGGCCAAATTATGTAATGATCCAGTTGGATTTATGATAACAGAATTCATTTTATTTCCAATTGTTTGTGCTGAATTATTATTGTTGCTGTTTGCGATGTTGTTGTTTTGTGTTGTCATCTTTATCATTGTCATATCGTTTGAATTAGCCGATGCCGTCGCCGCCATTTTCGATACAATATTACTTTCGGATCCAGTTTTTTTAAGATCACTAAGAAATGAACCACCACTACCGTTACCACGTGATATTGGTCTTTTTGTACTCAATTGTTGTAGTCTTGTATATTGTTCCTGTAATTGTCGTTGTTTATGTAATAATTCCTGATGTCTTTGTTCAAGAAGCTCTTGTCGTGATTGTGCAAAACGTTTCTCCAATAATGCAGCCGTTGCGGCAGCTGCATTACCACAAGTTGATGCCAATAATGCAATATTATCAAAATCAATTCGGCCTATTTTTTTTTGTTGACGACAAATGTTTGGTTATTAGAATCAATCAATCAATCAATCACATAATATAACTCTCTGTTTTCTAGTACTATTATACATACCATCGGGTATTGAAGATCCTCTTGAACGAACACCAGGTGGTTCAGATGTGGCACGAATCGATGAATATGATTTTGAACGTGAAGCTAGAAATGAAATTTCATTTTTCACGAATTAGTTTCCACTATTCATGTATTGATTTTCATAACTCGAGGAATCGAACCAAAAAAAAAAAAAAAATGAAAATAAAAAAAAACAACGAAATCCAAGGGACAACAACAAAAAAAATTTAATAAAACAAAAATTAAATTAAATTTGAATAAAAAAAAAAAAAAAAAAACAACGGTGACAAACTCAACGATAAAAAAAAAGAAAAAATTGACTAAATCATTCAAATTTCACCTTTACGAACGATCGTATCCGAATCAGTAGTACCAGCCGTATCATTAATCGATTTTATACCACGAAATGAACCGGATGTTGATGATGTACGTTGAAATGGTGAACAACGATTTGTTGTTGTTGTTGATGATGATGACAATGGTGAGAAATCTTTATTATCAATACTTGATTGTTTGTTTGTAAATGTTTGTAATTCATCCAACAGATTGTCCAACATGTTTGATGTTGTCGTTTTTGTTGATGAATCATCCGTTGATGATGGTGTTGCCGGTGTAACCTGTATAATTGTATGTGGTTCCATTAGATCGGCATCAAAACTCTGTGTGGGTGGAAAAAAAATTTGAATTGAATTCATTTATGATAATCAAGTGAATTTTTGGTCATCATAAAATCATGAAAAAAAAATGATAACATCATGAAGAGAAAAAGACAGAGTGAATGAGAGAATTTTTTTTTGTGGGGACTAAATGAAAAAAAAACAAATTTAAATCAACTACGGACCTTATGTTTTTTTATTAAAGAGTAGTTAACAGAATTCGAATCTTTGTTGTTGTTGTTGTTGTTGCTGTTGTTGAATATTTGTTTTTTATCATCAACAAAATGTTCGCATTCATCATCAGCATCCTGATCATGATCATCTACATTCTCAGATTTAGGTTCTTCAATCGTGGGCATCGATGCGAATCCTCGATATAAACTTTTGTTTGTTGTTCAACAACAACAACAACAAAAAAAAAGTTTTTTTTTTAGTTTCAAAAATCATCAAATATGAAACACACACACAAAAAGACACACGTGAACACACACACAAAGGGATAATTTGGAAACTTTTTTCATATTGGTGAATTTGATTCTCAATTTTTTTTTTTTTTTTTTTTTTTTTGTTATTAGTTAGAGAGGATTCGTATATGATTAAATAATTCGTGCAAATTTCATTTTCATAAATCAGTGAGTAATAGAGAGTGAGTGAGTGACAGAAAGGAATGAAAAAAAAAATTATTGAAAAAGAAAAAAAATTTTTAAATACTCAATCTTATAATTATGGCTACAGATTGGTTGATGAAAATGAGCACTTCGACGCCAGGCTTGCATTTTTTTCGCCTTCACCACACAAACACACATACACACACACACACAAGATTAATGAGTTCAATGAATTGTGTGTGTGTATCAGAATAAAAAATAAAGAAAAAAATAGAGAAAAAAATTCATCAGAATAATTGGATCCATTGGATAAATGTCGATAATGATAATCATCATCATTATTATTTTTTTTCAATTATAACTATCGATCTGTCGATCTATGTGTAATATCTATAATAAGCTTAAACAACGAAAACAGAGAAAAAAAAGCCATCGTTATTTCAGCATAGACACATTCCTTAACGGTTAGTTTTAGTACATTTTTCTAGCCATAATAATTACGGTTTTATTGTGTTAAATAATTAATGAATGACAATTGTGAATTTGTTGTTGTTGTTGTTGTTAAATCGTAAATAATGGTAGAACATAAATTAGATTCACATTGTTTATCACTATTTTATCATTGAACATTAATATTGGGTGATGGAAATAAACTACAAAATTGTGAAAAAAAAGAATCAAATAGATTTACCCTTGTTGTTGAAAGTGGATCACGTCCAACAGTACTGCCTCCGGTTAACATCATTATTGCCGTTTGACCAGATGATGTTGCCGGTGTAGTAGATGATGAATTCTCATCACCAGAACCACCACCACCACCATCTTTTTTATCAAAACTTGATGATTGTAATAATTGTGATGGTGATGATGATGATGATGCGTTGACATTGGATGAACGTTGTTCCTGTACGGATGCCAAACTGTTTATTTTTCATAATTGAATGAAAAAAAGTCAGTTTTTTTGAATGAAAAATAAACAAAAAATGAATATATAACCGTTTAAGTGTGACCAATGTTCCGGTTAATTTTTTACATCGTTTCAATGAATGTTCTAATCTTTCTGGTTCTTCTTTTAAAAATCTATATTTTAAACAATAAAATACAGAATGATAAGAATTTTCAATGAATCAAATGATTAGATGCATACTTTTCTTCTTTTTCAATTTCATGTAATTCTCTTGACATGATTGTTTTAAGATTCTGTGCAAGTAATGGATAACGAGATTTAAGATCAGCTACAGTTTTTGAAGCTCTTGAAAGTATCAATGCCATCGATTCAACATTGGACATATTCACACGACATCGACGATTAATAACATTTGAACGTAATGCTTCCACTTGTGCTTCTAATTTCAATAGATCACGATCTAGCCGTAATGCATCTTCATTATATGCATCACAATTGATACTGGTTTTAATACGTTCCAATCGTATTGGTGCATCCGTTGGTTTTGTCAATAATGATAATGTTGATTGTATTTTGGAACAATTTTCTTTCATCGTTTCACGGGCACTATTCACTTGTTGTACGGTAAATCGTTTTAATTGTCGTATTTCACTACGTAGATCACGAGCTTTTCGACGTATTTGTCTAAGTTGCGAAAGATTATCTGCTGACATATTATTGTTGTTATTATTATTTTGATCATTACGATGACCAGCCAATGATGTTGGTTTTGGTGGCGGTGGAGGTTTAGGTCCTTGAAATGAACAAAAAATCAATAAAATAAAATCTATCAAGATATTTAGCGTATTGTAACATACCTCCAGTTGTCAGAGCTTTGCTAACAACATTTGTAAGACTGGCGATTTTTCTTTCCATCTCCTGCATTCGAACACGTGCTTCATCATCAATAACATTCGTAGCAACTGTTGGATGTCTAGCCACATAGGTATTTGGATTATTTGGAACAATGGCTGCCGAAACAGTAGCTGCCGCTGATACACCACCACCACCACCACCAGCTAAATTAGGATCAAATAATCGTGTGGACGGATAAGGACCAGCAAATGATGCTCTTAATTGACCGGTTTGTATTGACATTAATGTAGCATTCGTTGGTATTGGTCGATGTTCAGGCGATGATAGATAACCGGAAAATTCACCTGTATTTGCTGGCGGTGCAAATTGAAATCGAGCACCAGTTCGATCCATATTTGGATAATGACCGGCAACAGAATATGGCCTATCTGGTAATGGTCGATTATATGGACCAACAATCGATTGTGATTCATTTGTATTTGGTGATGGCGATACAATCGGTTGACCTGCCGATCTAGCTTGTAATCCTTGAATCATAATAATATCAGCAGGCTGAGGCACCGAATTATTTGGAAAATTACGTTGTGGTTTTGGTGGAGGTTGAGCTGAAGGATTCATTCCTAAAAATCATGAAATCAAATTATTTTTTTCTCGTTAAAAAATAAAAATAAATAAATTACCGAATGGATTCATAGCAGCTGAAACAGGATTCGGATTCATCAAATGAGTCCCTCTGGGCAATGTTTGTGAAAAATCTTTTTTTTTTTTTTTTGGTTAAAAGATGAAGATGAAAAGAATTTAATTAAAATCACATTTATTATTTTGTGAATGATGAGCATACTTGTAAATGGTTTATTTCTTGTCGGTGGTTGTGGTGGTGGTTGACCCGCTAGGTTTTGATTAATGAAAAAACTTGAACGTGGACCAAGTGTTGCTGAACGATATTGTGGCGGTAACATGATTGTACCATAATATTGTGATTGTGGTATATTTGTATGACCAATCATCAATGATTGTCCAACAATTGGTGATGGAAATCGTTTTCTATGTATATGTTGTGATTGATATTCAGAATCAAATTCTGGTTCAGAAAAATATCCATAACTTTCACCATCATGACCACCACCACCACCACCAGCAGCAGCAGCAGCAGCAGCATTAGTAAAACTGGGACCAGATTGAGCCATTAATGATTGATGAATAATACCACCACCTGGTTGTGGTCCGTTAACGCCTTGTTCATAAATCCGAAGTATACATCGATCTTTTACATCCCTTAAATCTTCTAATTCATAAAACATATTTTTATTTGGATCATGTATATAGATACGAACAGATGGATGATCCAAATATTCCATTGATAATTGACGTGGAAATGATCGTACAAATAATGCTTTAACCGTATCGATCGATGTAATTTCATTCGGTAATAGTGCACGTTTTGTTTCATTACGAAATTGTAGAAAAACTAAACCCATTGATCGATCCTGCGATTTTGATGGTGTCCTTACAATAGGTAATGATGAACGAATTTTATTATTAGCACGACGAAAACCTGTAGCCGATGTTTCAATTTCGGACATAATACCCGGATCTTCATCAAACAGACTAGTTGGATTCATTTGAAAATGATAAAAATTTCTATCCAATGGTGTAGTGCTTTGTGAACGATTCGATTGTGATGTCGGTGGCCTATGATGTTGATGATTAGTGTTGATATTCACCATTTTATTCTGTCGATTCGATTCCATTTGTTGAAATGTTGATTCCGAGACATTTTTTCCGGATATATTATCAATATTCGCTGTCGTCGATGATGATGGTGGTTTTGTCGTAGCAGCATTGTTCTTATTTCGACTCTATGTAAACAAAATGGATAGATAATTGAAAAAAAATGGAAAAAGGAAATTATTATTAGTCAATGTTGACATTGTGGCACAAAGGAAATCCATTTTTTTCTCATTCTCATTCTCATTCAATTTTCAATTTGGCTCATTTGGCCCATTAGGATCAATGTGTGTCTATAGACAGACAGAGCAGGAATACCTTTCTTTTGATTGGTGATAATAAAACTTCATATAAAAGATGTTTTGGTGAATTTTTCACCTTCATATTACAATCTGTATTCAAATCAACATTTAAATTTTTTTTAGCCATTTCTTTTGGCTGTTTTTGTTGTTGTTTATTATTTGTAATCGGTATTTTTGTTGAACTTAATGAGGAAGCACTGGTTGTATTATCATCATGATCCTGATCTTGATCATGATCCAATAATAATTGTTCCATATAACCATTCAATTGCAACGAATTTGTTGTCGATGATGACAACGTATTTGGTGATGGTGATCGACATGATGTTATTACAATATTTGGATCAATATCAAAACAAACTTGACGTATGGAACTATTTTGTTGTTGTTGTTGTTGTTGATTAATTATAACATTTTGAGCTGCTGTTATCAATTGATCTGATCGATTGATTTTTAATGGTGATGTTATCGAATAATTTTTACGATTCTTTAATGCCGTTGGTGAAGTTATAATTGGCATCTTAATATTAGTACTTTCAATTAAATGACCATTTGATGTGATTAATGCATTTGATGAATTGGATTTCGATGATGATGTTGTCGATGTTGTTGTATATGGGGTCAACATTTTTTTTTTTTCATCACCACCAACAAACACAAACATTAACGGATGAATGAAGATTTTCCAGTGAACGAAAAAAAAAAATAATTTCAATATATCCGAATTAATTAACCAAGTAAACGTACGTACACTTGGTTAATCGATCATCATTTATCAATTAATCAAATTTTGAACAGAAAATTGGCTTCTGTTACTTAATATAATCACACATCATTTGCCATTTGATTCGTTGAAAGAAAAAAAAGCAGCAGGCAACAACAACAACAGAAAAGAATAAATTGAATTTCGATGACACGAAATCGAATGTTACAACATTAACATGGACAAATCAATAATAGTGATAACCGGCAATAGTGAAAAAGAAAAGAAAAAGCCAATATTTGACAACATTTCATCGACATCATCATCATTTGAAACATTTATTTATGTTGTATACAATCGATTTTTCAACAACAACAACAACAACAACAAAAACAGCAGCAGCACTGGGGTAAAAAATTTTTTTTTGCCAATTAGAATGGTAAGAAGAAAAGAAGAACATTTTTCAATTTGACAATGATCAGGAAGCACACAAAGACACATTATTTTCATACATTGAAAATTGAAATACTAATACACACACACACACACACATGCACACATAATGGATTCAATTCAATTGAATTTCATTGAAGAAATTATAGTTTTTTCTTTCAATCAAATATAATCATCATCATCATCATCATCATCGTCATCAATATCATCATGATGTCGGTTCAAGACATGATGAATTCTTCGACTTTTACTACTACTACTACTACTACCACCGCCACAATCATCATTATTATCATTATAAACATCATTCAGAGAATTAGTTTTTTTTTCTTTATAAAATACATATATACAACACATGAACATGAACTAACAGAATAAAGTAGTAGCATTCATAAATACTAAAAGAGAATTCTTGTTTAAAAAGAAAAAGAACCACTATACTCAATGTGTCTGTGCATGGAAATTCTTCTTCTTGTTAGTAACGAATTTTGATGATGAGGATTCTTCCCCATATATAACACACACACAATTACCCGGTAATACTTAAAATACATAAAAAAAGAGATATTTTGCGCATTCTCACTGAATATTCGTTTCTGGATCGCAATGTATGTGTATGTGTGTGTTTTTTTTCTTGAATCCATTTTTCAGAATCTTGCAGGCTACACTGTATTTATTATTATCATCATTATTATTATTATCCACATTTTATACGTGTAGTATTTGTATTTTTCTGTTTTGTTACTGATATAGTCCCTTACACTCACTCTCTTTTCGTGTATTTAATGATAAATTCTTTTTATACATTCACACAAACATACACACACACTTACATTCAAAAATGAGAATATTTCGATTCATCACTCATCAACCAACAGTGAAAAAAAAAGTCTGGCAGCTCTAAGAATATATCCACGAAGAATATTTTTCAATGAAACGAAATTTTCAGAAAATAAATCTGTTAGAAATCAATGCACATTCGACATTTAAAACAACACACACACACACACACATGACCACCATAAAATGTATATAGCGGTGGCAGATAAATATTATTATTTGTTTCATCAAACACATGAAATAATAAAATGATTCTGTGATTCTGAAACCAAAAAAAGAAAAAAAAAAACATCCAAAAAATGTAATGGATGTATATGTGATAAAAAAATAAAAAAGATTGTGATGATGATTTCTTTGTGAGAATATTCTATGGCTAAACACATAAATTCTTTTACACCAACACCAACACCAGCACCAAGATGGAAAAATATGGTTTTTTTATCATATGTGTCTCAACCCCCCCACGCATTTTTCTACCCATTTATATAGATATTTAATAATTTTTTTCTCATCATCTTTTTCATTGTTATATTTGGATTCGAAAGAATTCTGGCTATTTTTTTTTTTTTTCTTTGATTCTCTTCTCTCGATTAGCAGAGTAGAATAAAATTGGGTTTTTTTCAATCTGGTATCTATCTAAACGCATGCACGAATTTTTTTTTCTTCACTGTAATGGATGTGTGTGTTTGTTTGTGCATGATGATAGATGTTCTTCTTTGGAAGGTGGGGAGTTAATATAACAATAATGAACAAAGAGCGGCTAAAGACCTTTTTTTCTTCTGGTGTGTGTGTATGTGTTTTATTTATTTTTCTCATCCATTCATTTTACGACATGAAAATAATAGAAAAAATATTGGTAAAACATTGTATACAATGATAAAAATTAGCCAAAATATTTCAGCCGTTTTAAATGAAATGATTTCCCTATAATTAGTTTTACTTTGTATCCATGATACAAATGGATCAATACGTACGAATAATAATTTATTATTACATTTACTTTTACCGATCAATATGGCAACTAAATGATTGTAAATATTTTCATCATCATTATCATTATCATCATTATTGTCAGTCATCCATATCTTGAACATTAATGGAATACCAATGAATGAATTCTGAATGTAAAGCAAAGAAATAAAAAAACTTGAATTAATCACAGAATAAGAATCAGAATATTTTTTCTTTTTTTACATACAATATCATCATCATCATCATCATTAGCATTGGTGGTTATATTGTATAAACATGGATTATCACATTCATAATAATAATGATATTCATTCCAATCATTTATATGTGGTATACATTTTATCGGGCTATTTATACATTCGTAATGATAATAATGGAACACTGTCTCTACATTTGGTATATATAATTTTCCATTTAAATTTAATGATGATGATGATGATGATGATCGTCGTCGTTGTTGTTGTTGTTGTTGTTGATATTGTTCCATCTGGTGTCGATGAATCGTACAAGAATTATTAAATTCTATTAATGGTAATTCTGGTGATGATGATTCTGATTCTGATTCATTATTATAATGATGATGTTGATGATCAATTTGTAATAAAAGTAAATTTATATTATCATCAATATTATAATAATGATTATTACTTATGGCTATATGGATGACGAAATGTTCGTTTAATCTTTATATCTAATGGAATTAGATTCTGTTTATTATTATTATTATCATTTTCAATGGCAAATATTTTCATCATATTCTTTTCGAATGGATAGCTACAACAGTGAATTTAAGAATGAATGAATATTCAAAATTAATAGACGAGGGGTGTTGTGGAGGGCAAACCTTTTTAAACATGAACTCAATGATAATATTAGATCATTATCGATTAGATAACCAAAACATGAATGATTTTGATAACGTGATAATGAAATTAATATCATTACCATTGGCATTAGGTTATTATTATTATTATTTTCCATTGTGATTCTATTGCCTTGATTCATATATTTTAAAAATAAATCAGTAATATAGACGAAAAAAACTGAAAAAATGAAATGAAACTCACATCGAATAATGGTGGATGTGGCTAAATGATCATCATCGTGATCATCATTATTGTCCATGATTATAAAGTTTATTACATTTTTATTTTCTTGTTGTTGTTGTTGTTGATGAAAATTTCTTGTCAGATTGTTTTGTATTATATGATTATTATGATTTAAGAAATTCTTTTTGTCTGAATGACCGGATGTCGTATAAGTACTTTGAAAACAATAAACGGAAATGAAATAAATGAAGATAAAAATGTTGACCATTTTTGTTTTCTCTTATTCTCTTTCAAGTCAATTCTTTTTTTCACGTTTGCAATTAAACTTTATACTTATAAACTCGCTGCTAAACAATCGAAATCGAAAAACAACCAGGGTAAACTTAATTTAGAATTAAAGCTCGGAAGAAAAAAAAACGAGCCACACAGAAAACAAAAATTTCCACATTAAATTGAGCCAAGAAATCGATGGTTGAATGAAAATGAAAATGAAAATCAAAAGAAAAAATTCAAACTTACCGGATCTGAATCTATGGTTGATCGAATGTTGCCGTTTGTTGTAGTAGCCGATGTATTTTCCGTTTTCGTACCGGATTCAGCAACAATAGCCACATCAATACTACTGGATGTAAATAAATGTTTACCATAATGATGACGTGATGATGGTTTCTGATATGATCGTGATCTTCCATGATGATGTCCAGCACCATTGATTAATACTTCTTCACCACCACGTGGTAAACTTATTGGTGGTTGCTGCTGCTGTTGCTGATTTGTTGTTGTTTGATGATTATTAACTTGTCCATTCGTTGTTGTTGTTGTTGTTGTTGTAGAAGCTAAATATTAAATTTGGGAAAAAAATAGGAAAACAGAGAGAGAGAGAGACAAAATTAATTTGAATAATTTAAAATGGGGAACAAACTTCTCCTCAACCCCTTCATTTCACAAGTGAAATGGATCATGATGATGAACATAGACAAACAAGCAAACAAACGAAAAGTAAAAACTTGACATTTACAAACACAGACTATAAATGTGAAAAAAAAGTTGGAAAAAAAGATTTAGTTTTTTTTAGCTCATAAAACCGAAGACGATTAATGGCAATGGATGATGGTAGCAAGCAATAAACAATATCATCATCATCATCATCATCATGAAAGAAGAATATTCTATATTTGAATGTTTAAGTGAAAAATGTTTTTTTTTTACTTTCTCTATTTATCGATGATCATTTTGTTTGTTTTGTTGACAGGAAACTTTGTTGGTTTTCAAAGTTTTTTGTTTTGTTTTCGTCATTGTTTGGTGCAAACAACAATAAATAAATGAATTCAACCCGTGTGTGTGTGTGTGTGTGTGTGTGTGTCTCATTCATTTTTTTTCTACCATTCTGTTTTATATGTCGCATTCAATCTTTGTTGGTGTTGAAATGAAATGAAATGAAAAATCAAAAACAATGAAATAAATGTGTGTGTGTGCTTGTCAAGAGTTTTCCACAAAAAAAAAAAAAAAACAAAACAAAAAAGTTTGTCAAAGTCAAAAGATTCGTTTGGATTTTCTTTCGTAGTTAGTGTGGTTTGTTGAAATCTATAAATCCAAATTTTTTTCTTTGGTCAACTTTTTCAGATGTGATGGTAGTAATATGGAACTAGACTGGATATCGTTTTAGTTTTGTGGTTGTGTAAAGTAAAGTAAAAAATAAAAATTATCTGTCTAGCAACAATCAACGAACCAAGTAAATATTTCAATAGCGAACAAACAATGACAATAAGAAGAAGAATCGTCCATTCTCGGATTCGCATCTGACAATTTAGTTTATTTTTTTTTTTTGACCTAGCCAAAAAAAACATGATGGAAAAAAAATCATTCAATAAAATTCTATTAACAATTCAATTAGATATTGAAAATGAATTTTCATTTTCACACATGTGGATAAGGCATATACACATATCAAAGTTCAAGTGTATGTTTTATAACAATAAATTAAAGTATTAGGAAATGTGAAGAGAGATTGAAAATACAAAAAAAAATTCAATCGAATTTTTTTATTTCACCGAAATTCTCT